GATAAGATATAAAAAAAATCTTACTAGATTATTACATAAACTTATTGATTTCAGAATGTCATTGATGATGAATTAGGCCATTAACATTCAGGTTGATGACCTTAATCATGTAAAAATGGAACATCTCACACCCAAGGTTAAGCATATTCGCGCAGTATTCCAAAGAAGACACTTCGAATACACTTGGCATAACATTGAGAACACACTGGAAACAATGTTTATTTTTATTGAGTCATTTGAATCATCAATTTTAAATGCGCAGATAACAAAGTGATAGGATATACATATACATGTACGGGTTAACTTATTTTCTCTGAAAATTCGGAAATAGTCCAAAGAGAAAATGTAATACCCAAATCTTGTTTGGTACTGGCATAATTATGACTGTCTGGCATAATTGTGTAATTGTGACACAGGCCCGTAGGAAGCAATTTCAGTGGGGGGGGGGGGGGGCACAGCCATATATTTTCAGTTGGAGGCACTATCAACTACCAAAAATTCCTTGACAAGCAAAAAAAAAAAAAAAAAAAGTCATCAGACGTTTTTATTGAGGGGACACAAGCCAGAAGTAGCTAAATTTTCTACAGTCATCTATATATCGGCAAAATTATTGGTCGGGGGGGGGGGGCACGCCCCCCGTGCCCCCCCCCCCCGGTTCCTACGGCCATGTGACAATATAAAATATCTTCAATGAGCGTAGTTTTACAGTTAAACTATTGCTACATGTAGTGCATTGGAAACTAGTGAGGTTACTGGTGTGTATTAGTGACCCCTCTCGGACTAGTTGTTTATGATATAGCGAGTACTCTCGCATTATATCAGTAACCTGTTTATGGTAGATAATACTTATCACCAAGGCCTATCCAGAATAACCTACGTCACCTGTTACCGAGGTTAACCATATCAAGGTCCTACTGGGATCACTGATTTACCAAGCATTCCGATATACTTACCACACGGGGGACTTAAATGCGTTGTAAGGTGACAGCACACTATCCATGTTACCAGCATGCTCTCCACATACCAAGAAAGTGAAGAAATCAAGGCCAGATCTAGGAATTTTTTGCAAGGGTCTATTTTAAATTAAAAAAAGAGACCCATGGCGCCTAAATTTTTTCCATAAGTCGCCAAATTGGCGACCATTTTAAATTGACTTGGCGATCGTCGAATCCGGAAATTTTCACATTTTTAACAATTTTTCTGAAAAAGCGAGAAGAATCTTTAAAGAAGAGGAAATTATTTTTAGCGATGGACATGTCATGTTAGGCACGTCATGGATCCCTATATTCTATTAACTTTTAAAGTTGGCGCCTTAGAAAAATTGCCTGGCGACTAAAAATTTGTATTGGCGACTAAATATTTTTGATAAGGCGCCAGCTGGCGCCTAAATTTTAGAGGCCACTTAGAGACCTGCTTAACGGTCACCTGAATATATAATACAACCCTGTAAAGGATCCATGGAATTGCTAATAATGATATAATAAAACAATAAACTGATAGACGAAGACGTGTTTCTCAAAAACAAGAGAAATGGGACGATCAGGGATCAGGCCTTCTCCTTGTCGTTAAATAATTAATGTACAAATATAAGGTATTCTAGTCCCATTTTTTTCATATTCATATATTATTTTCAAGTCAACCTGATCATTAAATACTATTAAAGTATTTTTTGTATAAAACATCTGGTATAATTCAGGATCTTTTTTCCATTTACTTATCATTTACATTATTTACAGTGATTAATTATCATAGGTGAATAAAAAAGAGAAACTAACTTCTTTTAAAGCTGAATAATTTCCGTACATTATCATAATAAAAACCCACCTAAACACAGATCGATGGGCCATGAATTTCACAATTTTGAAAAGGACACCCTTGCTTATCATAACCATGCACTTAGTTTGTTTAGCATTCAGGGACAGAGATTTTTTTGATATGCATTTTTACTATATGATTTATAGAGCCTTGCCCTAGCACCAGAGCCTCTGACTCAAAGGTTCTTTTTCACAATTTTGGAAGAGGCACTCATGCTCATCAAATCTATGCTCCTAGTTTGTCTGCTAAATATACAGAGAAAGAGAAGGGGATTTTAAAAAAATATATATATATATTTTCACTTAATGTTTTACAGAGTCCCAAACTAACACAAGAACCCCTGACAGTGGGGCCATGAATTTCACAATTTTGGTAGAGGGCTCAATGCTTTTTATAATCAGGCTAACAGTATAACTGCTTGATGTCAAGGAGTAAAGTAAAAGATTTTTGAAGATCGCATTACTTTTGATGGTTTTGCCCCAGCCCACAGAGAAACATGAAATACAAAATTTCTGTTCCTCTTTGTCCAAAGATACTTGGTTGAAATTTGTTCTGCCATTGCAGAAAAGAAGCTGAAAATGTTCAAATGTTAATGCAGATAGCAATAGGTCATCTGAGTGACTCTTGTGACCTAAAAAATCCAACCAAATATAAATGGTATGTCCAATGGCAAAACCCTGTTTATACCAAATAAAAGGAAATTTCTGATGGCAAAACCTTATTTCTGCCAAATAAAAGGGAATTTCTTTTGGCAAAACCCTATTTCTTAAGTCCAGGCCCCTCTCCACTAAGTATTCTTCTGGGTTTTGTATTTGAAGTCCTGTCCAGTATTTATTTAAGTATATAACAAGGTTAACAAGAAAGGAAAAAGTTTATGGCTGGACCTAGAATTGAACCCAGGACCCCTGCATCATTTGTCAGGCACTCTACCAACTGAGCTATCCAGGCCTCTATCCATGGCCCAAACCACTACATTCCTCCCTCGAAGACACAACTCATTTTCTTATTTGCCCTTGGCAGGACTTTCACCTGCAAGTCCAGGGGTGGTCAATGGCACCAAATTATGTAACAAGAAAGGAGAAAATGTGTTGCTGGACAAGGAATCGAACCCAGAACCCTGCATCACTAGTTAGGTGCTCTACCAACTGAGCTATCCAGGACGATATCCACTGCTCAAAACACTACAAAGTACCGTATTGTGTCCCAAAAAGAACAAGCACTCTGAGAGTATTGCATTAGCAATACTAGTCCCCTACTGGTAAGTGTAACCTGGTTCCTGTTAAAAATTGAAAATGCCATAATTCCGTCAAAAATCAATGAAGTGGAATGAAATACAAACTTGATCTATAACTCATCAAGGTAAAGTCACATACCAAAAATCAGCTCAATATCTGTAAGCGTTTAGAAAAAAATTGTGGAAAACCCTGAAAAATTGAAAAGGCCGTAATTCTTTCAAAAATCATTGATGCGGAACAAAATGCATTCTTGATCTGTAACTCATCAAGATACACTCACATACCAAAAATCAGCTCAATATCTGCAAACATCTAGAAAAAAGTGCAGAAAACCAAGTGGGATAGACTGACAGACAGACAGAGGGACAGCTAGACAGACAGACAGACGGACGGACAGACTCAGAGGAAACCTATAGTCCCCTCCGGTTTCACCGGTAGGGGACTAATAATAAAACCACTAACTGATTATATTCACACTTTATGTAAAATTTATAGAACATCTAGACTGTGTCTTGATCTAATCAATATGTTTCAAAATGACTGATAACAGATATTAGTACATTTGTTTATTGCAAGAGAGAAATGTGTCTTTTTGATTGTCTATTTTTTACTTATAAGCATCTTTTGTAAGTAGCTAGAACCATTCCAATCAATATCTTTCTTTATATATAAAATATATATACCTTATATACAATACTTGAGAGAATCCCCCTTTGTTCATTGGTATAAAGATCAGAACAGAATTACATTTACAAAACAACAATACATATCACAGACATGGCTTGAATGAATTGTTTTACATAGCTTAATGTCATATTTCTTTGTATGTTTATATAATTATGACATTTATAATATCACTGCAGGTATGTTAGAAAGTTCATAAATAAAAGTATTAATAGCAAACTTGCAAAGGATTGATGACATATGCTGCAAAATTATACATGTGTATGGAACCAAGATGAAAAGCCTGTAGAAAACAGCCTGAAAATCCTTTTATACATTAATGTTTGTAGCTGAATAAAGTAATTGAGGCGAGTGCAAAAGCCAATTTACACATACAAATTCGTGTTCGTGGAACGTACTTCTGCTGATTCCCATCAACAGGATATCAAATGTTTAAGGAATTACAAGTCCATAATACATCAACATCAAAAATCCTATCTTTTAAAAGACCTTTACTTAACATTAAATGTCTTAAATCAGATTGAACAGAGTATGCATCTCATTTAATATTAGATATTGAATTTATCAGACCAAGGATGGTAAACAGATCTAAATTGAAACAAATCTACATAGATTCTAAAACACTACAAAGCAAATCTCAGTACAGAATGTGAGGTTCAAGTTAGTCTTAAACATGTACCAGATCCTAACTACATTCATGTCAAAAATCCCAATTTAATATAAAATAGAGCCCCTACAGATTAGAGATCCCAGCTAAACAGATGATGTTTGACCAGCATGTCCTTGACCCCTTCCTTCAGTGGCTGATAAGAAGCCTTTGTCTGATGTGGAATCTCCCAGTCTCTAAAAAGCTTGAAGGAAAACTGGGACAAAAGCCTAAAATGAATGAATCAGTCTGAATACAGTGAAGAAAAAAAAGGAGTCTGTGAGGGAATGCTCACTAGTAATACCTCTGCTCTGATGTGATTATATGCTCTAATTTGAACATACAGAAGTTCAGTTGACAAAACAAAGAGTGTGCTAAAATTTCAAGCATCTGCAAGTAGTTGCTGAGAAAACTGCGACAGAAATTTGGTACGGACAGACAGACACACTAGGGTAAAACAGTTTTATCACCTCTCCTTCAGAGCAGGGGTATAAAAATTAGAAGTATTATTCTTACTCAATTTCCATAATTCTGCATACATTTACTTTTATATAAGAAAGAAAATTAGTACTACACAGATGCAAAAATGACAAATAAATGTGCTATTGTACTGTACTTTATTGGCAGAACTCAACAGTGTATAAAATAAAGAGAACTTAATATAAATAAAATCTTTTAAATATCAAAGACTGGATTTCACAACAAATAGAAAATGTTACAACAAGAAAGGATTTCATTACAGCACAGAAATAACAAGGAAAAAATGTTTCATTCAAAAAAACAAAAGGATAATATCACAACATTCAACATTCCTCAAAGGATTTCTTGATTCAAATCTTGAATATCAAAAATTGGTTTGACATTTAATGTCTATACTATGAAATAATAGTCATTAATTTTTGACAACATGAATAACCCAAAGAAACATTGAGCAAAGAAAAAAAAAAACTAAAAGGTTGAGTGTAGTCATCAAATGATAAACTTTGGATTGTAATCACAGGGCTACATACTTCCTACATTAAGTACATCTTACATGAAGTGTGAAATTTTTTTTGAAAGTGAGATTGACAAATTTGAAATGCTGTTGAATAGAAATTTCTCTACATGAATTTTTGCCTTATCTATGCTTTATACCCTCTATCAATATGACATGTATAATGATAATATATCAGTTAGTGCCTTAACCAGTATCTACAGATGACATGTATTTTATCTCCCAGCTAAACAGCTGATGCTTAATAAGCATATCTCATAACACCATATTTGACCTGGACTTTTATGTAACGTGCCTGACTTTAGTATTTCTCCATCCACAGACAAGTTGAAAGCTAACTCACACAATACTCTGTTGAAAGCATCATGATTTGTATTGTAAATATTATGTTTCCTTTACCAAATCATTTACTTGTTTAATTTTCTTTATTTTTTTCCAAAATAAATTCTCGCTCTATTCAAATTTATCATATAAGAATGGAGAAATCCTGCATTGAAATATTCAGTGAATAAAAGATCATGTTGTATAAATAATGCATCTGTTATAACATTAAATGAATTAAACTACATTAAAATACTTTGTTAATTTGACTTTAGTACAGTATACGTGTATCAGAAGTCAAGAAAATGCTGCAATGCCATTGGTAATGGAGAGTAGCTTCAGAATCTAAAATCTCATGATCATCAGTTAATTTTCACTTACATGTACCTGTGCAATGTGATAAATGCCCAGCATATTCCTATAAATCAAACAGGTAGATATGCCTGAAATGGTCTCTATATTGCACATTTTACAGTAAGTAAATTTGAGTTTATATTTCCCAACTAAACAAGTGATGCTTGATAAGGATGTCCTGGACAGATTTTGTGATTGAGTATGTAGGAGCTTTCTTTTTCCTGACAGGTAATTCCCAATCCACGGACAGATTAAATGCAAACTGTGCCAAAAGCCTGTAATAAACCACAACAAATAAACTATATATCAGCATGCAGCGACCAAAAGAGTGACAGCAGTGTGCAGTTTCTCTCAGTGCTAAGTCAGAACTTACATTGTGTCATTCATTTATCTATTTCGTTAAATCTTTATTTGCTGAATTATGCATTTTTTTGGTCTTTTTTTTTTTTTTTGGTGTAAAAATCCATAAATTATCCTTCAGTTTTAATTTTTAAATACTGTAGACATCAATTTTTCCATGTTGGATTAATTTACGCTATGTATACAGTCACATATTTTCAATGGAAATTTGTCACAGCATACTTAAAGTGCATATAAAAATTACAATGTCAAAGAATTCAGCATAATTTTCTATCTGCGGATTGAACAGAAATGACATAACACGATATTTTGACCCCATGGAAAAAAGTATGTTTACAGTGTACCAGGGTATTTAAGTGGCAATTAGCTACCTCCTGTTTTTAAAATCAGTTCTATTTCTGCATCCTAATGTCTTGTCAAGTTTGATAAATAAGAATAAATAAAAAAATTACAACCAATTTATAATTGGTACCTACTGGATTAAATTTTAAAAAAATATATACATATAACCAAAAGGTTTCCCTTAACATGAAATATGAACTAGATTTCATACATCATCATGCATCACTGAGAGCAAGTTGACAAAATAACACAGGAGACACAACAGCAGTACAATATAAATACACTGTACAAGGCACTTACCTTAGTTCACATTTGATTTGTACCCAGCCTGGACTCCTCATGAATGACCAGGGATGATACCACTTCTCCACAGCATCCATACAGGAACACAGAGTCTCCAGCCAGAGATGTAGCACCTGCTCACTGAAAATGATAACAACACAGTTATACAGCTGACTGATTTACAGGAGCACAGTCTCCAACCACAGATTTGGCATCGGCTCACTGTAAACATTAACAACTCTGTCATGGAACTGACTGACTTCCAGGACCACAAGGTCTCCAACCAGAGATATAGCTCCTGCTCACTGTAAACATAAACAACTCAGTCACACAATGACTTACAGGACCACAAGGTCTTCAACCAGAAATTTAGCACCTGTTCACTGTCAACATAAACAACTCAGTCACAAAATGATCTACAAGAGCAGCAAGGTTTCAGTCTTTTTCACTCTCTCTTACTGTACTATATTTACTATTATTGTCAGCTTTTTGAAGAAAAGTAAAATTAAAAATGTTTAGAAATTGCAGAAGTTTAATATGCCTGGTGTATATTACTCATTTTCTTTGGGATCTAATAATTATTCTAAGTCAACAAAAATTTCTTGCTGCTTTGTAATTTGCAGCTATACATTATTCACTACATCACGCCAAGTACAGCTCTTCCTTTACAACCGAGTATAATATATCTATACAAAATCAGAGAGGCCCAAATATGAAGGATTTGCAGTGGAAAATATCCTAGTATATCTCCATCTCTAAAAAAAAAAAAAAGAGTGTTCCAAGGAACACACATGTTGCCTGCTTTTTAGCTTCATTAAAGTTGTAAATGAATGTCTTAACTGCAATTGTCAGACTACACCATCCATTGTGTCATGAGTTCATAAACATGTATAAATGCTAATTATCAAAACCCCTGCCTCTTAAAATTCAAAGACATAAATTTTGATTAAACTGTCAGAAGAACCTTTTGCAAGGTAGGTCAAAGGTCAAGATCAAGGGTCACAAGGTCAGTAACCATGGTAATTTACAAAAGCCATAGTGCCAAGCATTATATGTGCAAAATATCAAATCCATACCTCTTCCAGTTCTTGAGATATAAGGTGTGACAGACAGACACCGGGTAAAGTGATCCCTAAGTATCGCTCTGCTCTGCAGGCGAAACAACTATGTGCCTTGGTCCTCTTTTTGGAGCCTCAGCTTCTCTACTTTTAAGGAATGGGGAGGTACATGCAATCAGTTATTTTCCCTTATATTCATGTATAAGAGGACAAAATCTCAAAAAATAGATGAACCATCTGCCACTTAGTCCAAAATATCTGAAGTTTTCCTGGCTTTTTTACGATTTTGATATTTTACTTGCCAGGAAAACGTCAGAACCGGCACCATTATGAAAACTGGGAATTCACTGCCTCCAACCGGAGGTGGTATTCTCGGGTTGATTTTCGATACTTGGAAACCGAATTGAATGTCAAACTCACAACTTATCAATAGTACAATACTTTTAGTACTCACCAACATCGTTTTTAAGGTTCATTTATAAAATGTACAATCTGATGAAAACATTTTATCTGTCAGACTGTCGAGATTTGTTTTCATTTCATGCATTTTAAAATCTTGCAACTCCTGTATCGAAGTGTTGAGTGATGTTTTCTTTTCATCCATATTGGTGAGTACAGGAAGCATTGTGCTATCGATAAATTGTGAGTTCGGCATTCAATTCAGTTTGCAAGTATCGAAAATCAACTCCAGTTGGAGAAGGCAATATTCCCAGTTTTCGTAATGGCGCCAGTTCTGATGTTTTCCTGGCATATAAAATATCAAAATCATGAAAAAAGCCTGGAAAACATCAGATATTTCGGACTATCTGCCACTGAGAAAATTGTCACAGTCATTAATTGGACATATAATAGCACAAGGTCTCCAACCACATATTTACATGTAATACCTGCTGTGAAAGTAAACACAGATTAGCAGTAACTTAACAAGAACAAGGTCTCCAGCCATATATATAGTACCCGAGGTGAAAATAAACAACCCAGTTATACAGTAAGTACAAATAAGAACAAGGTCTTCAGATGATGTAGCGACTGCTTTGAGAATTAAGTTCAACAACAAGGAATACACAGATTTATCTGTTATACAAGAACAAGGTCTCCAAGACATGCATTTAATGTGAACATCAATAGCACAGCCATACAAAAGTACAATCAGACATTTTTTATACTGTCAATATAATGCAGGTACAGTTCTCTGTTTCAGAATTACTGCTGATTTTCTTTAATGCTAAGCTTGCTAATTAGTTGATTGCTTATACTTTCTGGTTGAATGCTAGGTATGCTGATCCTATCCTAATTTAATGAGATCTTTTCTTCAAAAGGTAACATTGATGACAGCAATGCTAGATTTGAATATATACTGAATTTTTGCAATTTTAGATTGTTTGTATGACTTCTACATACCACTCACTTGGAATACTCAAGGTGCAGAACATTTTTACAAATCAGAACCTGACGTTATGCCTTCATGCTTAGATGAACAAAGCATTCCCAAAAACTGACCCCACATCCTAAAATTGCTGAGTTTGCTGTGTTTACTTTCTACAGCAGTTCAAAATTTTGAGAAAGTAGTCCCAGAGCAGCCTATGGGATTGCTTTCTGGGACTGCTTGGATGTCAGGTTGGTATTGTATGTAGTTCTTAAAAGAAATCCAAAGGTAAAAAAGCATATTTTCTAGATATACATGTATGTATCTGACAATTTTTCTAATACCAAAGGACAAATACATGTATAGAAATATAATGCTTACTTAAGGCCACAACAAATAAGTGATCTAAACTTCACATCCATCTGGGCATGGCAGGCATCGTGCGACACATTCACTGCATGGACTGCCTAAAATAAGTCAATGTTTTAAGCATAATTTAAATTTTATTATAAAACTTAGTACAACTTAAAATGCACCAAAACTTTACTTTCATAATGAAGCATTGCACTTGACATTATTTTTTTCAGTAAATCTTGAAAGGCTTTAAATGCTGCTGTTTTACTGAATCAAATTAAAACAGACAAGTATCACAGTTTTAATTTTTAATTATTTCTTAGTCCTATAAAGTTATAACTTTGCTGGAAATTATACATGTATACAGCTGCATTATTAAAGATAAAGGATTATTATCTTATTTCATTTCCTTGCAAGTAAAAAGCAAAATTTTAATGACACAACTTTTTATGGTTATACAGACATCTCAATGTACTTTTGGACAGTTAACAAACAATGGATGTATAAAAAAAAGGACATAAATGGTCCTATCTACGTAAGGAAGCATTGACTGATGATGGAACAGCCTGACAGTTTTTCCACCCCCTTGTGCAGAGAAAAAGCAAACATTTTTTTAACCCCCAAAAAACTGTAATTCACATTACATTTCGAAACACAGTTTTTTCTTATGATGTTGTACAAACTTTGCAACTCTACTTGAAATGATCTTGGATGAAATATAATTGACTTTAATACTGTACATGCTTACCCTGTAGAGAATCTCTTCTGGAGTTAGTACTTTGCCATCTTCATCAAGTCTACAAAAGTTGGGTCTTAATTCATTCTATTGCTACATGTACAGTACTCATACAACTAACAAATAGCCTGCTTTAACCATTCATAACAATTCAATATTATTACAAAACCAAGAAATAATGTACTTTATTGCAAATGCCTATATACATGTACCTGAGTTTAACACTGTTAAGTTTGTCAGTCAACAGCTCTAAGATCTTTCATTTATTGTTTTTAAACTCTGACTTTAAATAAAATTTTCTGATTCTGAGGTATCCCACTCCCCATATATTGATATGTAACACTGCTTTAACCCTTATTCCCCACATACAGCTTCATGCTGCTCTAACCCCATACCCCACAATGGCCACAAACAGCTACATGTCATGGGTTCATACCCATTATTTCTTCTAACATTATAATACCTGTATGTTTTGCACAACACCAATCTGGAATACACTGACTGGAAGTCCTTCTCTACTTCTTTTGTTGCTGCCTGTTGATAGAAAAGTTGTGTAAAACAAGAGATATTACAAATCTTTTACATCACACATTGTTATACAAGTACAAGATAATTACATTTTACTCTCAAGTCTTAGTTCACATATTATAAAGATTTTAGCTTTAAATTAGTTACAGACCTCCTCTAAAAAAAGCCAAGGATGGCACACAGAACCCAGAATAGATGACCTCTTTAATCCATGCTCAAACACAGCTTTCAATGCAGGGCACAGTCTGAAATATATGTACATATTCTATAATAAATCAAATCAAAAGATTAAAAATATAATATCTTTTTTTTCATACCAATCAGATTCTATTTAAAACACTTCAATAAAATTTTCTATAAAGGTATTTTAATTATAAGTACCTTCACAATATTGATAATTTTAGACTTACGTTCCCCTGACTAGATCTGTGATGGTCTCTGTAACGCTGTCATCTCCTGCCGAGCTGTAATGTTTACTCCTCTCATCCAGTAACTCCACAAACTTAGCAGGAAACCAGCCCCTTAATCCATTTAGCTCTCCAACCCAACAATGTTCATCCTTCTGAGATATTATCTGATTAAAAAATTATCAGAATTTTCATAAAACACGTTATAAAAATAGCACCAAAAATGAACAAAAAATGGAAACAACTTTATATTTGACACTTTCTTTGCAAGTCAGCTGGAAAAAATAAAAGATGACATATTTTTTTTCTAACTCAAATTTAGAATCATCTTTTACACAAGCAATGTCCATATTTCATAAACTTGACACTTACTGTGATGATGTCATTTTTCCTGAAGCCAAGTTCATCATCATCATGACGTTCAAAGTCCAGCAATGCCTTGGCCCTTCTTCTTTTGTTCCTTGCTACATTGACATAGTTTTCTAGATCTTTAGCATGACTTTCCATGGCATAATCTGCTGTCAATACCTGTTTAAAGTACATGTATTTTCAAATTGTGGAAAAAATAAAGATTTTAATCTTTCCAATAAATGAAAAAAAAATATTCTGAATGTTTTACACACATTTTTTATATACTCTCCATAACTTTATCTAATGCTTTGTACACAGAGACCACACACACAAATGAAACCAATTTCTGTTCAGAATTAATGCTTACCACTTTATTATTCTTTGGATCCAGTGATTGAAAATGACGAGCTATTTTCAATATTGCCTCTCTTAAGTCAACCAGAATCTCAGTTTGGCGAACATTTTTAGCTTTACCGAAACCATCATCTTCAGTTTCGCCCCAAAGTAATGTTGAAACAAGGGAGCGAGACCTTTTCAAATGCCTTTTGTTTAATTGCTGAAAGAAAATGGTCAAATGTACATGTACTATTACATGTTTTCAAATGTCTTTTGCATACTTTTCAGCATTATTTTTCAGAAGAGACAGTATGATGCATATGACTTACTTGTTTTGGCAGGTTTTTTGCAGAATCAGGATTGACTATTGCACCTTGATCAGCCATTAGGTAGGCCAAATGTTTCCTTCTTTGAGATTCTATCACCATGTCTGTTAGTGAACCAGCCACCCGGTATGAAACCTGGAAATGCAGTTGTTTCTTGTAAACCTCTGAAACACTGTAAAATCATTATATTTATTGAAATGTTACAAAATTGCAGTGTTATTTATTTGTAGACGTGTTACCTCAATGAGTTCCTCTACATCCTGTACATCACCAGGAACATCAGACAGGGAGTTAAAAATCTGTGCAGAGTTATCCAGGGTACGCAACTCATCCTCCTGTAAAGCGTGTACTAAACTTCTCAAACTTACGAATAAAAGATTCACATCAAATGCAAAGTACTTAATACAGATTTTTCTAAAACTCATAAAATTTACTAGTCAACTTTCCAACTTCAGACTTGGGGAATTGCAAAAGGTTTCTGGAAATCCATGTTTGAAAACTGGTAATTCATTAGCACAAGGCATTTTCTCAAGACAATCCATAATTTTTTCAGAAAATTACATGTACATGTACTTGCAATATGACATGATTCAATAATCATTCATGTCTTTTCAATTTGTATATTACCAATTTTACATGAAATTTTACCACTCCAAGAATCACTGCCTGGGATCAGTAAACAAATACATGTATGTGTAGGTAATTTCTATCAAAATTAATGTGACAACAGACCCACTCCTACATAAATATGTTCTTCATGCAGGCCAAAATAATGCTTACCAGGTTTATTATTGGCATACACAAACGTTAGCAAAATCAAGATGCAGATAATGTAATAAACAATCCAATAACAAAACATTTAACATATTTACATTTAAATACCCTAAAAAATGAAAATGGGATACATAAGTTTCATATAATTATAAAACACTATGTACAATAAAAAGTTTGACAAACCTTCATTTTGAGCATGCCCATAGTGATTTGGAATAGAACAGTGGAGCCCTCATAGAAAAATAAATCCCAGATCCTTAAGAGCACCTTCATATGAACGACACTGGCAAACAGAGTGAGAAACCAGTGCAGGCTGATGAGGGAGAGCTCTGTAAAGACATGCTGTGTGCTACAGGATTGTTAATAAACCACATAGGGTCAAGTCATAAACACACAGAGGTTAATGTTTAAAGCAATCAGTATCATGCTCAGTGTCAGTGTGAACAACACAAAAATTAGTCAGGTGGACTGAAATTTTATCTATAAAGTATTTCATTTTCTAGAAATGAGGAAGCTAGCATTGTCAAAAGCTCTTCCTTTTACAAAATTAATCACTAATCTACATTCAACATTCAAATGTTATGCATATAATACTTGTGGTAAAACTGCAGTGTTCCATTTCTCAGTAATGTTAACAAGCACTACAAGTGGACATCTTTTCTTATATTTACACAACATACCAATATCGTGTTCCTTCAGAACCAGATCTATGTCAGGTAAGTAGCTAATAATCAAATGTCGCATCACCCTCTGGTCTGCCTGTTTAAAGGAAGAAATTACATATGTAAACTTTGGACATTTTTCACATCCTCCATAAGTATATGTAATTGATATTCCTGAAGATACTTATAACTTTTTTTCCTTTTTATCTGACTCTGACCTGAATACCAATCAATGTACTGGAGTAGTATGAGGCAGGCAGCAGGTCCTCAATGATGGCACACATCATCCAGAATGTGTCTTCCTCTTCCATAAATAGCAACAATGATCCAGCTATCTACTCAAGCAAAGTAATGAGAAATGTGACATGTCTTCAGTAACTGTATCAATATTTTGTACTAAAATTTTAGTTCATAACAAAATTGGTTTGAGAACAATTATTTTCAATTTTTCAGATCAAAGTTAAGCATTCGTTTTCACATCATATTGAAATTCATGTGTTTCAGCATTACCACATTTTCTCTTCATCTGAATTTTTTATTCCTAACAAAAACACCACCAGTGATGATAAAATCAAAAGCCTGAAAGGCTTCAATGACGTCGAAGAAGAAAAACAATTTCAAAAGATCATTTTGAATTTGAAGATAGCAATAAGTCAAGTGAGTGACTCAGGAAACATAATAAAAAAATAGTTTTAAACAAAATATCACAATTACAGTCTGGGGCCTTATGTCATGGTCCGAATGGAGCAGGGTTCGAATTGACCAGACACCGTCGAACATGTTCATGCTAAATTCTTGTCAGTCAGTTGAAGAACTATGAAGGATTTCATGAATTTATATAATATTTTTTTTAATTGCCAATGTCAAAGCGTTGTATTAGTGATTGCATCTAAACTACAACCAAGACTCTGTTCTGTTACAATTACGATCGAGTTACGATCGGGCGTGGTATACGGTATACTGGGAAATGGAGGAAATGGAGAAATACAGTAATACTGGTCAATATCATCGGCTTTTAGGATAGAATTGGTTAGAAGATTTTATAAGTAAAGCTAAGATTTAGAAATTCAATCTTTTTAGTCTTGTAGTATTCGTGTTTATGTAATTTTGTAATTATTTTACCTCCTGTTGTGTTGTTTATGTTACACGGTTATCGTTCCGAAATGTTATTCATGTCATTCCACGCACCCTTTCTGCAGAAATTCATCCGCAACAACCATCACATTTTTCTTGTGTGAGAATAAAACATAATATTGTTGTTTTGCAATAGAATTAATTGCAGATATAGTTGATGCAATTTTATTTTCAAGCTATTATTCATTTTGAGCGTTTTCAAAGAAATGGTTTATAGCTATTGCTATTTTCTATTGCGGATGCATCGACTGACACATTCGGTCGCGTACATATCCGGTCGCGATTTCAACAGGGCGCTTGCTAGATGACGTTCGAGCTCCAAGAGCTCGACGTCATAAAAATTTCAAAAGAAAATGTCTTCTCTTTTTCACAACAAAAATTTAGTTGGATCTGTAAACCAACTTATTTTGAACTAAAAAAATATTCATTGCATTCTTTTGATGGAAAATTTCACCATATCACATAATCTAGGAGACTTACTACTCCAGTCCCCTGACAGTAGCCAATGTCTGGATATAGCCAGGCCAGACCCCTAAGTATCCGTCTAAGTCTTGGAACACCAGTCCCGTGGATATTACAGAAACAAGCATTGCTTGGCATTGTTCTCAATAGGTCCTGTAACAGAAAAAAGTCTCCTGGTTCCAATGCAATGAAGTGTCTAGATTACAATATTTCATGTAATAAGCCGTAATAATCAAACTTTAGCCATTAAAATCTATGTCACATTTTCTGATATCAAATTGCTTTTATCCTTTAAGAATGTGACTTAATGATCAGGGTTATTTTTGAGAATAAAAGAATTCTTTTCCTGGAATATAAGATGAAAAGTAAATTGATGCACCAATTTCTCAGGAAAGCAGGGCTGCTGAGTCTGAGGATTAAGTTTTAACACCTAAATGCATGTACACAATGTGGATGATGCAACACTGAAATAAACATGCACAACACCTTCTAGTGTTACATGAATTTGTCCAAAATTTGCAATGTTTGGTACCTTTTCAATTTGTTTAGATGTCATTAGTAAATCATTTGAGCTGGCTTTGACAATGTCTTTGTATGTAAGATCAGATTTGATTTTTTTCTCCATCCCACCAGATAGTCTCATCCAGATATGTGGCCGAAGAGAATGAGGAATTCCCTGCTTCACCATGCCCCGTAATTTCTCAGATCTCGGGAGCCTTGGTTCAACCTTTAAAAAAAGATGAAAGAAAATCTTAACCTACATTCTGTAAATAACTTTGCCACTTTAAAACCTTACATGTATCTACAGATGTATTTAATCAGCATAATATTAATACAATATATTTATATCATTCATTTAACAAGGATACCACAAACATTGCAAAATAACCCCTTCAAAGCCAAAGTCAGGTAATAATGTAATTATAAAGCAGAACTTCAAGCATATTCTTATGTTTAAAGAATGATAAAATGTCTATGTTATGGTGCCCTTGACCTTTGATAAATAATCTTGAATAATAAATGGGATCATCCTAACATGATTTGCTACCTACTTCTGAAGTATGAAGCCAGTAGAACAATGCATTCAAGAGTTATCTTTCATAAACCTGAAGTAAGAAGTAACCATCCTCCAGCCCACCTCTTAATAAGATATCAACAATTAAACATAATACCCTACAACTTCTGAAGAGAGATATTAAAATTGAAGTAGCACAATTAATCCTAAAGAAAATTATCCACAGAAATAGTCTAATGGAGTAAAAAGTTGCAGTGTAGACAAATAATGTTTATCTGTAATTTTCTCTAATTTTGCCTGTTTTCATGTGATGTAATGTATAAATTCTGTCATTCAGAACTTTAAATTAAGTACCTTATCCCAAGTCAGATCTCCCACTTCATTGTTGTGTGTGAATTCTAGGTAAGCTGTCCACTTCAACCGATGCTGAGGGTCCTCCACAAAAGGGGTGCTTAAGAGTTTACTAGAATTCTCTTCAGGTCCATCTACAACAGAAAGATATCACTAATACAGAAGCTACTAAGTACAGATTCCGAGATCATAATCTTACAAACTTTGCAATTTGCTTTTCATCCTCGCTAAAATTGATTCTTACAATTGCAGTTTAAAATGAAATTCATGATAAACATACTACATAAACAGATATATTTAAACATACTCACCCTCTTCCTCTACTTTAAAACCAAATTCATCATATCTGTAATCAAGTTGACCATTTGGATCTTCTGGCTACAATATATTAGGTATAACATGGATCACATTACAATTATTTGTAAAACAAGAAATTTAGCACAAATATATTTTTACAGCAAGTGAACCTGCAGAGCTTCTGTTGCAAATATTTTTTTTTTTAGTAATAACTCAACTTCTCTATCAAAATTTAAAATGTGATCTCTTCACTATTACACAGAAAAAGGTTGATCCATACGTTGAATTTCACATGCTTTGTGAATCATTTATTCATTGACATATTGAATTTCAGTCTCAATTGTTTAGCCAGACATTGGACTGTCAATAAACAATGCAAATAAACATAACAAATGAATTTTTGAGCATATTTACTCTATTTTTTAAAGTTTTTGAACTTTTTTTTTAAATTTAAAGCACATGAAAAGTATGATTTAATAAACTATACATTTAAAAATCAAACTAAAATTTAATATAATTCAAAACTCATCCCAGTGCAAGACCTGTATAACAGGGGTTATTAAACTCTAAGTATCACAATGTCAACCCCATGTGATATTGTTCCTCTACAAAACCCTTGACAAAAGTCGCTTAACAAAAGTCTGGATAGAAAGCTGCATTTTCATTTGTTCCCGGTCCTGGACTGGGAACTAAACAGAAAAACAGTCTTAATAGTGGGTAAAGTTTTGTAAACACAAAAAATGGAAAGTATCAGTTGTTGGATTTGTGACCAATTACCTCAAATAAAATATGGTAAATTAATTTTTAGAAGATCCCTCACCTCACAATTGCAAATAAAATAGGTGCTGGGCAATGAGCCACTAGAAAAGGATTTCAAGCATGAAAATAAGCAACACCAGATGAAAAATAAAAAAAGCTAACTTCTGTGCTTTTTCTCTAACTCAGACACCAATTTTATGCTCTTGCCAAATTTTATGCTCTTGCCAATCTTTTTAAGAGATATTCTCAATGGTGGGTTCATTATTAACCATTCATGTGTAACCACAACCCAAACTTTTAAATAGTAACATTTATCAAGGGTTTGTGTAGAGGAACTTTATCACAAAACTTTGACATCGAGAAGATGAACTCTAAGGTGCTTTAGATTAATTGAGCAACTGTCCATGAGACAACAGTGTTAAAGTTATATTGAAATAATAGAATTCACAGAATCTAAATAACACAGATTCATGAGAAGAAATATTTGAGGTATACAAAGACATAGTAATATTACCATTTTATTACATGTACTTGGTAAATTTCATAAAATTACCACAAACTAATGTATTCCTTTTTTTTAATAATTTTAAAAATACACTGTACTTAGATGCTCTGAGTAATCTATTAAGGAACATATTTTGGATATAGGAAAAGGGCTAAAATAAGATGTGTGCTAAATAGTTTTGTTTTGAGTGAATAAACATGATAAACAAACTTGAACATGATTTCAATAAAGATAATATGGAAATTAATCTCATCAATATTTCTGTAAATTAATAAAATATTGGAGTGAACACCTACTGGATTTCCTAACTTAGCAAGAATGTCCTCAGGCCACATTGAAGGAGTCAGTGCTGAAAATGGCCCCCCGGGAGTAGGCACAAAGTCTGATGTTGTATTGTACTGACTGGAGGAGACAGCAATATTCTCTCCATGACCAGCCACCAAATCGTCCTCATCTTCAGACAATGTCTCAACTACAAATATAATGCATTATATAGTAATATACTGCACAAACATATTTATCATTAATCAATCATACCGGTACATCTTTCTAATCTTTCTAACTACCCCCCCCCCCTTTTTTTCTGAAATGAGCCGACAAGCTTTTGTGTAAATGAAAGTGAATTCCATATTATGTAAGCCTTCGTAATAACATTACAAAAAGTTTATAAAAATAGGTGTTTCTACCACTGGTAAACTATGCCTGCATGCTTAACTACTGCATATGTGGCATATGTTCGCCATGTTTTTAACTGGCCAGCATCAAGATCAATGAAGCCGACGTTAAAAATAAGCATCGAAAACGAACCTGTTGTAGCTTTGCTGCTATAACCGTCTGGATTTCTTGAACCAAATACTGACTTTGCCAATTCCATGGGTTTCATTAGATGTCAAACTGCTGTTAATTCAATACAAACATCACTGATCCGTCTGCTTAACGTCCGCCATTATTGTTTTCATTATGATTTTTTATGCAAATTAACCGCGTATGAAAATATTTCTTTTTAATTTTAAGAGGTAATTTAAGTATTTGATGTAAAGGTATATTTCATATGAAATTTGTCGTTTTTTTTTCAATTAATTTCCAATTGATCTATGAAATATTTCATACACCAGAGCTAAAATGTTAAAGAACTATTTTCCAAATAAATTAAAATCGATCCCGACTGTTATCATTGTTCTAAGCTTCGAACCCGATCTGTTTTCAGTCCTTACATTTAAATTAATTATATATTGAAATGGGGTTCGTTTAAGGAATAATAAATACAAACACCATGTTGTTGTTGTGGATAAGTGTATTATCAGTAGTATCAGTTTTATCACAGCTCTGAAATATATATAAACAATCATAAATATTTTATAACAAAGCATACATGTAGATCACTTGCCAGATAGCACGGTCAAATGAAGAGTTATTTCCCTTTAATTGTGCTCATAGATAAAACATTAAGAGTTATCTTTCTTAATCAATAATATGTACAAAGTATGAACACTCTGGAATATATAGATAAAACAATGAGATCAAATTATACTGAACTCTTCCAGAATAATATAATTATATTGACAATATACAAAATATATACATCATACCTATATGTGATATAGAGCCATAACTCCAATATATATATATAGCTGAACACAGCTGTACTCTATTCAGTGATCTGTGCATGAATAATATAAATATAACTTTACTATATTACACACTTATTGTCACAGATATAAAATATACTTATTACTCTGAATATTTACAGTCATAAAATAATCACACAAACTGAACTTTCATACTTTATATTAGAATATTATTATTTGGTAATTTAGCAGATAAACAATTATATAGAAATAATGAAATCAGTAAAAGTAAACTTACATTCTGTCCTGTCTTGGTCATTGTCATAAATAAGTCATCATATCAAAAGCCAATATGTCTACTCAGACCAAGATCTCCAACAAAAGTAATTAACTAAGTAAAAACCAAAAGAGAGGGAAACTAACCAACCAATGAAATCCAAGTTGGCCTGGACACTACACAAGATATATATAGAAAGGGACAGGGGTTTAAATGACCACTGTGATGTCATACATCTATAAATAACTAAATAAACACAGATTGATGTAAATAATTCCATGTGGATTTATTCAATAAATGAAATGCTGTAAAGAAATAAATATGACAATTTAACTGAATTAATTTAATCCTGAAATATAATAATTAATATATAAAATAAATCACTCTATCAAAGAACTACACACACAAATCTCGGTTCCCTCCTACATTAATTCAACATTAAGGCAATTTAGTCAATGAAACTTTTTGAATGCAAAGATTGATAATTTCAATACCCGAGTCAAAGAGCTTATTGATCATAATTATAACTCTTTTGTGGGTTGGGGAGGGGATTTCATCAATTGAAATCAGGCTTTAAAACATCACCAGATTTTAAGATACTCATGGATCTATATGACATTTGTATAAATGACCCTTCAATCTTTCAGTATGTTTATTTTGTGTAAAAAAAAATAAAATAAAATAGATAAAATAAATAAATAAATAAATAAATAAATAAATAAATATATATATATATATATATATATATATATATATATATATATATATATATATATATATATATATATATATATATATATATATATATATATATATATATATATATATATTATATATTTATATACATATATAATATTAATAAAGTACAAATTTTCAGCTGAAATCTCATTCTAAATTGGTAATAAAATGGATATTTTCGCGTGTGTAAACATATGCCCCCTCCCTCTCGGTGAAACAACAATTTCAAGCTTTCGTGTACAAAATAGCACCTATAAAAAAGGACTTTTGTTTCACTGAAGGGGTGGGTTTCAATAATTTTCAGTTTTCCATTGATTTCTATTGTGAAAAACACATATTTAACCAAAATCATACATGATTAGAGGGAGAGATTAGAAATCTTGTTTTCCCAAGTAAGTTTTAGTATATGAAAATTCATATACATGTACATGTATATCTTAAAATATGGGGAAAAAATCATTCAAATATGTTAACCTTGAAAATTAACTTGAGGTAGGCGGCAGAAAAATACTTTGTTCGCAATTTTTAATTCATCGTTTCTAAAACTTGTGTTGATCTGAATAATTATCCCCTGGGTAAATCGGGAAATTACCGTCAAAGGTGTCTGAGACTATTTTCATAATGCTAGCATGTTACAATATGGCAAAATATATACAAAAATAACTTTAACCAGATTGTAAATAAGATAATCAAGATTTAAATTCCGAGAACGGACAGGGAGTGATACTCGATCGGTTTCAGGATGGTTTGGGTTTTTTTCTCTGCCTTAAAATAAATATGTGCCGGAAACTTCTGCAGTTTTTTGTTTGTTTGTTTGTTTTTAATATCATACCGCTATGTACTTTCGCAGTACAGTTAAGGTGACTAATGGAAATATCGGCGAATTTTTATATCGAAAATACATTCTTTACAAGGATGGGCGATTCTTTTTAGGACTTGACTATTATCGGACAAATGTAATGTGGTTGAAAACTACAAGATTTCTTACCTAGACTTGTGACGTAATGTGGCAATCACGTGATCGCGCGTGATTTTAGCAAATATACCTGCAGTATTGAGGACATCTATAAATTCCAATATTGCAAGGGCATAACCACGTTAAAAATCTCAGTTTAATTTATAATTATTTTCAACACTCTTTGTAGTTCGTGAAAAGTGCTGCGAACCTATATAGATTCTACTATATAATTGCTAAAATTACGTTTGTTATAGACCGTATGTTGAATATTTTGCTGGTCAAGTACATTATATATATATATAAATAACTAATCAGGTTCGCAGCACTTTTCAAATATCTTCATACCTCTTGAGTTTATGTGTAAAAGCTTGTCATAATTCATTTAGGGTATGCCCCTTGCAATATATCGATTTATTACGACCATTCTATTACCCTTCAATGAATCTGCATTCAAATATATCCTGGCGTTACCGGTTTTCGATAGTGTAAAACTTTAGTCACAAATTTAATCTGTGTATCTATGTTTTTCTCACCTTAACTATTTATGTATTATTAGTCAACAATACATAAATATATCTGACCTTAATTTGTTTTTGAAATCATAAGAATTCCAGTACTGTTACAACTTTCTTTGGATCCGCCATAATCCGAGTTGTTTTGAATGACGTCACCTATTTTCGATAGCAAGTATGGCGCACAGTAATTGGCATAAAAACATAAAATTAAATTAATATGTTGTGGATTTTTGTTTTGTTTTGTTCGTTTGTTTGTTTGTTTATTTATTTTTTTTTTAACCATCTTAACAAAAATAAATAATAATTAACCAAAACATTTAATTTAATAGAATTTCTTCAATTCTTCTTCTTCTTTTTTTTTTTTTTGAAATTTTATGAAATTGAAAGTTCAAGTCAGGAATCATTGACTGAAATAACAATGTCAAACACAATGAGGGCATTTAATTTGTGTGTCTCTTCTGATTACTTTTTCCTTCACACAGTAGGACAGGTGCACCCAGTGTCCACATTGGCATTGTCCCCACCTAACAAACTCAATGTAAGGCTTAAACTTCAATTGTTCAGGCTCCAGTCTATCACAGACACAGCACTTTTCCTCATCAGCTAATGACTCCTCATCTGACAAATCAATTGATGGATGTGAAGTATTTGAAACCTTGGAAGGACCTGCTGTATCTTTAGAAGGACCTGCAATTTGGTTTTCCACTAGCTTTGCATTCCCTTTTCCTTTCCCCTTCCCTTTTCCTTTTGTTGAGTGTTCCGACTTTTCATTGTATGCCTGAATTTTATCAAATACATTCTTTTCTGTTATGGCTTTCCCTGCAATTATGGAACTGAGATTTCTTCTTGGTTTTTTTGCCTTCTCCACAGCTAAGAGGACCTCTCCACCACGCTTCTTGAAAAAGCTTTCAGCAGTAGAAGTAACTTTTTCATCAGAGATAACAGTAGCTGTTGTTGAAGTTTTGGTGATGTCTACCTTGCCTTTGTATACAAGAGATGGTAAAGTCCTGCTTTCACTAATTGTTGATGAATTTAGAGGATAAATACCAGTTTTCCTGAAGGCTGATCTTAAATTCTGAGGACTAAGGGCAGTGTCGTAAACTTTGCATACAAGCCTGCACACGTCATACCTTGTCACTGAACGACCGACACTCTGTCGCATAAATTTATGAGCTTCTTGCTGATAAAGAGTCTCGAATGGACCAAAACAGCCAACGTCCATCGGCTGTAAAAGATGACTCGTGTGAGGAGGCAAGACAAAAAGAATGATGTTGTTTTCACGGGCCCACTGGATTAATGAAAGAGATGTATGGCTTCTGTGACCATCATACAAAAGCAAAATCAGCTGTCCGGGGTTCCCAGAGACATATCTGGTAAAATGATTCTTGACATAGTTATTGAAAATTTCAGTATTCGAATAGCCTGTGTCACTCATGGTCCCATCACAGCCAGTGGTGGCACCATCTAATAATTCAGGTAACAAACGTTTACCTGGAAACACCAGAAATGGAGGAATACTGCTCCCCACAGCATTTCCACATCCAATAACAGTAATTGTTTGGGACCTCTCAGATGTTACAACTTGTGCTGCCATCCCTTTTGCTGCAACAATGTTTGGAGGCTTTGACCCACCTGTGTTTATTCCCTTTTCATCAACATTAAATATAAGTTGAGGCTTATCCCCCAGTCCATACCTGTCAATGATGATTTTTAGCTCTTCAAAGTACTTGCTAATACATTCCGGAGATGCGGCTTTTGCTCGTAGTTCTGACAACCCTGATGGTTTTACTGCATGAAGCTCAGGCCACCTCCTCATGAAGTTATAATACCACTTCATTGTTAAGTCTTTCCCCTTTTCCCTAATACAGAGATCTACAGCATAGTCAGAGGCAAGGTTCAGCACCTCTGCACGGGTATATCCATATCCTATCTCAGACATTGTCTTTACATGCTCCACTATGTAAGATTCCTGTTCCTGAGTAAACAGTGGTGGGGGTCCTGATGATGCTACATCAATACTTATTCGTCCATCCACCCTGTCTCTTAAAGTTGTCAGGGGAACTTGAAACCGTTTGGCAGCACCATGAACACTCATCCCCCCTTTTACTGCTTGGAAAGCATTATCCAAAGCCTCTGGACTATAGTTCTTGTAATTTCCCCTTTGGATGGAAAATATCTACAAGGAAACAAACAATAAAGCAACAGAAACAAAATCTTAAAACATAGAAAAATCTCGAAATTTAAAGTAAAATACATGTAACGGGCTTCCATACTTTTTTTTTTAAAGCGGAAGTTTGCTCAAAGTGAGGCTTATCTATTTTTAGACCATAACACAGAGCTTTTAAACAGACGACAACTTAGGGTGATCAGATGTTGTTTTCAGGCTTCAAAGATAGGGTATTTAGGGTGGATTTTTTTGCATTATGAGAAAAGGGCGTGATTTGAATAGATAAATAGAGAAATAATATCTTACCTCTCTAAATGGCATAATTTTCGATCTTTTTGGTTTTTTTTAACACTCTACGTCTGATGCTAATTTTAGGAGAAGCGTTCCGAAAAATGACGTCAGGTTTTCCGAATGGTTGTTAAAAAAAGTAGCCTATCGAAATTAGGATACTATCGAAAATAGGTAACGGCACGATACTGCAGTATAGCTTGTCTAGGAAATATACGGGAAGTATAGGAATAAAATCACAAAATAGACATCGCATCCAAGTTTATGGCCTCTTATATATCTGCAAATACATTTTATTTAATTACAAAATACATTTTTCATTGTATGAAATATATCTTGATCCGCCTCTCACTGCATACAAACTGCGTCAAATGTTGCGATATGACGTCACATTGACAAGTGCATTGCGATCGGTGAATTGTTTATATATTGCTGTGTAGGATTTAACCAACGACAAAAATACATGCAATAGTAAGTATTGATGTAGTTTAAAGCTATCCAACAGTTTAAAATAGCAAATCATTTCATTTTGTGGTAATTTGAAGAACATATATTTTTGTGTGATGTCATAGTAAGCATTTCCCGTAAAAATTAGGCCCCGCCTCCTTATTGCAGCCTAAACTGTGCTGCGTTAAAAAAAAGTATTGTCATAGAAGTATGATATATTTCAAAGTGCTAGCATTACTTGAGGCCCTGCGATTTTTTTTTTAAGGAGGAGGGGGGGTATTAAATTGAGAACACAATACACCGTAATTGTACACCGTAACATAAACCATACTGAGAGTGAGCCTCTATGATTCAGATGTATCTTAATGGTAAGCAAGTCTTTTTAACACGTTTATATATTCATTCTTGGAGGACATTTCCAGTAAACAATCTTGTAACTTATAATCTTACTGATTTTAGTGAATACCTCAAACTGGCTCAAAAACGGTCTTTTCCCAGCCAAACTTACTTGGAAAAAGCTAGAGAGAGAGAGAGAGAGAGAGAGATCTTCACTCATATATATATAGAAAGTCCTCCCAAACAGACTCCAGATATCTGCAGATTCTGAAGTGCAATCTTTCCAGATATTTCCTGCACATCACAATCATGTTCTTGCGCTGATCTCAGCCTTACATAAACGTATATAGGTGTGGTACGTTTTTGTATACATAGTATATTTTGTATAAAAGTGTTAGAATCTTTATTATAACAGCTTTTTAAGTATATGGGAAGTAGATTCTTATATTTTTTCAATACAATCCGGTATACAAGCCCCCTATATGCCCCAATCACCAAACAAAACACCAAATTTATAGCATCACACCAAAGACATAAAAAACATTTCGTTATTCTTGCTATTCTGTCTATCTGTAAATTATTAAGTTATTGAAATCATTCCGAGAAAAGAGCAAGTAACTCCCATTTAATGTTGACATTCGAAACACAGTTATTGCCCTTATCTGACGTAGTAATATTTTGTTCATCTTAGTAACGAAAACAATTAAAGAAATATTTTATCAATCAACATTGATAATTTTCTACAGTAAGAACAATAACAAAAAATAAATGTAGGGTATAATTTTTTATAGTCATTGTAATTAACCATAAAAGAAATAAGAATACCGAGATATTATTCTGGACTATATTGACAGGTACTCGAATGCGGAGTGATTTGTTTATGTGCGTTGAGTTATCCGTCGTTCTCCAACATGTGAAAAATGATGATATACTTTACTAAATAACTTTTGGACTGGTCATTGTTTGGACTTAATTTTCCAAAACCAGTTTAGAGTCATGTCATCGGAGGCCGTGGTTAAAACTGTAGCCAAAAAATTGTAAGTTGAAAAACGATTATAGACTTCATCCTTATGATACACAGAGTCTACAGAAGATGTTAGGTCAAAAGGCAAAAGCTCCATTCCCAAAAATTAGAAATATATAATAACATGTTAGCAAATTTATGATATCGTTAAACACAGGGACTTGAGACAATCTTAGCAAAATCGGGTATATAGTATAATAGGGGACCTCCCCTATTATACTATATACTCGATTATGCTAAGATATTGTCTCAAGTCCCTGTGTCCTTAAATATGATATGTACATGGTGATAACAGATGGATAAACAAGAACTACTTGTATAACTTGATAAGTATGCTTGCTGCAAGCTGAATGTGGCAGCAAATTAATTTCAATAAGATATGTGCATGTTTACTAAACTTTTCACTGATTGAGAGAATAGTAGCACTCTCAGTTTAGGTGTTTCTCAATAGCAATAGCTCTGAACCACAATTGCAAGACCTTATCCCTTACAAATTCTGTTAATAACTTCATTGTTTAAATGTATTACTTCCTGCTATCTGGCACTCATCACCGTATGTATTTTCACACCAACTCATATTTAGATGTCCTTTCAAATTATAATTTGATTATCCATTGTTTACTTTATTCATTGTGTCAGAGCCATTCCCACTTCTGCAAACCTTGTTTGTAGGGCTTTTGGAACAAATAATGATACTTGTACTCATTGTTTGCATCCATGCATTTTATCGTGTTTATAGGCAATTCAAAGATTATTTAATAATTAATAGTATTCAATAAAATTCATCAGGTGACTACAAATGGTTTTGTTATTTTTAAAATATCTGAATATGTTGGTCTGATAAAATAAGTTATAATGCACCACTCTACAAACAGCATCTGGAATAAGTTTTTTCTTTTTACTCATTGCTTTAATTAATCCATTTTTTTACTTATGTAAAGGAAAATACTATTTTGTTCTGTTTGTGTGTAGGAAATACTATTTTGATGTGAAGAGGTTGGAAGATGGATTTGACCTGTCAGGTGTAAATTGTCCCCAGCTAGACCATCCTCCACTGAAATCAGTAAGTATCTCAATAGATCTACAGGCTGTGAAGTCAGGATGATTAACTTTTATTACATTTTACAGTGAAAGAACTTCAAACAGCAAAGACATGTCCCTGCCACCATGAAAGTCAAATGTTAAAAAAATTTTGAAATGTGCACAGTTGCATATATTCTATAAATTAAACCTGAATTCTCAAAAATGTGTTATTGACTGGGGTAAAATATTGGCATTTTTGTATCTGTGATGTCACAAACTTTTGAAATTTTTATAGAGCCAAAACTTGCTTTGGAAATATTTTCACATATTTCATTGAAATTATCATTCTACACATTGTATCAAAAGATGGAGTCTAAGCATACCTGTGCTCAATATTTTCCAGTCAAATAATTGACGTAAAATACACTATTTTCTTATGAAATCATTGAAATAATGAATCTACATCATTTTGTTGATGTCATATCTAACTTATGACATCAGAGTGGATGAAAATGTTTGGTGCTTTGAATCTGCATATATATCCTCCTGGCTTTGAACATAATTTAAGATTTCCTCCTCAAAGTTTGATTTTGGGATATTGACCATTACTGAATATAGTCCTTTATCCATTGAATAAAAGTGATATTTTTCACAGTGAAAAATATCAAAGTTCGGCAAAACTATGGATTTTCCTTCCATGCAAGAAAGTGCTATAAAAATGCTTCCTGTTATAAGATAGCGAGGGTATATAAACCATCCAGACACAGACTAAAAATGCCATTTTTCCCAAAAGTGTTGTAAAATCGATGTTCACAATTTTCAATCTAACAATTGCTAAGCTATCACGTCTCACAACCGCTCAACATGACGTCACAGCCTGTGACAGGTACCATGTAAGGTAAAGGACAGAGGCAAAAGGAAAATCAAAGAAAAAGTAATAAACAGAAAATTCAATGTCTTGTTGTTGGATATGGAATTTATTTTAAGAGTGGGACAGAATTTTTGTGTAAGGAACCCAGTGAGCACAATGAAGTGACCTCTGTAGATTAATGTGTAAGAAAAGAGGAAATTTGAATAGAAATATGCACATTCATCAAGCAAATTTTTATGAGAAACCTTCCCAGAATTCTTTTGCTACCACAATTCCATGCAATAATGGTGAATCACATGGTAGTACTGCAGGTATTAAAAGATTTTCTTAAACTACAGAGAACTTAAAGGAAACAAAAAATTTCAATAATTGCATCTACTCTACAATGCCTTTGTGAAAAGATTGCACTGTTTAGATTTCCGTTATGGAAGTGCAGCTAATATGTGACATCGTGTGATGTCACAGTCTAGACCATGTTTTTGTTCAAACTTCTGAATTACAATTACAGGAATTAAAAAAAAAAAATGTAAAACAGTAAAAAAAGCGGCATCCTAGCATCCAAATATATATAACTATAATGAAAAAAAGTGAAGTTATGTTTTCGCATTATATTTGTTAGAATAATCATGGAAATTCATTTAAAATAAAAGTAAAAATTATTTGTGAAAATATGATAGTATCATGATGTTTTTGGAAAAATAATCATGATATATCCCGATTCAAAATTTTAGGCAATACCCATCCCTAGTATATGTGTAATTTAAATTGAATGTACCTGGTATGTAGTATATAGATCATTTGATTGATATCATACATCATGTTACTACATGTAAGACATAACTATCACTTTTCTAGACCTTCAATTAGTAAACTAAAGTATCAGGATGATTTAAACATCCCTGACTTTAATGTTAAACGTTAAATACTGGTAACAAAAAAAGTAAATAAGCAATTTTGTGATAAATATAAAAATATGGTCAAAATTGATGTAAGTGCTTGCAAAAATACAGGTATATAATCAAACTCCAAACTGTGTACATTCTGGTGATCTGCCTGTCTCATAAAAGATGGTAACAATGTATAATTATTGATTTACTGATGGTGTAATGATTTATTAATGATGCTGCCCCTCATTAACACTGATAGGAGTACCCTCGTGTTCCTGGACTCCTGAACTAGGACCGTTTGTCTGTATGTTTACATTATGTATTATTATTTTGCACAGAGGCCCACCCTCCAGTACGATGGCCTACATGACCGTGCCCTCAAGCATTACTTCAGCCTGCCGAATGTCAGGGTCAAACTCACTCAGATGGACATGGTAAGTTACAATTCATAAATTTCTGCTGCAAGGCCACAGACTAAATATCAGCTGTCCTGGTAACTTGTTAGCATTAATAACTGAAGTCTATTTGAACACCTGAATGTTTGCTACTGAAAATAAAATGAACCATATAGAATCCAAGAAAAAAATTGTACTGCAAAGGGTTATATTCTGCTTGAAGATTTAGCGTAGTAGGGTATTCATACTTAAGACTTGTTTTTAAAATGTTAATATTCTCTTGGTTTTGTACATTGTTAGCAGAAGAATCCAGTATAAGAACATAACATACCAGTACATTTTCTCCCTCATCCTAATTGTTCCTTTTTTATTAATTGCTTTATTAGTCATGATGGCACTTCTATTTATTAATAATAAATAAAATATTACATTGTATTAAATATTTGATATAAAATAGATGAAAAATACTTTCAAAAGTGCTGTGCAACTCATGTTTTATAAAGCATGCACATTGTTTTGTCTCCGGCTTTGTAAACTTATAAGTAGATTTAGTCAAATTAAAAAATTTAATTCCATAATGAGTTTCTTACTCCATATTTCCAATAAACCTTGAGGTTTTTAAAGCTCCGAGTTTAAATAACAGAGAGTATATTTTGTGTTGTGACATTGACGTGTTAAATGTTTACTGTTGAGGAGTTCTTTGTTTATCTTGGACAACTCTCTGTTTCATATTCAATAGTTTGTTTTAACAGCAGATCAACACAACACTGCTCCAGGATATACACAGATTTAATGTCCCTGTATAGTACTAACTGGTCCCAGTACATCAGTATAATATTTTTGTAAAGTTTATAACATACCAGGTTACAAGAGTTAAAAAAAAGTAAGCCTATAAAGAATTCCATGTGATGCCAATGCCATGATCTAGGATATGTGGGTAGGTGGGGGAACTGGAACCCCCTGGGATTTTCAGAGTTTTAATACATATATAATCAGGGTGAGACAAACTCCGTGACCACTAGTTCCAGGAGACAAGTATGAAATCATACCCACTTGTCCCTATTATGATTTTAACTGTCCCTAATATAAAGCTCACTTTTAGCCAAGTAATAAATTAAAATAAAAAAGATTAAAGCTTGTCATTTATTTATCTTTTCAAATTGTTTCTGATGTACATATGATATTTACATTGTATTTATTCACAGTCTATTAGTCTCTTGTCAAATCTGGAGGCACTTGTTTCATTTTCTTTTACATTATCACTGCATATAAATACAGTCAAACTTCGTTATCTCAAACTTTACAGGACCAAAAAAATACTTCAAGATATCTAAGGATTTGAGATATCCAGGGTAAAATACTTAAGAAATAAGCACTTGGGACTTTAAAATCACTTCAACATATCCATGGTATTCAAGATGTCTGTGTTCGAGATACCGAAGTTCAACTGTAGAAGAAAATTATCACACCCAAAATTTAAGTTGTCACCAGGGAAAAGCAGAATATGACATCCACTTGTTGGGCTCAGTGGATATCAGAGAAGTGCTTAGTACTGGGATTTTGATTTTTGATCATATATTGGGAATATACCAGTACCAATTGTTGAACTTAGTCATTTTTATGCAAAAATAATATTGCATATAGGCTACATCATTTGTCTGAATAGCTGCTTCAATTTTCAAGATAGGAAGCTTTTATTTTGCAGATTAATTGTACATTTATCAGAGATAATGGTTAGCATCTGAATTTTGATTTTTGGTCATTTATGTGGAAAATACGATTTTCACTCATCCAGGATGAGTGAACAAGTCCTTTTTTTGCATCCTTTATAGTGAAGTAACAAAAAAATAACCTTGGAGTGGCTTTAGTAAAGAGAATATTAGATATAAAGGAAAGTTACAGATACATGTGCCCCCTCTCTTCCCCCATCACAATTCTCATGTAATAAGATTGGGAGAAGTTGTATATGTTTTCTTATTTTCCTTTTTTATGTCACCTGAATCACTCAGGTGACCTCTTGCTGTCTGTTTGTCCGTCGTTGTCCATCATACAGCATGCATCAACATTTGAACATTTTTAGCTAAGAACTTCTTTGAAACAGCTGAAACAATTTCAACTGATTTTAGCATATGGCATATATGGATGAAGGGGAACAAAAATTGTGAAATTCATGGTTCCTGCCTCCTGGGGCCTGAGGAGTGGGTTAAAACTATCAAAATTAATGCAGTCTTTAAAAATCTTCTTTATTACTCCTGGACATCAAGGAGTTAAACTGTTGGTATGATTGTAATAAGCATTGATCCCTCTACCAAAATTGTGAAATTCATACCCACTGGGTTTATAGGTATTCTGGTATGAGGACGGGACTCTATTGATCATATAATGAAAATGCATACACTCTTTGAAAACCTTCTCTCTGCCCCTGTATATTTAACATACATACTAAGTGCATGATTATGATGAGCAAGAGTGCCCCTTAAAAATTTAGAAATTCATGACTCTGGGTCAGGAGTTCTGGTATTAAGATGGAATTCAATTGATCATGTTATGAAAATGCATACATTCTTTAAAAATCTTCTTCTCTCTCCCCTTGTATATTTAACATACAAACTAAGTGCATGATTATGATGAGCAAGAGTGTCTGTTCAAAAATTGAGAAATTCATGGCCCCAGGGTTAGGGGTTCTGGGTAGGACAGGGCTCTGTTAAAATCAAATTGTAATAATATATAAATTCTTTATCTTCTACCCTACCCCTTGGTATTTAGCAAAAAAAAAAAAAAAACTTAGTGCATGGTTATGATGAGCAAGGATACAGTCTCTTCCAAAATTGTGAAATTCATGGCCCCTGGATCAGGGGTTCAGGTGTTAGGACAGGGCTTTGTTGATCACATAATAAAAATGCATAAATTCTTTAAAAACCTTCTTCTCTGTCCCTGGATATTCAGCACACAAACTAAGTGCATGGTAATGATGAGAAAGGATGCCTCTTCTGAAATTGTAAAATTCATGACCCCTGGGTTAGGGTTTCTGATGTTAGGATGGGGCTCTATTGTAATGATCATATAACGAAAATGCATAAATTCTTAAAATATATTTTTCTCTGCCTCTAGGTAATTAGTAGACAAACTGATTGCATGTTTATGATGTGCAAGGATGTCTCTTCCAAGATGAAATTCATGACCTCTTGGTTAGATGTTCTGGTGGTAGACAGGGCTTTATTGATATCATAATATTTAGTGAAAATGCATTAGTCTATTAGCATTGGCAAGTACAAACAAGCAGATAGATCTGCTTATTATGATTTGTTAGTGAGTACTAAACTTATTATTTTGCTGATCCCTGATCATCATATTTCTCATGATTTTGGGCAATATATCTTCAACTATTAGTTTTTGTTTTATTTAATTTGTACTTCTATGGATCCTTTACAGTGTTGTATCATACTCAGGTGAGAAGAGGTGTCAAAAGATTTCTCCTTTTTTTTTTTTTGGAGTGGGTACGGAATCCTCCTCCCCTCCCCCATCCCGAATGCTTTAAATATAATGATTGCACTGAAGTGTGTGAGTTGTGTATTTCTATTTCTTCCATGTTTTTTAAAGAGACTTCTGGATATAATCACTCATGTTGGGCTAGATTTTTTAGAGTAAATCAACCCACATAGAGATTATATACTTTGTGCTTCAAAAAAGAACTCAACAATTCATCAGAAGTAGCTGTGAATTATCCCTGAATTATTTATAACTATCTAGAGATAAATCATCCTTGTTTGTTCTCTAGAAAAAGAGAGTATTGACTTTATGTAATGCTTATAGTAAGCAATGGATACAAATGGTACATCCCTAGGCAACTGTCGTACACAAACAACTGGTGCAGCAGCGATGTTTAGATCATACATACAGTAACACATTATAGAGGTTTATTTGGAAAAAAGAAATGATTTTTGTAAAAAAAAAAAAAAAAAAAAAAAAAAAAAAAAAAGATAATAAAATATTATAGAATCCTACAAATCTTCCCATTTCACACCCAAATTTGTCTGCTATCTCTTAATTAAGGAATTGACCACATGGCAAGCATTTCATAACAATTTATAACAGTGACAGTGGATGACATTTTAATATACACAGTGGAATAATAAAGTGTTATAAAGGTGTGTCTGTTACCTGTCTGACATATTGGGCTCTTACTAGTAACTATTTGTTGTGCATGCCATCAGGAGTGTTCGAATGAAGGTATTGATTACTCAGAGTGTTTTAGGAGAAAAGTCAGGATACAATATATTCTTTATCAAAATGTAAATAGCAGAATAATCTACCATACTACAAAAAAGAAAGACTTGTTTGTAATCTGAAGATAAGGGAATAAAAAAGTTCATAGGACAAATCCGTTTTAATGCCATGAATTAGTCTTGTCATTACTGACTTAAGCAGAGGACGGATTTTCTTGTCAAGAGAAAAATTATCCTGTTGAAAATAACTGCTTAAGAAAAACATTTATACATGAAACATTTCACAACATTTTAAAATAGTTGGGATGTAAAACTTCAAAAATCATTCAGTTGCCCATATAGCATTGATGCTTTTTATGAAGTGAGTGTCAGATTATTTGAATTTGCTTTTAATTTCATTTGTGTAGACCATTGAATTACCATGATTACAGTAATGATAACCCTGATTTATAAGTATGGGATTGAACGTCTGACATTTAAAATACTCTTAAAAATCAGACATGATCCTATGAAAAGTTTAATACTTAAGATTCGAGTTTGTAACCCTCCAACAATAAGACTGCGCAAAAAGTATCTTTATTGGCATGGAAGTGGGACTGGTTGTTGATGTACACAAACGTGTATGAATAAATAAATGGTGGCTAGGGCTTTTAGAATTCATTTAATGTTATAGAAAGATGAATTGTCAAGCAGTGATGATTTTATTGAGCTCTACTATACATGTTTTACAAAATCTACTTTCAATTAGGATACTTGAAAACAAAAGAAGTGCCATAGTCTTTGTGCAAAAGACACTTCCTTGATTGTACAAACCTTTTCTAAAAAGAAAATGGGCTCTTTAAAGTTATAATAAGGGAAGGAGTCAGTGTGCCATTCAGAATGCTGACATGCAATGATCAGATGTGTGTGCATTATTATTTCATAGAGATCCATATCTTGTAGGTCTTATCCACTGATATTTTCTTTTGTTCTGATTTTTCTTGGTAGAAAAAAAATTGACGCCTTTAAAAAAATTTGGTAATTTTCAAGTTGAAGAGTGCATCCAATTCTTGACAATCAGTTATGATAGAGCGGCATATCAATGGTGTAATGTATCCAGTATAAATAACTGTCCCACCTGCCTGTTAAGACGGAAACAATCCTCCTGACCCCCTTAGTAACAAAAGAGAACAACAAGGGAGATAAGCTTGAAACTTGGGTATTGTGTAGTCGCTATGTAAACGATGGAGAATGCACAGTGCTCTGTATCTTTGAGAATGTGGTCCTACATATTTTGAGTCAGTAAAGACAAATTTTGAGCAGTTTATGCTAAATTTAAAGAATACTTTTACAGAACAAGTTTCTAATTATTTCATATGTATTGCTTTGACCTTACTTTACTGATTTTTTGTAGGAGGAGAAAGACCCAAGACAGAAGATAGTCAAAAAGAAACTTAAACGTCACATGATCAAGCATCACTTCCTGGTGAGTTTGGGAATTTTTACTTTTATTGCTCAATCTTTGCAAAAATTATGCAATTCATAAATCACAATTTTTACATAGAAATCATGATATTTTACCATTCTGGATACAAAGTGAAAATTTTTCTTTGACTATAGTATGTTTATAAACTAGAGGCTAGAGAAATGAGGACCCAACCCACCCCTACCCCTCCATCCAGATCTTTTTTATAAACAGCATATATTGAGAATGAAATAATTAACCCTCAATTAAAGAATGCATAAAAGCATGCATTTTTAGCAGAACTTTTAATCATGATATAAACACCACAATTTCAATTCTAATCAAGTCTCCTCAGTCTAATTGCTTCCCCTCCCAACAATCTCAAAATGCCTCTGATAGGTCTGCAAAGAGGACAGGATATAAAGAATTATTATTATGCATTATAAAGCTTACTCGAGACCCAGATGTGGAACCATTGTCTGCAATTTATGGACCTCCAAAATCAGGTGGACCACGACCTCGGGTAAACATCAATTGTTATGTGAAAGCACTGATGTTGCATATATTTCACCTACTTATGTCAGTTTACTGTTGTGATTGTGTGGGTGAATAAACAAACATTTAAATGCACCTTCCACCCTGCATGATCAATCTCTTCTGTTAAACTGTTCTGGAGGTCAGTTGGCAATCAATCTTTATCTTATGCTTAACCTTGAGTTCAATCTTTTTATGTGTAGAAGAGTTACTTGTGTGTATATTTTCTGTCTAGCACAAGCCTGCATGCAATGAACAGTGTATCTGAATTGAAAATGTATGAATGTTTGAATCATAATAATTAATGACATGTCTGACGGAAAATCTTCTTATAGCCTAGCAGGGATTTTCGAAGCGATTTATGAAACCTTAACTTCTCATTGAGTGATTCTTAGCAGTATATGTCAAAATGCTCTGAATTTGATTTAAGCATGTTTAATATTGCACACTAAAAAATCAATCAAATAAAAGCAAATCTTTAGCTGGCAAATAGAAATATTCTTTTGTAATTAAAAACTTAGGATTAAAACATTCCCTTGTATGATGAAACTTCTATTCCATCTTGAATTTCAACACCATTAAGTATTGAAATAAAATAATTTCTTTTTACAAAGAAAATAAAGTTGTGCAAATGTTTATTCTGAAAGAACTTGTAAATAAGTTGTGAAGATTTAAAATAAAAATATCCTCCACCCCCCCAAAAAAGATCACTAGCAACACATCTTGAATTATAATGAAAAATGAAAGTCATTTGAAAAGCACATGAAGAATTGTTGGTGGCATGAAAAAAAGTGTGAGCATTTTTTTTACCCACATATAAATATATCAATGTTCACGGACATAGATTTATTAACCCAATAATGTAAAACAGTTGTCTCTGTGGTTCTTTTTTTTTTTTTTGGTCGTGCATTATGCATCAATCTTATATCATGTTAAGTTGCAATTTTTTAATCAAAAAATTCAATCTGCAAGCCATTAGTTAGTTAATTCAATTAAAAGTTTGTATGTTAATAGCCCTCTACACTGCCAGAATATGCCTACATAGAAACCAGAGAGGGGAGACAACTCAGGAGAGACATGACTGGATTCGGAATTCTGATGCAGTCACAACGTCCCAAGTAAGACATCTTAACAGATACAGAAAGAAGGACTTAATAGTTAGTTAACATTAATTATAGATTAGAAAAAAAAAAATGAAGAAGAGCAGATAATGCATAGATCAATGAATACTTTCAGATCCTTAAAAGGAGGCTGGCCTCTTCTGAGGAGTGTTCCCAGTCATAATGTCCCCAGGTCCGAGGCCAAAAGACTCGTGGATGCAGCAGCCAAAGTTCTTATTGCCACTGTAAGATCATTAAAAACAGATTTATCATCAAAATGAATGAGATATTGTTAGACGTGAACATGGGAACATGTTATGAATAAAGGAAAATGGAGTACATAATTAGGGATAGAAATATGCTAAATTAACTTCAATTTTTATGTCACCTGAGTCACTCAGGTGACCTATTGCTATCTGTTTTCATACGTGCAAAGTGAGTTGTTTGTCGTGTGTTAACATTTGAATGTTTTCAGCTTCTTCTCTGGAACCACTGAACCAATTTCAGGCAATTTTTGCATAGAACATCTTTGAGTGAAGGGGAACAAAAAATATGAATTTTATGGTCCCTGCTCACCTGGGGCCTTAAAGTTGGGGCTAAAACCATCAAAATTAGTGCTATCTTTAAAAATCTTTTTCTTTACCCCCGGACACCAAGGAGTTAAACTGTTGGTATGATTGTAATAAGCATTGAGCCCTCTACTAAAATTGTGAAATTCATGGCCCCTGGGTTCGGTGTTCTGGAGTTAGGATGGGGCTCATAGATCATATAGTAAAATTGCATAAATTCTTAAAAAATCATCTCTCCCCCTGTATATAAAGCAGATAAACTAGATGCATGTCTATGATGATCAAGAGTGCATCCTCCAAAATTGTGAAATTTATGGCCCCATGGTGAGGGAAGGAGTGGGAGGTTCTATTCATTATAAAGTGAGAGTGCATTATTTCTTTGAAAATATTCTTCTCTGCTCCTGTGTATTAAGCAAACAAACTAAGTACATAGCTTTGATGAGCAAGGATGCCCCTTCCAAAATTGTGAATTTCATGGCCCCTGGGTCAGAAGTTCTGGTGTTGGGGTGGGGCTGTATTGATCATTTAGTGAAAATGCATTTATTCTTTGAAAGTCTTCTTCTCTGCTCCTAGGTATTTAGCAGATTAACTAAGTACATGGTTATGATGATCAAGAGTGCCTCTTCCAAAATTGTGAAATTTGTGGCCCCAGTGTCATTGTTTCTGCAGGAGGGAGAGGGGATTCTATTGATTATATTATATTTATGTTATCGTATTATATTATCATCATATTATAGTTATGATGAGCAAAGGTGCCTCTTCCAAAAGTGTGAAATTTGTGGGTCAGGGGTTCTGCAGGAGGGGGAGCTCTTTTGATTATATAGTGAAAATGCATTAATTCCTTGAAAATCTTCTTTCTGCTTCTGGATATTAAGCAGATTAACTAAGTGCATAATTATGATGAGGGTGCCTCTTCCAAAATTGTGAATTTCATAGCCTCTGGGTCAGGGGTTTCAGTGTTAGGGCAGGGCTCTATTGATTTTATAGTGAAAATACATTAATTCCTTGAAAATCTTCTTCTCTGCTCCTGGGTATTAAACAGACTAACTAAGTACATAGTTATGATGATCATAGTTATGATGATCAAGAGTGCCTCTTCCAAAATCGTTTAAATTTGTGTTCTGTGGGAAGGGGGGTCTGTTGATTATATAGTGAAAGTGCATTATTTCTTTGAAAATCTTCTCTGCTCCTGGGTACCTACCAGATAAACTAAGTGGATGGGTATGATGAGCATGGATGCCTCTTTTAAAATTGTGAAATTTGTGGCCCCAGGGTCAGGGGTTCAGGTGGGGGTGGTGTGATTTTTATGGGCAAAAAATGCAACCAATATTTGGCTGTTTCCCCTCACAAAAATTAGTGATTTTTTCCCAATTATGGATTTGTTTTTCTCAATTTCAAATGTAGGGAAATAATGGTGCAATTTTAAACAATGCTGACAAATAGTAAATATGTTTTTTCACTTCAATTTTATTCTCCAAACCCATGCAAATAAAAAAGATTTTATGATGAAAGTGTAAAACAATGGAGGTATCCATATAAGCTGACAAGTATTCAATATACTAAATTAGTATATAGTTTCAAGATATAAGCCTTCTTGAGTAGTTATGTACATGATATTTTACATTTTACAGTGGTAGACATGAATTCATGTGTCTCTTCATACCTCAAAAACAACAAAAATTACCCCCCCCCCCAAAAAAAAAATTTAGTTATTTCACAGTATAAGCTCTTTTTAATTTATTTCATATTCAATCTATGGATCCTTTACAGAGTTACATTATACTCAGGTGACAGTTAAGGCCCTTGGGCTTCTTGTCTGAATATGTCTGGGGAAGGGGTTATGCTTTAAAGGCTTTTTGACCATGCAAAAATCTGAGAAAGACATTTGACACAATATACTTTATGTAAATATTTACTAACAAGTACACATGTTTTTCTTCCTAGGAGAAGACAGACTCTGATGAGGAAGGAAAGAATGAGAAGAGTTCCCAAAGACCTCAGAGTGCCCCAAGTCCTTTTGAGGTACAGCAACTGTACAAACATTATATGTGATGAATTTCTCCTAAATATTTAGGTCACCTGAGTCACTGAGGTGACCTATTGCTATCTGTTTTTGTCTCCCTAATGCTTTTGTAATCCCTAATCATTATATTTCTCTTGCTTTTTGGCAACATAGTTTCATCTATTAGTTTGTTTTATTTTATACTTCTATGGATCCTATACAGTGTTGTATTATACTCAGGTGACCATTTAGGCCCTTGGGCCTCTTGTTCAGAAATTACTCTTATACCATTGCATTTTAGCTTTAGTACAACACATGCTTTTTTTTAAAATCATATTTATACATGCAATGTGTCTTTATGTTTGAGACATACAGTAAAACTTTAAGTACAAACACAGAAATATTGAAGTTTTTTTTTTATCCCCAGCAAAATTCTTAACAATTCCTTGTAAGGTTTTGTGATTATAATAAACTCTTATATAGAAATTTATGGATAGAGCAAACTGATTTTGTGTCCTGTAGAGGTTAAAAATGGCAAAAATTACATCTTTTGTAATAAAGAATTTTTAAAGAACTCAAAACTTGAATTATTCAACTGACATTATTTTTCGCAAGAATTGATATTTTTAGGTCATCATAAAATTTAGTTATCCAAATAAGTTTGTATACTTCCCTGGACATATTCAGTAATCATACTTGAAGGAAATCATGTATACCGGTACATGTATTGCAAATTTGCTAAATGTGCTTTAACCAATTTGTTATATGGATAAAACAAAGTATGGATATAGCAAAGTCAATTCAAAGGTCTCTATGACTTCGTTACAAGCAAATTTTAATGTAAGAATGTTCAGTTCTACTATAGTGATATATGTTAGTGTTTGTAATGAGCACATGTTGTTTACCAAGCATGACATTTGATTTTAGACAAACAGACACTTGCCTCATCAAACATCAAAAACTGAGACAAAGGTAGTGGCTGTGCTGTGGCTTTCTGTGACAGGCCTCTGAATTTTTGTGCTTGGAGTGCTGCAGTGTTTTTGTTGAGCTCAAGTCTATACCTTAATGCTGTTTTAATCATATTGGTTTTTGTTTTGCTTGGCTTTCATTTAAAGCAATGTAACAGTCAGTGCTAGGTAGTGTGTGGGATACAGTGTAAATTCCTTATTTTACTCAAGTACTAAATGTCAAAAAATGACTCAAAAATGTCAAATTGCGAGATCATCCAATCACGAGTGGCCTGTTGAACAAGAAATTTTACAAGTATTTCAGCAATATTAAAATAAGAGCAAGTAATTTCATTTCACATGTACTTCTTGCAAAATTTCGAGGGAATAAATTTCTTGCATTTATTTAGGAATCTACAGTATTTATGTATATATACACAATGTAATCATTATACAGAAGGTCCTCAGTAATTTGAACTGTATATTGGTCTAAATCATCATCTCTGAGAAGCATAACATTCATCTCTGAAATACTTGAGTATGGGTCTTGTCTGGCAGACTTATTCTCCTGTGTATTATTGATAAGAGTATAATTGAATCAGAGCCATGAATTGAGTTCCTTGATCATTTTAGAGATGCGTAACTTATAAAAGTCATAATGAACAAAGTACATTCTAATGCAACTGTTTTATAAAATGCATTTTGATTGGCTAATACACTGATGTTTGAGGCAGTTAATTAGCATTAACGATTGTGAAAGCTTTTGATTGTGACGTCATGATAAAATGATGCAAAAATACAATGCTTTGTGACATATTTAATGTAACAAATTCAACAAAATAAGACGTAAACATCAAACAAAATGCATAAATTCAATAGAATGGGAATAACTATCTTCTCATTTGTTATATGCAACCGGTAGTGCTGATTTAACGGTCGCAAACATCTGTTTTACCAGCTCCGGTGATGTGTCGCTGGTAAAACTCGGTTTGCGACCGTTTTCAGCATTAATGGTCTCAAATACAAAATGAGAAGACAGTTATTTCCTAATGTACCAGACAAAGTACATGTACCAATAAAAGTTCATGTACCAGACAAAGTATATGTACCAGACAAAATATATGTACCAGAAAAAGTACATGTACCAGACAAGTACATGTGCCAGACAAAGTACATGTACTTGCTATACTGCTGGTCTAAGTCAACATTATAACAGTATTTTCAATCCATGCCCTCTGCTTCATTACATTCACTGTCAGATTTTTTTACCGTAAATTTTTTTTTTCTATTAGTCTAGAGAACCATGACAGTAGAGCTACCAACTTATCAGAGACTTTTTTTGTTTTGATGTTTTATGTATTGTTTTGTTTGTTTTCTATTTTTGCCAGCTCTTACTTTACACTGTGTTTACTAGATTAAAATCTTGTATTTCAGGACATTTGTAGTGAAATTCCAACTGTTTATGTTAAAAAATGGAGTGTGATTAATCCAATAGACAACCGCACTACTGTAAGACTTCTGTAATGAATGGTGATGGCATGATTCTAAACGGAACACTGTACTGTCTAATCTCAATCCTCTGTCCTATCCAATAATGCACTTCTCTTAATCTTTATTATGGAGTTTTAATAAAATGCTTATGGCAAGTAACCAGAAGATGTCTCTTTTTTACTGTGTATATGAACTTTCTCCCAGTTTTCAATCTTGTTTTGTGTAGTAGAGTGGGTCATTAAGTCATGGGGACAAATTGTAAAGCATTTCTATTCATAGTAGTGCATGAATTTTTACCTGAAATAAAAAGCTCCAATTCAATACACATTGAACCATTTAATCATTAATGATCAACTTTGGTGGATTGTAAAGTCATTTTTTTATTATTAGTGAAGAATACAAAATGAAGCATGAGTATGTATAAACCTGAGTGTTTCCTGTTGCCTGGTCAGAGATCTGTAGTAGCGTTGTGGTCAGTGTCATTATTGTCCAGCAGACATCCTTGTTCTGTCCTTAAATGTTTTCGTTAAGGGTCATTGATAAGCTATTAACAACCACTCTTTATAACTTTTGTACAAAAGAGCTTCCTCCTATGGCATGGCATGACCTTAGACAACTGAAACAGATGGTCTTGACCAGAACTCTTATGATCATTCTCTATTTTAGCTCTACTGGTCTGGGTGAGAGACCAAAAGAACTTGTGCAATAGTATGGTGTACATTGTCCATCCATTTGTCTGTTTGTCTGTCTGTAATTTCTTTTTAATTCCACTTTTCCTACAGTTTTGGTAGAATTTCAGTATATTACACAAATGGACTACACTGAGATACATAATCTGTTTATATGTTTTTTTTTTATTTCAGTGAGAACAGTTTTGCCATGTTTACCAAAAATAGATATTTCTGTTAAATTCTTTCAAAACATTATAGACTCCTCGTACAGTTTTAGTCTGATCTAATAAAATTTTTTACACAAATAAATTACACTAAGATACATAATAGTAAACATGGATTTTTCTTCTTATCATTTTTTGATGAGCAACATTGCCATGGTTACTAAAAATAGGAATTTCTTTGAAATTCTTTCAAAGTGTCATTTTCCTACAGGTATAGTCAGATTACAATAAAAATTGCCATACAGAGACTAAACAATGGATCATAATCCTATCTATTGCTATTGCCATAGTTTTTAATTCAAGTGCTACCTTTCCATTCCTTCGTTATAAGTACAAACCAGTAGAGCTGCATTCTCATCAGAGACTTCTGATTTTCACCACCTATTATAATGTAACTCTTGACAATAATCACTACATAAGATTGCAAGTAATATTATTAATTCTAAACTCCAAAGTCAATAGCAAATTTCAATCAGAGTTTTTTTGGGGCAAACATTTTCTTGTCATGGATTACTTATACTAAATTTTTATTATGATTCATTTGTCTCATTTCTGCTTAAAATTTAATTTAATTCAATATTGCAGCCTGTGAAGAGAGTAAACTATTTAAAGTACACCTGGGATATCCATGGTCGACGGCATCGGATCGTCAGGGTAAGAGTGTTACCCCCTTCTTTAAGTTTTAGATAAGGCAGTAAATAATATAATTCAAGAACATTTTTATTTTGTTATGTGCACCTATATACAAAAGAATATTTAGTCCCTCTTAACGTTTTTCCTGATATTATGATGCAAATCTGACCTTCTGATCTTTAGCTTAAGTATTAAAATTTTGTATGAAATTGCAAAGAGTATAAATAGAATAAGGGCCCAAACTTTTATTGTCCCCACTTTCACTGAAAGTGGGGGATAATAGTTTAGGTCTGTCCATGCATCTGTCATTCTGTGTGTTACACTTTTGTTTCTGGAAAAAATCCTTTGAGCTTTTGCAATGAAATTTTATATTACAACTCCTTATGGCCTAAAGAAGACCTTGTTGATTTTGAGCTCTAAAGGTCAAGGTCAGATGTGTGTAAGCTTTTTGTTTCCGGATGATATCTCAAAAAGCCATTGGGCTTTTGCAGTGAAATTTTATACCACAACTCCCTATGGTGAAAAAAACCTCTATTGATTTTGAGATCAAAAGGACATTGGTCAAGGTCAGAAATTAATACATTGCAGAAAATGGTTTCCAGAAAATTACTTAAGTTTTCTTCTAGCCTTTTTTGATGAAATTTTATATTGTAACTCTTAAGGTGTTATAGAAGACCCCTAATGATTTTCATGCTAAAAGGTCAAAGGTTAAGGTAAACAATTCATATGTTGCAGAAAATGGTTTCCAGACGATAACTTTAGTTCTTTTTGAGCTTTTTCAATGAAATTTTATATCATAGTTCCCTGTGACTTAAGGAAGGTCCCTATTGATAGGTCAATAGGTCAAGGTTAAAACTTTAGTCTCTTTGGGGTTTTGCAATGAAATTTTATACCTTTAGTCAGTATTACTCAAAAAAGCCCTCTATTGATTTTGAGGTCAAAAGGTCAAAGACCAAAATTATATACATAGTTTTCAGATGGTATCTTTAGTTCTCTGTAAGCTTTAGAAAAGAAACTTAAGGTCATGAATTTATTTAACTTAAGAAAAAAGACCCATATTGACTTTAAGGCCAAAAGCTGAAAGTTCAAGATAGACCATTTTTGCTTTCTTTGTCTGCATTTTTTTTCAGGTCTTCTAACCATTTCTTTTTTCCTTAAGTGGTGGACAAAAATTTCCTGAATTAGCATATCTTATTGAATGTAGTGATATTAAATTTGCTTTAAATGATAAATTTGATCTTTTACAGTCCAGCTATAATGATCCTAACATGAGTGGACCATCAGACTTCAGGTAAGACAAATACAGTGCTATCAGTAATATGTGTACTTGGCAGTACCTCTGCTGGATAATTTCAATTCATACATATATATATATATATATATATATATATATATATATATATATATATATATATATATATATATATATATATATATATATATAGGAATCAAAGGTTGTTGTGGGTTAGAATCGAGTATTCAATTTTGGTTGTACAACTGTATCAGTTATGGTCCACTTTGTATCTAGGTCAGAGTCCCCTGTCCCCACCCCAGCTCCTCCACCAGAATCCCCTGAACCGGAACCAAAGAAAGTCCGTCCAAGGTCAGCCAAGCGTAGATATCGACAAAAGACAGTAATAGAGATGGATGAGTCCAAACCAAGGGAGGAGGTGTCTGTCGATAACGGAACACAGACAATGGAGAATGGGAACCAGACAGACCACCAGCTATTACAGCAGTACAATTATGTAAGATTTATGAATATCACATACAGTCAAACCTCGTTATCTTGAACTCAATGGGACCGAGAAAAAACTTCGAGATATCCGAGGATTCAAGATATCCAGGGTAAAATACTTTAAGAGTTAGGGATTGGGACTTCCAAATTACTTCAACATATCCATGGTTTTTGAGATATCAGTGTTCGAGATACCGAAGTTCAACTGTATTTACAAGTATCAGAAGCTGATTTTGTTTAAGATGAAATAAAGCAGCTTAATGTCCTTTTATGGAAAAAGTTCTTGAATTAAAAGAGCAGTTGTATCCATGATTTGTGTTGAAAGTAGCATAAAAAATTCCTGATTATAGTATGTAAATATCATTATTTTGATATACAAAGCTGGACGAGGAAGTGACCTCAGGAGAGAGAGCAGAATATCAGATTTACGTCAGGACTGGTAACAGGATCGGAGCCAGTACAAAGGCAGAGGTCAAAATCACGCTGTACGGAGAAAAGGGTCGAACTAAGGAGATGGTACTGGAAAAATCAAAGCGCCATAAAGTCTGCTTCCAAAAGGGAAAAGTAAGAATTACTAGAAAGACAAAATGTAAGATAGATGGGTGTTGGTGGTGTCTGATGATGGGTGATGCTCATTGGATGGTTTTCTTTGTTAACAGGAGGATTTATTCATTGTCGCTCAACATCATGTTGGAAAATTGCTGAAAGTTAAAATTGGACATGATAGAGCAGATGCAAGTAAGTACACATATATACACTGCATTTTCTAAGTAAGTAATCTAATTCTGAGGATTTTTAAAGGTACTACATGTAGTACTAAGTCATTTTTCACCCATGTGTATGTAAAGCAAAAATTGCTGTATTATTTTATTCATGATACTAGGTATTTTGTATTTTATGTATGATATTATCCATGTGATACTTGATTTGTATGATAATTTAAATTACAGGTAATGCCTGGTTTTTGGAGTCTGTGACAGTTTTTGACATGCTAAGTAAAAAGATTTACGAGTTTGTGTGTGACCGCTGGCTGTCGGGTGTGGACGGTGATCGGAAAACTTACAGAGACCTCCTTGTGGATCGAGATCGTGCATTTATACAAGGTCTAGAAGATATCAAATATATGTCTGATGATGAACTTGTAGATTTTATATGCTTTCCTGCCATTTAGCTTTGTTTTTCACTTGACTTGATAATATAGATAGCTTGTTTTTGCATGATAATTTTGCTGCTTATTTGCTGGGCTGTGATTTCTTGTGATTGCAATCTAGATTTCATGTACATTCTACCTCTCTGTATTATTTTCTTTTTTGTTAAAAATGATTTTTTTTCAAATACACTGTTATGATATTGCTTGCTTTCTTTCGTGAATGTCTACTTGTGTTAAACTGAACTTGTTTATAGGATCTTAGTCAGCATATCAGCTATGTGAGACTGGTCATGTCTCAGCTCACTCTTATTATCATGGTATAATTATTTATTTTAAATTGGTAAACGTCTACATTCCTGGCTTTTTCACCTGAATCCAGGTAAATGATTTTTCCCAGTTTTCTCACATACCTGGTAATGCTTGGTTTTGGGTGTTGCACTATTGGTAAACCTTCAGAATCTTTCATCTTCATTTCCTAATTTCAAGTAGACTAATCTATAAGACATTTTTCACTAAAAAAGTTTTCTTACATATGACCCTGATTCCACATTATTTATGTGCTATGATTCATTGTCAAGCAGTAACAAAATCGGCTGGCAGATTTTTGTTAATCCTATTTGTCTTAGCACTACTTTAATCTCCACTGTTTGTATTGCAAAATTAATTGCAGAATTTATTAATGTAAATCAGTATTTGTATCTTATAATTATTTCCCACAGCATTTATATACATTTGTGAACACAGATTTTTTTTCTGTTTTAGCTTTACAGGAGGAGAGTGACACAGACAAGAAAAGTGATCGCTCCTACAAGAAGCGATCACAATCACCAGCCTCTTGGGAGAGTCTCCATGACGATCCTCTCAGTGTCCGGTCCAATCAAGGAAGCTACACAGACACAAAGTCTGACAGGAAGTCCAAGTCTCGCTCCTCCAGACGTCGGGATGATTCGGAGTCAGATAGCGAATCTGTGAGCAGCTCCTCCAGCAGTTCCTCCTCATCATCATCTGAGACGTACACCACCACTGCTACTACCACCGGCACCACCACTACCACCACCACTGCCATGAGAGAGAAGGATGAGTTTTACGATGATCCTAAAGGACCAACATTCACTTTGAGGACAATTAAAAAGAAAGGACAGAAGGAGACTGTGTCTGTTGAGTCATCGTCCCAGGATGGAAAAGCTGAGAATGGGAAGGAATTTGTGGAAGGATATGAGGTTTGTTATCTGCTGAAAGCTATTTTATCTGAAAATCATCACAGCAACACTTACATTTTTCATTCGATTTCAATGATTTCAAGATATTTAATTTTTCCCCTTTGCATGAGAATGTATGTTATATGCTTAATTTGATACTTAAGACTATTATAAGATACTGATTTTCATGACAGAGTGGACTTAAGGCTGTGGAGGCTGAGAAAAGAAGACAACGTGAAGAAGAGAATGAAGAGAGAAGGAGGCTCCTGAGGGGGCCAACAATACATGAGGCCGCAGAGAGGGGAAATCTGAACCGTATACAGGAGCTCCTCAACTACTTCCCAGAAATGAAAGAGTAAGGATTAAACAGTATCTGTGTCATTTTAGCCGCTGAAACAATTTTATATTTAGAAGTTCTGTTAATATAAATAACCTAAACTTAATTACCCATAACCTAAACTTAATTATCCATCCTATCTTTTTTTTTTCTTAAAGATAAACAGTAAAACACCCTTATAACTAAGTGCCTGGGATGAGCAATTTTGATTTGTTATAAATGTAACTGGTTTTATTACATTTTCAACAGTGAAATACTGTAACTTATTTACTGAATAAAAGTGATATTCTGACACAGTGTGAAAGGGTATCAAAATGGTATTCTCACAGTGTGAGAATATCAGAAGTGCAGCAAAACTTACGATTTTCCTTCCCTTCATGAAGTGTTTTAAAAAAAATCCCTGGCCTGTTATAAGATAGAGTTAATGAGCCATCCTGACAGAGACTAATAGTTATACTGACAAAGTTTTTCCAAGTATGTCGTTAAAAATCCATGTTTACAATGTTTTTCAATCTCGCAATCGCTTAGCTATGACGTCTTAACCGCTCAACCGATGTCACAGCCTATGACACTGTGTTACGAAAAGACAGAGGCAAAGGGAAAATCTAAGAAAATGTAATAAACAGAAAATTCAATATTTTGTAGATGAATATGGAATATATTTCACTCATGAGACAGGATTTTTTTATATTTTCACTTGTGCTTCGCACTTGTGAAAATATAAAAAAGAAAAATCCTGTCCCACAAGTGAAATAAATTCCATGTTCATCTACAAAACATTTAATATCCTCTATATATCCATTAAGTTCATAATATGTTTGAAAATTTCAAGGAATGGAAATCATTTGGTATAAGCTTGAATTCATTATAAGTGTGATTGCTGTATCTGTGTTTTATTATGAAGTAGAGTGTAACAAAAATACACATCAATTTTTACATTCAATTTTAGATAAATGCCAATGACTTACATTGACTATAGAGATACATTTATTTTATTTTAGTCATACAAATGAGCAGGGCCTAACCCCACTGCATCTAGCAGCCAAGTTTGGTAGAGTGGAAATCTTAAAATGGCTGGCTATAAATGAAGTGAACCTGAATAGAGAAACACCACAAGGGTACTCCCCAATCCATCTGGCTGCCATGAATGGACATGTCAACTGTTTAATGGTAAGATAGGAAGCAGTCATCTTTGTACACAGACATGCGTCTCTGAATTTCAAATAATTTTTAAACACATGCAAATGAAATCATACAGTATGCATATATATTTGAGTAAGGTATTTGTATCTGCAGCTTTTATGTTTTTTGTTTGCTTTGTTTCTTGTTTTTTTTTTCTTTTTTTTTTTTTTTTTGGTCTAGTTTGTTTATTTCTTTGTTTTACAGTTAGGAGTTATTTTTGATAAACTGCAAACTATTAGACAGAAAGATGGAAAATATATAATATATATACATGGATGTATTATACAGTTTATGAATATTATTATTTGTGTTTGTTTGTAGATTCTTCATGCAATGGGTGCTGTTATAACATGCAGAACTTTAGACAAGCAAACTCCTCTACATCTAGCTGCAATGAAGTAAGTCTGTACAGAAATCTGAATTTCCTGTTGAAACAAAATTACAGGCAGGCTTTCATTTCTTGAATTCTCATCTTGTTTTGCTCGTTTACATTTGCATGAGTCATAGAGTGCGTTGTCTTTTTTCAGTGGACATGTGGAGTGTGTGAAATGGCTTGTAGCCAACAGAAGCAGTATGTCTGTTAAAGATGATGTGGGTCGTACGCCAAGAGAAATTGGGGAGGAGTTTCACCATGATGATGTCGTCCGATTCCTGAAGGCTTGTGAAGATGAATTGGAGAATCCTTCCAGTGGGTTTGCTCAACTCAGAAGTCCAGGGTACGTACAAATCTGTAGAAATCATTCAAGTTTTTCCCACATGCGTATATCATATGGTTTTCATAAGGTGTTCTTTTTTATTTATTCTATAATTTTCTGTACTTTTCATTCATTGAATTAATAGACAAGGGCTGCCTACAATAGAAGAGGACTCAAACAGTGATGAGAAACCAGTCTGGCAAGATGATAATGTAAGTAAATAGAAGATGAGATTTCATTGGATGATAATGTATGTGAATATAAAATTGTACCTCATTGGATGAATATGTATGTGTATGTAAATAGGAAACTTAAATTCCTTGGATGATAATGTAAGTAAATAAAAAACTAGAATTCAGGAGATGATAATGTACTTATAATTGACGCTAGTAATAGAGTTATCATTCAATTACTTATGAAGTCTTCATTGCATTAAAAAAACTTTAAAAGCAGATTTGCCAAAACATGTTGATTTATGTTTGTAAAATGTATTTGGGAATCAAGTGTTAGTGTTCACAGTTCAAACTGAGAATTTTTTTTTTACAGAAAGCTGAAGATGTTGAAGATTCTCGCTCTAGTCAAAAAGAAAAAGAGGTTAGTAAAAACTTAGTTTATGCTTGCCCTGTACTTAAGTTGTGGTTGCGTTTTAAGGAGGCTGGGGGGTCAACAAATTAACCACCAGATTTAACTAAATTTTTTAGATATGATATATTAAGCTGTCAACTATCATTTGGCAAAGAAAAATTTCAAAAATTTTAGTTTTAAAATTTGATCATTTTCTATATCTTCATATGGAGCTCTTCTTCTAAAGGAGATCAATATAGTCTAAAAATGGCCACAACCCCCCAGCCTCTTTAATTAAAATGTCAGGTGGCTCAGATTCGAAAGAAAAAAAATTGATACAGTTAATAAAATACATCCCTGAGGAATTCTGATTAGTGACTAATAGTACATGTACATTTATAAACATATTAATCATATTATGTGAATGATTATGTTAAGGACAGACGATACGTTCCTCAATAATATATAATTTTTTCTAAGATTTTGTCATTGAAGTATTGCTACTTTAACATGTTTACTCGCAAAAAATTGAGGTACCTTACCAGGCATTTGTGCAAGATACAAGAGGATGGGGTTTCCTATAAAATCCTTTTGGAAAAAAATTAATTTGCCAATTTCACATTTTTTAGTATTTCAATTTTTAAAAGACAATTAGAAACCAGTTTAGAAATCAGAAAGTAATTAAAATTTTGAATATTTTTCATACAATACGAAGATATACAAAACCGATATTTGAGGAACGTATCGTCTGACCTTAACAAGTCTTCTCTCCTTGTTACCTTACCAGATATTACAGGTAAAAAAAGTTCCACCCCCTCCTCCCTCCCTCCCACAGGGGAAGATAACTCTCAATACTAACAATAATTTCTACCATTAATAATTAATACAATCCAACACTGGTCACAGACTTAATTGAAACAGTACACAACTTTACACTTCGAATCTTACCATAATTACTGTATATATTTGGCACTGTATTTATCAATTTTTTGGAATTTGGGGATTTACATGTAGTTTCTAACAACTATAGTATATACCTGTAGATTTTATTGTATAAATTATGTACAGATATAAATGTTAAACATGTATAAATCAATATGACAACCTGATTCTCTGGTTTGTTAACAGATTTAGGTTACAATGTAGGAATCGTCACAGGTAAAGCTTGACGTTGGTAAACTACTGATTGTTGTTCAGTGAATTTGTTTTAACGCTTCATGGTGATTTTTTTCAGATCATTAACTTGAAGCATTAAATACACATCATTCTTTATACAGTTCCCATTTCTTGCCACTTTTGTGTCTTTTTTATGGTGTTTAAAGCTTTTGGTCAAATTTTCAGTAGAAAAATAATATATTGGAAACTCCATAAACTTGCCATAAACTATGTGAGTTAATGAAAGTTTAGGGTGGTGAAATCATTGCATTATTTTTAATTTTTTAAGCTCAAGTGAACTTTTCTGATCAGTTTATCCCTCACCAGTCTATTATTTTAAATCTTGACATGTCCAATGTCTTCTGTGGTACCACATGCCAACATTGAGTAAAGGGGATTTAGATTCCTTCAGAGAAAGGGACATTCTCCTTAACTGTTGGAGATGATATGTGGTAAACTAGGGATGAATTTTTTCAAATTTTCTCTCAAAAAAAAAAAAAAATTCTGAATACTTCTGTCGCTGAAAGTCAAGTTTGCAAGTTGGTTCAAATTATGGCCCTTTTAAGCTCTATTAGTCAGAGACTAGAGGAGATTATGCATAAGTAAAGTGTCCATTGTTCATATGTCTGTCTATAGACAATTTTTCAATTTGAAATACATGTACATATTTACTGTTTGAAAATTTCAAGTAATGACACAGCATTTCTCTTCCTGTCTTCAAAAATTTTACTATGTAACAATTTATGTATTTTTCAAACAGTCTTTATTAAATATCTGTATAGACTATATACATACATGTATACATACATTTATATCATATACAGTAAAACATGCTTATGGCAAAGTGCCAAGGACAAACAATTTTGATTCGTTATAATCATTATTCGTCATATCCATTAAATTTATGATGCATTTGGAAAGTAGAGGGAATAAAAAAAGAACTTCACTGTAAGCATAAATTCATTATAAATGTGTCCACTGTAAATATGTTTTACTGTACAAGATAAGCAGTGTAAAACATCAAGAATTTGACATTTCATTGCTTTAACTATGTCCTGAATAAAAATACAGTACGTACAGACAGAATATAAGGGCAATTCTCTTGAACAGATCTTTTAAAGACATGGCATGAATGTATTGTTCTCTGACCTCTGTATTATCTATTGCAGGAGAAAAAACATTTGTATGAGGAAACCCACAAAAAGATGGAACAGAGTGGAGACTCATTTCTAGAGAGCATCCAGCGAGAGTTTGAGAGTGGGCCGGGGCCATAAGCACACATAGTGATTAACTGTTTTAGACTTAGATGGTATTTCCTGTGATATTGTAGGCTTCTGATGCAAGCACTGTTTGTAATTGAGTGAGAAAACACAACTTAAAATGCTAGAATTCAGAGTAATTTAAAAAGCAATATGATGCAAGCAACTCATATTTAAAGCACATGCAATCACAGTATATTGTATATTTTAATGCAAAGATCCATAAAGGTTTTGAAGAAATGGATCATGAATAGTAAAATCTTACGAGGGATCTGTGCTTAATTTAAAAAAAAATGTAGCAAATCACTGTTGCTTTGTTTTCTTTGTGCAGTATTGTTGACAGAATCCTGCCTCTCTGGCATGGGTGTTGTTGTTGGAAACAGAAGTGATTACAATTTAACACTGTTGATTTAATATTTATCTGTAAAGAAGTATTATCCGTCCAATGCTGATTATTTTTTTTACTGGTGTTATACATTTATTATATATATTCCAAGAGAAATTTTGCAGACTTTACCTTCTATTTTCTACATTTATTGAATATATATATTTATTTGAGTGATATCAGTAATAATTTAAGGTACATGTATCTAATAAAAATTTGCCAAGTCTTAATTACTTTAAACAAATATTGTTTGGCATTTATGAATTAATATATATGTGTTGACATACATGCACGTTGTACCAATAATGTGTTGTTTTGAAAATGTTCTCATAGCAGGGACCTATTATGAATGTCTATTTGTTAATTTAGCAAAGTCTACCAGTTGATTAATATTCTAATTAAATGCTGCTTTTTTTTACACTTGGATTGTACCACCAATTTTTCTAATGATAATCATTAGTTTTAATTGATGCATTTTTAAATTTATTTATTTTAGCAATTTAATATGTTTAAATGTAATCCAGAATTCTATTGTAGTTTATCTGAATTTGAGAGCAGTACTAAGCTTCATTCAATGTTGGGGTAATTTTTTGTTTTTTTTATGTAGATGCCAATGTGATATTGAGAACTGTTGCAGACATAGATCTTTATGTCTTGGAAAGATTTTTGTTAATTAGGTTATTTAAGCGATGCTTTATTAAAGTATTTTACACAGTGCTGCATTTTGTTTGTTGTTTGAAGTGATATATTTGGACTATAGACAACATGTACTACTTCAGAAAAAAGTAAGATTATTTTTATATTTCATTCTCTTGAACATGTTGTAATGCCCCTGAAATAAAAAAAAAAACAGTAGTCTTCACAATTTGGACCTCACAATACCTCAACAACTAGTGGTGCCCTTACAAACATTACCAACAAGTGGTGCCCTTAAAAACACTACCAACAAGTGGTGCTCTTACTACCAACTAGTGGTGCCCTTACTAACACTACCAACAAGTGGTGCCCTTAAAAATACTACCAACTAGTGGTGCCCTTACTATCAACAAGTGGTGTCCTTACAAACACAACCAACTCGTGGTGCCCTTACAAACACTACCAACAAGTGGTGCCCTTACAAAAACTACCAACAAGTGGTGTCCTTATAAATACTACAATTATGATGCCCTTCAAAACAAAACTTTACCAACTAGTGGTGCCCTTACAAACACCACCAAGTGGTGTCCTTACAAATACTACAAAAATGATGCCCTTCAAAACAAAACTTTACCAACTAGAGTGGTGCCCTTACAACACTACCGACAAGTGGTGTCCTTACTACCAACTAGTGGTGCCCTTACAATCGCTACCAACTAGTGGTGCCCTTACATACAACCAACAAGTGCCCTTACAAACACTACCAACAAGTGATACCCTTACAAACACTACCAACAAGTGATGCCCTTACAAACACTAGCTAAAGGTGCCCCTTCAACCAATACTTTACCAGTTAGAGGTCCCTTACAAACAATATTTCACCAATTAGATGTGCCCTTACAAATAATTTTTTTCCAACTAGTAGTCCCCTTATAGACACCTTGGTTTAATATCTTGTGGGATAAAATCCTTTGTAAGCCAATAACTGAGGAGTAATAACTATTATATCTTTTATAATACAGAAATGGTCAAAGTGCTAATTCTTTGTTGTAACCCTGATCAGAGATTGGGTTAAATTTTGAATCATTAAAAGAAGTAACATTAAAAGAAGTAAATGTACAGAATATACTGTACAAAATATTGTACAAAACAATATCATAAATACAAATAAAAACACACAAGGGTTTATCTCTGTTTAATTAAAACAATAATTATCAATATATAATTATGTAAATAATTGATTATATCTGTTTAATTATAATAATACATAAGAATACTTGTGTAAATAGTGTTTACAGACAAGGAATGTACAAGCCATGCACAGAAATACATTTCATTCTTCTTTCACCTGACAAAATGTTATAAAAGGTTCTGTGTGTATTCTCAGCTTCCCTATACAAACACTTGACATTCAACATCCACTGAGGTTAATTATCAAAGCATCAGAGTGTATAACAAAAAGACAAAGCCAACATTCAATAACATACTTTTAAACATTGCAGTGACCTCATTCTTCTGTTCTCTTGGTCATAATTCGAGAAATTCTCTTGGTTAAACCTGTAGAGGTCCAATAATAAAGCAGTCTCATGTAGGCCTACAGCAGTGAGTTTTCTATTCTTTACTTATTGGACTCTTCCAGGTAAGGTAATTTTAACAATGAACATTTAACATTTAATATTGAAATGGCAATATTTTAAGCAATGTACATGACTGCATACACCTCAATCAGTATTATCAGATTGTTTTGGGCTTTAAACAGCCTCAGAATTTTTCACATAGAACTGTATTTGACATATGTGCAAATATATTACTTGACATAAAATAAAGAGTAGTATGTGTGTTCACTTGCAATATATCAAAGCCAAGAGACCTAAAATTGCCACCTTCTAATTTTAATAAAAATGACTCTAGATTAAGATTGTCAAAATGCCCCTAAAATGAGATTAAAAACAGTTACATATATTTTACAATAATTTTAGAGGTAAATACAAGTCACGATGTTATGGTCTGGACACCACAGTTTGAGAAGAACGAGAAGAATTCTATGTTAGACGGTACATCTCCCTTCATCAAAGGGAAGACAAATAATTTGGCATCATATACTGAACACTGAATATATGTATGTACATATTAATGAAACAGAAAAGTTTCAAAGTTTAATAATGAAAACTTTTTTGTATGATAGTAATAATTTAGTAAGCTAATGGACAGCATTTTAACAGAAGGGAGATAACAACAATCATTGCACCTAGGAAGAACACCAACATTTAGGCACCAATCCTCTTTTTACATCTTTCATGTCTCAGAATGTACATACATTTTTGTTACAGGAAAAACATGGATACAAGTAAATCTCTGCTGCATTTCTATAATTACAGTTTTCACAGCATGTGATATTGTAACACAGCAGTAAATCTAACTAACAAAAAAAATACATGTACATAACAGGGACCAAAAAAAGAAGAAGAATTCAGAACAATAAAAATAACCTGAAGAATTTCAGATTTATACATCTATACAGAATTTGTTAGCAGCTGATCTTTAAATAAAATTTTGGGTGACTCTCGTCCTAAAATTCAAAGTTTTAATGAAAAGGTACATTAAATTTCATTTTTATCTTTTAAATAAAAACAAAAGTAAAATACATGATCACAAATGAAATGATGCAAATGTTACTGTTGACTCCCCCCCCCCCCACCCCCCTTCCCCGATTTAGCCAAATAAAACATTTTACTTACAATTTGTTTCAGAAACATATTCACAAGCATAAGCCACAAAAACACTGCAGGAAAAGTGGTAATCCATGAAAATTGGTCCCTTCATATAAAAGAACCTGACATCATTAAAGCCAACCTCCACAAATTTTACATTTGCAAAAACAATATATTGAAGTTAATTATGCCTTATGCCTATAATATTATGCATCATGCCCATCCATGATTTGACAAAGAAATTCAAGACAAAAATATGTCTCTCATCAAAAACAGGACAAAATACTCTAACTAAACATATATGTACCTATCACCTGAGTCAACTTAAAGTTGTAGATGTACACATATACACCATTTGAACATTCAATTTGACAAACTTATCACAGATTCCTTTTATTATAAGGATATATATCAAATAAAGAGAAGAAATCTCCCAATTGGACCCAATCTTTACCCAGGAAGATGATAAATGTACACAGATCAGAATCATTAAATATATTTAATTACGTCACAAATATAAAGTCCCACTTTGATACATGAACATGAATATAAAGTTTGTAAAAGTGGAAAATGGTCCCTCTGCTGATGTGTAAGACAATGGATTTCTGAAATCTTTTGTGTCTGAAATGGATGGTCAGTGTAGAATGCCGGTCAGTGTAGAATGCCATTCAGACTCCCATTAGACTCCCCCCGCCTCACTCTGGGGTTGCTAGGTGTCATCAATGCAGCATTTTCTGCTGCAGCTCTTGCAAACACACGATGACCTACAAAATACCAAGCAACATTAAAAATAGTTCACAGGCAAAAATAAACTCTAGAAGTGAATGATATACACCATTTTATTGTTGCTACTGGCAGTACATTCAACATAAATTTCATAGCTATAAATAAGGATAAAAATAAATTTTCCTGAGCTGTTATAATTTTTACATGTATAAATCTTATGGTAACATAATTTTACACTAGTACATGTATATCTGAGAATTATTTCCAAAAAAAGTTTAATATTATTATAAGGACAATAGAAAAGGCATAATTTTCTCTCAGTTAAAATCATATACTGTAAACGTACATACTAGTATTTCCACGTGGGATTAATTTATGCATTGTACACGGTGACATATTTTCTGCAGAAATTTGTCACAGCGTAATGAAAGTGCATTTAATTAAGACACAGAAAAGCAATCGTAGAAATCCTCATAATTTTCTACCTGTGGATTGAACAGAAATTGTAATTCCACACAATTATGACACCGTGGAAAAAGTATGTACCGGTACACAGTACTCATGCAACATAATTATCAATGAAAATCATGCACTCTATTCAAGGCTTGCACATTTTTCATGCTTTAATATAAGGAGTGGCACTGAAGCACAATTGTCTTTTATATCTTACACTAAGCTTACAGACATCATGTGCAACTTGAAATATATATTTTTATACATTGTGACATGACATTCTATTGACATAGTTGGCTAATATTATCATGCTTCAGCAAATCCTATGACATACTTCACATAAAGCATATTAATTTGTATAACTGTAATGGTGAAAAGAGTTTTATCAATGTGAATAGAGTACGATAATAATGGAACTTGAAAATTCAAGGATTTCAAACAATGAACCTCAAATGAAAGAAAAATTGAAAAAACATCTCAAAATTGTGGTGAAAAGTTGGAAATTTGAGATTTTTAAGCCTGAAATAGGCAAATAAAGAAGGGTATCATAACTGATGAAGAAAAAGCAGAAATGGTGAACAGTTTAACCTTTATGCTACTGTAGCCCTTTTCCTCTGAGCTGTTAGAATAAAATGGTACAAAGTTACTGGTATTTCATGTGGTGAAATCTAGGAACATTCAAAACTACAATCCACTTGTACACATAAAGTGAACAGACTGCTGACATTTAAACCAATGGCAGGGCAGGTTAAAAATTTCTCCTTGAAATACAACAGGGTTACTTACCAGTTTCTGAAAGAGATTGCATTTTTACAAACCACACACATTTCACTTTTTTTTTAAACAGCAAAGCCATATCAAGCTAAGGACATGCAAGTACATATCAACACCACATCTCAATCCCCACCACACCAAAATAGAAACATACTGAGCTCAAGGGAGATAACTTAGGAAGAGAAGTCTGAAATACTGATGGCTGGGACACTTCCTGGAAAATTCAGGTCAAATCCTGCTGTCAAAGGAACCAGAGTACAGAACAATGCAGAAAATGTACACGTATGTAACAGATGACTGTGATAAATACCTGTAGTGCAAATACACTGTACATATTTAGGTATAAACTGAAAACTTTCGGCAAGTAATTCCTTCAAATTTCAATGTAACAAACATCATCTCCATGCACTTTCTGCTTAGATCTACTATGTTTAAGTTTGATAGATGAACTGGAGTTTCAGCCTCATTTCAAAACTGATACATATACATGTACATAATTGCAGTCAAATGACAAAGGGTGTAAAAATTCATTCTGTGCAGAAATGAAAAAGACTATCTCTCCATAAAATAAATACCATATTCCATATGTGTAACAATATGCTAATGAAGTGCTCAATAAAAATAATCAAAACAAAATTTAAATCTACTAAAACTATTTAAAATCAAAATAGATTCCTATTGAAGAACAAACAAATGAAGTCATAAGAAAATAACCTGAAATGTAATTACATTATTTATTTCTGTGCCCAGAGTTTTAGTGATAGGCATTCTGGTTATAATGACATACCTGGTGACCTTTGACCTGCCTCCAAGGTCGAGATTGAGGTTGGAGATAACACTCTGCTCGCATTAGATTGATGGAGTTTCTCCTTCTTTTTGTGACTGACATCTTGTAACATTCTCAGCAAATAAGCTTTATCTCTCCCTTCCTGTGCAAAAAATTATTAATCAATTACCCAGTGCACTGAGAATGTACGCATGTTGTCCAACATCAATACTGTAGATTCCTTATTTTTCGCGAGTACTTATTATCGCGAAATGGTTCTTCAATGTCAAATCACGAGAAGTATAATTCGTGAGTGAATGGTTGATCGAGGGATTTTACATTGATTTCAGCACCAAAAAAATTAAAGCAAGTAATTTTATTTCGCGAGTGGTGCTTCTCGCGTAATTACGCGATAATTCATTCCTTGCGTATATTTAGGAATCTAGAGTAGTTACTATTCAATACATGTGAGAAGTCCAAAAACTACCATTTCTTGCAATATATATATGTACTTGCGATTTATATACACTGTATATAATAAAAAAAATTCCAGGAATTGCACTGAAATCTTGTAATTGTTCAAAAGTATGGAATATGCTCTCTCTGTTGTGTACACTGAAGATGTCATTATTTTGAGATACAAGTATTTATCTGTGTCAGAGAATAAATAATTAGTGATTTCACAAACCATATGTAGCTGTTGCCTCAATAGTGTCACCATCTCTTTGTGCCCCACCATCACAATTCTCATGTAGTAAGTCCCAACACTGAAAGCAGCAAAATGAATCCGTTTGTCAATGCTGTCATCTTAAAACCTCATTAGTTTAAACAATGTCATTTTTTTTTGAAACCTAGTAATTTTAATGTAGTGTTGCTGTTATTCTGTGAACCAGTGACTAACCAGATTGTAATCTGAGACCCCATGACACTGACTATGCACCATGATATTGTTATAAAGTTTACAGACCACATAGCTGCAGAACTGTAGCATTATGGTTTTAAATTTAGTCTTTGACCATAACGCTACAGATCCTGTAATACAAATAAAATACAATTTATGGCGCAAGATTTTCTGCGCATGGTTAGGATGTATTTCTCAACTTTCCAGCTTTGGTCAATCAACATCCTTTCCTTCCTTAATTCTAGACATATTCTATAACCAACCTGTATATTTTATCCACCTCCTAGCCATTTTTAGTCGTATTTACAGGCATCTTTAGCGAGATATCGTCAGTAAGTCAACATGGATGTTGAAAGACAGAAAATTCAAAACAAGTGAATTTATTGGTTAAAGACTAAAATGTAAAACCATAACGCTACAGTTCTGCAGATCTGCAGCTACAGATCATATAGCCACCATGACACTAACTACTCACTCCGACTGGATTTCAAGTTAAAGACTTACTAATATAGTACATGTACCACAAAGCCACCAGAGTACAGTCTTTACTTGTATATGAAGTTTAAGATTTACTTCTGGGCCATCAAGATGCTGGCTATACACCCTGAACTGGATATGACGTTAATGACTTGCAACAGAGCCACCAGGATGTTGGTTTTACACAGTGAACTGGATACAAAGTTAAGGACTTGCAACAGAGCCCCCAGGATGTTGGTTTTACACAATGAACTGGATATAAAGTTTAAGACTTACCACATAGCCACCAGGATGATCACTATAACACCCTGGACTGGATATAAAGTTAATGACTTACCACAGAGCCACCAGGATGTTGGTTTTACACAATAAACTGGATATAAAGTTTAAGACTTACCACATAGCCACCAGGATGTTGAGTATACACCCTGGACTGGATATAAAGGTAATGACTTACCACAGAGCCACCAGGATGATCACTATAACACCCTGGACTGGATATAAAGTTAATGACTTACCACAGAGCCACCAGGATGCTGGCTATACACCCTGGACTGGATATAAAGTTAATGATGTCACGGAGCCAAGACCAATTTCCTTTCCAGCTGTCAATCAGTTGGGTCACAATGGAATAAGCCCTCTCTTCTCCACGAAATGGACCACAAACTTTACTTGGTTCAATTCTATGAATAAAAAAACTATTAATAAAAAAAAAAAAATAAAAATATGAAATAAAAAATTCAAATATGCTTAAAATTTTCCACATAAGAAATAAGGTCAATTTATTGAAAATGCTGGGATACAAATTATAAAATGAAAAATTCAAATATGTCTTAAAATTTTCCACATAAGAAGTAAGATCAACTTATCGAAAATGCTGGAAATGTATAACAGCACTGAACCAAATTCTTACATGATGACCCCAACAGCCACGGCTACCATGGCCATCAGGAAAAAAAAGAACAGGAAGCCCATGAAAATGGTGTGACTTTTGGCAGCTCTCCAGGGTCGCAATGAAGGCCGGCAGTTCTGAAGAACACTAATCTGGGGAAAAAAATGAAAGGGTTTTGTAGCACAAAGTTTTGAAATTAAAGTTATTAATTTAAGGAAACAAGAGGCCCATGGGCCACAACGCTCACCTGAGTAACTTTGGCCCTGCTGTTCTTTACCAGATTTTCCCCTTGTAATACCTATTGTGGCCCCATCCTATCCCCAGGGGTCATGATTTGAACAATTTAAAATCTACACTACCCCAGGATGCTTCCTTGTAACTTACAGCTTATCTAACCAAGTGGTTCTTGAGAAGAAGATTTTTAAAGATTTTTCCTATACATTTCAATGTAAAACTTGGATTCCCCATTGTGGCCCCACCCTACCCCCAGGGGTCATGGTTTGAACAATTTAGAATCTACACTATCTCTGGATGCTTCAACATAGGTTTCAGCTTTTCTGGCCCAGTGGTTCTTGAGAAGTAGATTTTTAAAGATTTTTTCCTATATATTTCAATGTAAAACTTGGATTCCCCATTGTGGCCCCACCCTACCCCTGGGGGTCATGATTTGAACAATTTAAAATCTACACTACCCCAGAATGCTTCCATGTAAGTTTCAGCTTTTCTGGCCCAGTATGGTTCTTGAGAAGAAGATTTTTAAAGATCCTATATATTTCAATGTAAAACTTGGATTCCCCATTGTGGCCCCACCCTACCCCCAGGGGTCATGATTTGAACAATTTAGAATCTACACTACCCCAGGATGTTTCCACATAAGATTCAGCTTTTCTGGCCCAGTATGGTTCTTGAGAAGAAGATTTTTTAATGACCCCACCCTAATTTTGTCTTTTCTTGATTATCTCCCCTTGTAAGGGGGCTTGGCCCTTCATTTTGACAATTTAAACTCCCCTTCACCTAAAAATCCTTTGTACCAACTTTGGTCAATATTGGCCATGTGGTTTTTTGAGAAGAAGTTTAAAATGTGAAAAGTTTACAGACGGACGGATGGACAGACAGACGGATGGACGGACGGACAGACAACAGGTGATCAGAAAAGCTCACTTGAGCTTTCAGCTCAGGTGAGCTAAAAATGAAATCAAATGACACTATAGTATGAAGTATGAAGAGCTAACTTGATATTGTTATCTTAAATTTGTTTGTTAGAAGAAATCGAAAATGATCTAAAACAATTATACCTTTTGTTTTTATAAATCAGTCTTTCTAAATGTTTTCTTCAAGAATTCAGATAATTAAAGAATGAATTGAATAGCTACCCAAGTTATACTGTATAACCTGGATTGGGGCAGTTTACACTTTATAAACCACAAAAAAATTCACTCCTTCTAATTTAATTTTCCATCATCAAGTATACAAAATAGGACAATTTTTCCTTCAAAAATGCCTTCAAATTGAACATATTTCAAAAGTAACATCATGATTAATAGGTTTTTGACTTAAGTCATTGTGACGTAGGCAACACAGGTTATACAATATAAACTAATTTTTTATCCAATCAAATGACACGTTACTACCAAAATTATATTATATAACAATATTAAGTAAAATGTTCTAAGCTGCTTATACGTACCATTTTGACATAGAAGATAATGAAGAGCTTAACCATCATAACAAGAGACAAAAGTGGAGAATAAAATGTTCCCAACCTGTAACACAAACACAAATCATATAACTTATAATCTGTGATACTTAATCTAATACTATAAATAAGTTTTATAAATCAAACTGTTGATGGAAGCAGTCACACAATGTTGATATTGGACTGACTTAAGGTAACATTTTTTTCTGGATCCAATTAATATGTTGCCTTCATAATCACTCAATAAATAACTGTATAATATTTACCAGTATGATAAACTATTTCCAAAGGTATATTTTTATGGGCCCGAATCGATAGATCGGGGGCGCATATTGTTTTTGTCCTGTCTGTCTGTTGTCAACTTTAACCTTCGCCATAACTTTTGAACCATAGGAGATAGAGACTTCATATTTGGTATGCATACTCCACTAATTAAGTTCTTTCAAATGACATCAAGGTCAATGACCTTGTGACCTTGACTGTGACCTATACGCTAAAAATAGCTTTTTCGAACTTTGTTGCCGCCGGGTGCATAGTGTTTCACAAACACATCTTGTTTTCTCATGAAATTCAGAGCATTTTATGTTTTATATTTCTACTCTGTAACAGATACAGAAAATGGTATGCATATGTCATATATTTCCCTTGAGGGAGAAGAATTAATTGTACTAAGTCTGATGATATCTTATTCTGATACTTACCAGCACAGAGCCTGGGAGTAGATCAGATCCAATGTGTTCCTCCCAATGTCAAACTCTGGCCCTGCAGTCTGTCCTCCCTGCCCTTCCTCTTTCTTCTTACAACAATACTTTGCAAAAATTCTGTAAGACGAATAAAACAATGTCAAATAACCTACATAGAAACCAAATGACAATTAGAGCTACTGTGAGCACTGAGCTCACAAAATGATAATCCATATAACTGACACAAGAAACCCTAAACATCTGTCCAATCAGAACATTAAATAGGAGGTGTACAATGGCACTATGTAGTAAATATTCTGTGAACATTTCTAAATTTTATTCAGTGGTATAGGAGGAGGAATACTAAAGCAGCACAAAAGGCACTAAAATATTACCACTTAATTTTGTCAAATATCCTTCGTGACGAATATGATAGTGTCAAATATATTACATGATAAACAGAACAGTGTCAATTATCCTACAAGATGAAGAGAACTGTTTCAATATTATCCTACAAGATGTAATAAAGTGTCAAATATCCTACAAGATGTAATGAACAGTGTCAAATATCCTACAAGATGTAATGAACAGTGTCAAATATCCTACATGATGTAATGAACAGTGTCAAATATCCTACAAGATGTAATAAACAGTGTCAAATATCCTACATGATGTAATGAACAGTGTCAAATATCCTACATGATGTAATAAACAGTGTCAAATATCCTACAAGATGTAATGAACAGTGTCAAATATCCTACATGATGTAATGAACAGTGTCAAATATCCTACATGATGTAATGAACAGTGTCAAATATCCTACAAGATGTAATGAACAGTGTCAAATATCCTACATGATGTAATAAAGTGTCAAATATCCTACAAGATGTAATGAACAGTGTCAAATATCCTACAAGATGTAATGAACAGTGTCAAATATCCTATATGATGAACAGTACAGAGTCAAATATCACACAAGATGAACAGTGTCAAATATCCTACTATACGAGGGGTGATCAAAAAGTTCGCGAACTACCTCTATATTTACAAAGCCACGATTCAGATCAGGATGAAATTTGGCACACATATAGTCATACACATGTTCTGTAAATAGCAGGTGCCAAGTTATGTTTAGCTCCATGTTTGTGACGTCACAATGTGAAAATGACGTTAATATGTAGGTGAGTTGTGACAAAAAATGGTTGACTCATTCTTACTCGAGCAACGAATGGCAGTAAAGTTTAACGTGTATCTTGGAAATTCCTTTGCAGTAGCATATAATAATTTATACAACATAAATGAAGACAAAAGACTTGCCAGAAATTTAATCATTAATTGGATTGATTGTTTTAGTGAAGAAAGGGAGATGATTAAAAATGATGTTTGTTCTGTTGCCCAGTGAAAGCAAGCAGGGAGAGAGATGTGTCCTTAGTTGAGCATTTTGTTATGAAAGATCGCCAAGTTACAGAAGGAAAAATAGTTGAATATCTTAACAATAATATAGTTATTGAATCCCTAAAATATCGTTTACTTTAGACTTTAAACATAGCAGATATGATAAAAAGAAGGCGCCCATACTATATCCATATTGGATAAACGACGCTCCCAAGACAGAGGACTCGGGTTGTGATGGTCACCATGCTCATTCTGGGGAAGGATATCTTTATCCACCTGTCCTATTGCCTAGATTTGGTCATATTTGACAAATGGACTGTTCTCTTCTTATAAAAAATAACTTGCATGGTAAGAAATATAAGACTCGGAAAAATCTTTCAGCTTCTGTGAACAGAACGCTATGGAGCATGTCATGTGACCACCTGGATCATGTGATTCGCGCATGGGCAGAACGGTGGCAGATGTGCATTAAAATCGGAGAAGACTACTTTAAAAAATAATGAACATTGAAACCTAATTTTATTTCTTTTATGGAAGTAATTCAATTAGTTTGCAAACTTTTTGATCATCCCTCAAATGAACATAATGTCAGATATCCTATATACATGTATATCATAAAAACAAATATCTTCCAAAAATAACCAATGTATATCTAAAAGAATACTAAATGTACCTGCGTAAGAATTCCAGAACAAAAGTTGCTCCAAGAATAAAGAAAAAGTCTACCAACACGAGACGATAAATCTCATTGCCCACACTTGTCTCCCAGCACTGCAATAAAATATAAATAATATTAACTTTTTCTTTTTCATTCCAACTTTGAATCAAGAATTGAGTCAGAGAGAGTATACTTTTTTTTAGTTTACAACATAAGTATACACTAAAAAAAAAACTTTAAAAATTAAAGAGAATACTGTACAAGTATAAGTGCAGAAACTGTTTCCAGTTAATAAAAAAAATCATCACACCATCATTACTTTTGTCAGATATAAGGTGAAAGCTTCAATACCTATTCAAATTAATATTTTTGATGGAAAACAGACTCAGATTACATAACCTCAACACTTTTCATTGATGTAAATATACTGACACTAGTAGTTTAATGATTCTCAACTCTGTACTAGATCATTGGTAAAGATGGACTAGATCATTACAGATGTGCAATTTGTACAAAAATATTTTTAAAAATCCAATTTCTAACACTATTATTATTTAATTCTAAATGCAGATGTAATGACATAAATAACAGAGTTTAGCAAATCCTTTAAATTTAAAAAAACTACGAAAATGTCACATTCTGAATAATTTGTTAGTATGATGTAAAATATTTATTTTTGGTATTCATGACAAGTAACTTAAGGAGGCTGGGGGGTCAACAAATTAACCATCAGATATAACTTAATTTTTTAGATAGATATCTTAAGCTGTCAACTATCATTTGGCAAACAAAAATTTCATACATTTTAGTTTTAAAATTTGATCATTTTTGTATATCTTTATATGGAGCTCTTCTTCTAAAGGAGATCAATATAGTCTGAAAATGGCCACAACCACCCAGCCCTCTTAAACTAGTGTTTGTGTTTTGAACAAGATCCCATGGGCTACAGAATAATGTAGGATTTTGTGCACTTGCCAAGCTCGAGGTAACTTACTATTTTTTTATCATTAGCTGTTTCAGTGAACCAGAAATATACCAGGATTCCCAGCACATAGGTTTTGAGCAACATGGTTCTGTGGATGAAAAACATACAGTGAATTGATGATTCATATAAATTTGTCATCAAAATTATGTTTTGTCATGGGTAACAAATTAAAAGGCTTCATGCACCTCAAAGAATAAGCAAAGTTTAAGTGATATATGGACCACAATTTTGCATATTTCCACCAATGTAAAACAGGTCTAGATGATTTTCATATATGGTATTTAAGAATAATACATCATGATACATGTAATTGAAAATTGCTAAAAATATACTTCTTAAACAAGCAAGTTTTTCTGATCAATCAGTAAACACCATATTCACACAACCATGAATAGACATTCAAGAGACAATAAAAGAACATGTGCTACTGCATTTTCCTAAAAACAATTTTCTTTGAAACAAAATCTTTAGAAATAAAATACACTGTTAAAAGAATTACATTTGTAGATTTTCCTTCATATTTAATGTGAACAAACATAACATTTTTATCTCAGAAAAAAGAAACATATTTATATATGTAAAACGGCACTTTTGTTTGTGGAGGAATAACATACAATCACAATATTGTAAACTACAAGAATACAGGTACATGCTTTATTTTCACTATTGGCAAATTAAACTTCTTGCTTAGCTGTCCAATTTTTGTGAATACTTCATGTACTAGTATTTTGAGATTTTCCCGCATATAGATTTGTCACATTCATGTGTTTACTATATAGACTAAAACAAGACCTGTGTACATAACAGTACAAATTTCATGCGTGCTGAAACCATGAACAATATAAACGGTCAAAGTAAAGACATATTCTCAGATTATAAGCAATCTTAGGTGTTGTATGAGCTTCATCTCCATTATAATATAAGTTAGGCCATGATTGGATTTTGATGGAGAGACAGAGAATGATTAGGGGAAAAAACCTATTTGTTGTGACCCAAATAAAAACAGATTCAGAAGTGTTTGTTTGAAGTGTTTGTACCATCATCATCACCATACTTTGCTATGGTGTCCAGGAAGCACATAGTTTGAGGCAATTCTTTAACCAGAGTAACCCTGTTTTAAACTTTTGAGAAGCAAAGCAATACCTGGACAATCAGTTTCCAATCTGTTTCTGTTAAGGAATATAGCATTATTGATAACAGATACACACAGACAATTATTTGTTCTTCTATTAGTTAACCCAAGGCATGAAAAGAGGACTTCTTTTAAACTAATAAAATACCTGATCATGTTGATGTACAATTCATTCTTTGGTTCTTCATATCTTTCATATCTAGCAATCATGGAGAAGATTGGTGGAAAAATCAAAAATATTCCTGACACACAGAGAGACAGCGCCATATCACTCAAAATATAAACGGTCAGCTAAAAAATAATCCACAGCAGAGGATTAGCAAGAATTGAAAACACACTTTTCTGAACAATCATGTAAGTAAGCATATCAGCATATTTTTTAACTAGTCTGATTTAAAAATTTTTTTAGATATGTGTACTAGTTTAAAAAGTTCTCTTTAATTTCCATCATTCTGTTCATTTTAAAGACAAGTACTTTTTCCCAACTGACTTTCAGAATGACATCACAATATCAGAAATGTCTCATACAAGATGTTACCAATAATGGCTAGATACCATGCAACATTTTTAATTTATAAACATGTTCTGAGTTTGTTAGTGCATGCTCCAATATCAGAAACCTACATGTATATGCAAGAAATACTGTAGATCACCATATTTTTTCGCGATGCTTTACTATTGTGGGAAAATTTTTGTATTTATAAGCGAGACAAAATTTTCACGAATTATTGTAGTTTTTGTATATAATCTTCAATAATATAAATATATGTGTCTGAGAATAACATTTTCACAAGCAGCTTGCGAAAATAGGCAAAACTGAAGTTCTCGCAAATAAAAAGTGATTTACAGTACAATCATGTAAGGTACCTTTACTTCATTGGAAAAGAAAGAAGTAACAGTAACAACTGACAATTAGAAATGAATTTACAAAAATAAGGTTTATCTTTGAATCTCAACCATCATTCAAACTGCTACAGCAGATTATAGTAGACATACATTTTCTCTGATTTACAGTAAGATTCAAAGTAAGAGTTATACAGAATAAAACAATGAACTCATGCTTTAAATATTGTCTATTGTACCTTCTCCAGTATCTGCCAATAAAGTGGATCACAAAAAAGTTGAAAATGTTGCATTTTTAGAGGTTGATTAATAATATGAATAATTCAACAATTTGTACAATAACTGTGAAACACACCTAACAGGCCCTTAGAACACAGGGAGGGGGGCCTTTTCTGAGTACAATATTTTGCTATCGTAAACTTTCCGTAAGATGCTGCTTGGCCCCCTCACTTTTTGTTGCTCAAAAGTCAAGCACTGGCAAGTTGTAGGATTTGGACAGTTAATTAGTTTTTTTTTGGTGTGTGTCAGTTTTTTTTTTTTTTTAGATATTTTTTTTTTTTTTTTTTTTTTGCTTATCAGATTTTTTGGGAAGTTAGCCCCCCTCCTTTTGAAACCGTTCCTACGGGCCTACCTAATTACCAGTTGGAGGAATTTCATGTTGATAATTTTTATAACAAAATGCTGATTCATAAATAAGCTAAAATGTTCATGCTTGAAAATATGCTAAATTTTTACTGCATCAAACATTTCAAACTTGAAACTTTGCAACAGCAATAAAGAGAATAATGATCCTTGGCTTAGTTTCTCTTTGTGGCAAGATTTATTGCAATCAGACTAAAACTGTAGGAGGAGTAGCCTTTTACAAGAGTTTTACAGAAATTTTTAATTTTAATAACCATGGCAACAATGTTCATCAAAGTAAAAAAAAAACATTTAGGGAATTATGTATCTCAGTTTAGTGTACTTGCATGCCAAGCTACTAGTATATTAAAATAAGACCAAAACTGTAGGAGGAGTAGCATTTTAAAAGTATTTTACAGAAATTTGTATTTTTTAGTAACCTTGGCAACACCATTCATGGAAATCAAAAACGGATATACAGAACGATGTATCTTAGAGTAGTCTACTTTTTTGTCAAGTTATATTGTAATCAGACCAAAACTGTTGGAGGAGTAGCGTTTTGAAAGTATTTCACAGAAAACTGTGTTTTGAGTAATAATGGCAACACCATTGATTGAAATCAAAAACTGATAAACAGAATTATGTATCTTAGTGTACTTCTGTGCCAAGTTATATTGAAATCAGACCAAAACTATAGGAGGAGTAGCGTTTTGAATGTATATCACAGAAATTTCTAATTTTAGTAACCTTGGCAACATCGTTCATTGAATTCAAAAATCGATTTATAGAATTATGTATCTTAGTGTAGTCTACTTGTGTGCCAAGTTATACTGAAATCAGACTAAATCTGTAGGAGGAGTAGCATTTTGAAAAATTGTTTACAGACAGACGGATGGACGACGGACACCTTATTATCCCATAAGCTCTTCTAGTCTCTGAGCAATAGAGCTAAAAAAGTTAGTTTTGAGTACTTTATCCAAATTTACACAATAATCATCTTGTGAAATTTATATGAGTAGAACTTTTTATTTACACAAAGCAATTTTTTCTGTCCAATCTTTCAAAACCCCTCCTTTTCCCAGGTAATGAGTACCTTTCAATGAACCCTTACCTTGAGTGAATCATTCCTTGATATCCAGAAAACAAGATAAGACAGGCCACCAATGGCACCCAGGATGATCAGGTTTGTAAACACTCGCAGGAAGAACAACTTACATTTCTCTTCCATGTTCTTCTTGACCTTTTTCTTTTTACTGCCTGATAAATACTCCTTCAAATGACAGGATAATAATAATCAAGCTGGGTATAGACTTACAGTACATGAAGATTGTAATTATCATGCCAAAGTACTGTGATCAGACTTCTAATAATTATTGGTGGTGCAAACAAACATTTATCAAGGTCTACAGAAACTGCATTTCTTTCAGAGATCAATACCTTTAAGTTTTCTTATTCAGTTAAAATACCATGTGTTAAAAACCTATACAATGTATATTTTTTTTGTTTAAATTGAAAATAATTCATTGATTCAGTGCTATAATATTTGACATAATTTAGTTGACATCTGTAATTCTGCCTTACCTTCATTTCATTGTAGAAGCTCTTATGTTTGAGTTTAGCTGCTGCTTTGTCTGTGATGTTATAGTCCCAGCCACAGAACACACGACTCACATTGTAAAACGTGTGAGTGCCACTGCCCTCAATGTAATTCATTTTGTAGGAGTGGGAGATACTGCAAAATTCAAAAGGATACCTCAATATTCATATCAATGTCTGCATTAAAATTTAACATATTAATGTGGAATCATTTTTAATTCCTGGGGGTCAATGTTTAATGGCAGCCAAAATTTTACTGGTTTGTGGGAATGTTATTTCATGATTAAACAGTATATACAGAAGAATCAATGAACTAGTATTTACAAATATCATTCATGGAGATGTAAATTTGAGGGTACAAATATCCATAATTTTCATGAACATTGGTCCCCCATGAACAATGATGATTCAACAATATGTTGGAAATACCTCATACAAATAAATGCAATTCATATTTGTAAAATAGAAAACTAAATTTCAATATTATATTAGAATTCTAGGCCTTACCTCATAGCTAGTGTGATAAGACAGAGGATGTAGTAGCCACCACATGTAAAAAGATAGGCATACTTCATGTCATACATAGTGGTAGAATTCCTTGGTATGGCAATTTTCTCATTGGTGTAAAATCCATAGTACATTTCAGTGTTGTTAAACCAGTTCTATAAATGTAAACCACTAAATAAAAGAATTTTACATACTTATGCCTCAATATATTTTTTTTTTACTTTAAATGTTTTTTACAACAGAAAGTTTATCTGTTTCTGAAGGTATGCTAGAAATAAGCTTCAATATCCTCTACATTACTTTATAAAGTCAATTCACTTCTTTATATCTAAAGCCCCATAAACCATAATGTTCTACTAAGACACATATCTATCTCCATCAAATGAACACATAATGAATCTCTATTTTGTGGCTCCCAAACTAAATATCATATAATTGTATACAGGTCTTGATGGATATACATTTGCTGTACTTCAGGAAACAATCCAGAGTAAAACTGAACCCCACATGTCCCAGATGTAGAACTTTGGTGACCAGCCTTCTGTTCTGTAGAAGCACTTATGGAAGCCTAAGCCCAAGGAATGTGAATCTACACTACATATAGATAGCTGCATATTTATGGGGATATTTTGAAATAAATTTACCAAATTTTAGCCCTGTTATGCATAATCATTTTTTCCCCTTAATTTCAAAAATAAAAAAATTGATCTCTTTCTTTTATATGCATGTATAACTTGTTTAATTTTACTTTTTATTTTTACCATATCCCTCCCCCATATCACTGGAAGGGGAGTATATTTTGGATATTTTTTGAAGGAAAAACTGGCCAAAGTGGAGATGTGCAGTATACATGAATTCTATCTTGACTGTTGTTCACAAACAATCTTAGTGCTTACATTTCTTATTGGTAGTTCCTGTAAATTTTACAGAAAACACACTTTCTGTCAGAAGTTCCTCCCCAGTATATGTTATAGCTATAGTGACCTTTCAGTACTAACTTCCTGTCAGTATATTCCAGCTGTAGTGACCTTACAGTAGATTGTACTTACACCCCCTGTCAGGAGTTCCTCCCCTGTAAATGTGACACTCGTTGTATTCTCCGGCCAGCCATATCCAGTAGGTTCCTTCAGATAGTACCTATAGAGAATCTGGGGGATAACAACAAACCCAAAAGTCAAGGTAAACACAGGGATGTTCAGGAGGAAAATCCACTTCAGAAACAGGAAGTAGGAAGTCACGCCCGTCCCAAAGTGTCCCTCTATCCTCTTCATATGACTTCTCCATAACTCCAAGGAGTAGGCAAACTCAGCCATTCGATGCTTGAAGTGCATCCAGGACTAGAAGTGTGAAAATAACTGTCAACACCATGGAATTAGGACATCCAAATTTCAATTTTTAACTTTAAGTGTTTTTAAAATGCAAATTCTTGTAACAATGACAATATATGGTATGTTATTTGGTGTTTTAAATGTACATATGTTTTACAATTCGAAAATCTAATATACAGAAACAATACACTATCCCTGTTTTGACACTTACGATTCCAATACTGTACTTAGTCCTTTTCCACCATCCTATATTTTTATGCTTGCCTCTCTTCAATGTCATCTGTTTCCTGGTTTCTGAAGTAGTTTTTCTAAAACATAAACCAAAATATTTACTGAGGAGAAATGCAAGCAAACAACACAAAACATTTAACATCAAGATGTGAACAACTACAGTAATGGCAAATGATACAGAGAGCATGTACCATTTACAAACAAATGACATGATTGAATGAAATTCATACTTGATTGAAATTTTATCCTGCATAGGTAGAGCAATTCTCCTCAATGTCTCTGTTGTTCTGGCTTCTCCATCTAACTCATCCATATATTCATCATTGCGTTTGAATGACTCTGCCAGTTCGTCCGCTCCCTTCCCCCGAGCAGCTCTAATTGTTCCATGTAGGGATCGTCTACTGCTTTTCCTTCTTCGGAGAGACTCTTTGGCTGTCACACTACTGGCTATTTGCTCTGTAAGATAAGACACAAAAGATTTACTCAGATATTTTTCATAGCCTTGTTTATTATGAACATGGATATAACAGAGTTTTTTTGGAATCCCATTCCAATTTCTTTACAATTCTTTGTAAAGTTTTATGGATATAATGAACTCAGATATAGCAAATTTATGGATAGAATGAACTGATTTTTTTACCCCTAGAGGTTAAAATAATGAAATTTACATCTTTTATAACAAATTTTCAAAGATAAAATAACTTAAGTAATTAATACTTCCCAAAATACATTTGATAGTCATACTTGACAAAAAAATCCATGTTGTGAATTTTCATATATACTTCAGTGAATTTGTCATACGAATATAACAAATTATGGATATAGGGAAATAAATTCCCAGGTAGCCAGGACTTCATTATAACCAAGTTTTACTATATACTGATTTGATGTCTTGTTTTTCATTTACATTTTAGCTGCATCCACATATGGTAATTTATGTTCACTTTACACAGTTTTAAGTGATTTGATAAGAATGCTTTATTACAGTCTTTTATTATTTAATTAAACTTTAAATTTTCTCAGAGTGGTTGTAGATGACCACTCTTGACCACTGACCAAGCTGTCGACTGGGGAGGGAGTTAATCAGATCAGCAGTGTCCCTCAGTTCCTCTGTGGCCGCCCATCTCCTGCGAGTGCTGCCTTCTTGATTGAATTCCTGTGAACCATCAGAACCCCGGCGATCTTGCATGTGTATCCCCTCCACGTCTACAACCACTCTCTCCCTGTCGTGTGGGAGACTGTCATCACGGTATGCTGGGTTAACTTAAAAAATCAACAATAATTGTGTAAACACTGCTATAAATAACATCTACTGAAGGGTAATGACAATATGCTACATTGTTATGAATACATCTGTCAAGTAGCTATGAGTGAGAATAGAAATGTACAGTAATATTGTGATGGTTTATTGTTATTCTAAACATGCTACAGAATGCATATTTCACTTTTCAAAGTATCAGAGGTGGAAAAAAAGGTTATACTGAAAGTTGGATATCATATGTAGTTCATACAATATTGTGCTTATTTTAAATTTAATGATTTTATACTTCTGAATCAGTACACGTATTTTGCTTACATTTTGGAGTGTTTTGTTTACATTTGATACTTACAATGCACTGTGTCTAAAACAAAACAAGAGGTCTAAGTTGCTGTGCTTTAATATTTTTGTTTATAGTTCCAGCAAGGCTCTTTAACTAATAACCAAATTCTAACAATGCCTCAAACAGTTTTTATCTGGAGAGAGAAGAAAACAGGTAACAGGAAAAAGAAAACCAGTCAACTTTTACCAGAAGCCTCCAAATCTAACAAACGTTTTATGTATTTTGATGAAATGCTTCAACATTTCTTTACAATGAAATTTTCTCTTGAAGTCTCTTCAGAACTGCAGAGTGTGTGCAATTAAACAGGTATCGAATTATATTTCTTTATGATCTCAACTTCATTTTTGAGCACGGTTAAAAACACCAAGGGTGCTCATCACCTTTATAAAATATGAGGAATTTCAAAATCCATGCATGCAAAAATGAAGAATTTTAAAATCCAGTCATGCATGTATGTATTGTATCTGTGTATCTGTCCAATGAACATGACCTAAATTCTCACAAAGTGACCATGAAAAATAAAAATAGAGTTAAAAACATGAAAAAAATAATTTCAATGAAAAGTTAAGGTAAATGAGAGAAACAATTTTAAGTTTGTAGGACAAAAGTGTATCATACTGGTACATATAATTGCTCCACAAATTTCAAAGACTTTAATAGAATCTTGTTTCTCCCCCTATGTCTTAATCCCTATAATTACTATGGTATATACTTGTACTTACAGTGTGACCTCTCTGTCATAGGTATGTCCTGACCCTGACCACCTGGTCCATAACTATTCCCATAGCCAGCCATTTCCTCAGGTCAGCTGGTCAACACATGCTGCTTCTTTCAAATCCAGTGTATATTCTCTGCTTGTTCCAATGCTATCTACAATGGCATTTTAAAAAAAATTATGATGAAACTAGAATGTCACTCTATAAAAATTGCTAATATTATAAGAATCTGTTCGATGATGAGGAAGGATTCAGCACTTTAATTAAATCCCCAATATGCTTCCTTGAGAATCTGATTACTTTAGTATAAAACCCTGACAGTATAGGCCCCTCACTGTGACAATCACTAGGGTGGGTGATTTTTATCTTGTTCATGATAATTCTATATTTAGACTTCCTGGATGTCCTTTAATCTTTAAAAATCGAATGCAATCTGGTGCATAAAAAAACAAGAGGCCCATGGGCCACATCGCTCACCTGAGTAACTTTGGCCATGCTGTTCTTTACCAGATTCCCCCCTTTTAATATACCTATTGTGGCCCCGCCCTACCCCCGGGGGTCATGATTTGAACAATTTAGAATCAATCTGCACTACCTCAGGATGCTTCCAAATAAGTTTCAGCTTTATTGGTCCAGTGGTTCTTGAGAAGAAGATTTTTAAAGATTTTTCCTACATATTTCAATGTAAAACTTGGATTCCCTATTGTGGCCCCGCCCTACCCCCGGGGGTCATGATTTGAACAATATAGAATCTACACTACCCCAGGATGCTTCCATATAAGTTTCAGCTTTTCTGGCCCAGTGGTTCTTGAGAAGAAGATTTTTAAAGATTTTTCCTACATATTTCAATGTAAAACTTGGATTCCGTATTGTGGCCCCGCCCTATCCCCGGGGGTCATGATTTGAATAATTTATAATCTACACTACCCCAGGATGCTTCCATATAAGTTTCAGCTTTTCTGGCCCAGTGGTTCTTGAGAAGAAGATTTTTAAAGATTTTTCTTATATATTTCAATGTCAAACTTGGATTCCCTATTGTGGCCCCGCCCTATCCCCGGGGGTCATGATTTTAATAATTTATAATCTACACTACCCCAGGATGCTTCCATATAAGTTTCAGCTTTTCTGGCCCAGTGGTTCTTGAGAAGAAGATTTTTAAAGATTTTTCCTACATATTTCAATGTCAAACTTGGATTCCCTATTGTGGCCCCGCCCTATCCCCGGGGGTCATGATTTTAACAATTTAGAATCTACACTATCCCAGGATGCTTCCACATAAGTTTCAGCTTTTCTGGCCCAGTGGTTCTTGAGAAGAAGATTTTTTAATGACCCCACCCTATTTTTGTCTTTTCTTGATTATCTCCCCTTGTAAGGGGACTTGGCCCTTTATTTTAATAATTTATACTCCCCTTTACCCAAGGATACTTTGTACCAAGTTTGGTTAAAATTGGCCCAGTGGTTCTTGAGAAGAAGTTGAAAATGTGAAAAGTTTACAGACGGACGGACAGACGGACGGACGGACGGACGGATGACGGACAACGGGTGATCAGAAAAGCTCACTTGAGCTTTCAGCTCAGGTGAGCTAAAAAATTCAATCTGTGCCATAAAGATCGAGGCAAAAACAATTAGACTACCTTTTTTTGCTTCAATAATGAATGGTATTGGTACATACAATAAAAGGATGATAAGGCCTTCAGGTTAAACCGTTAATCTTTATAAAATCACACCAACAATCACTATCTTCCTGTCATATGAAAATATTTATATTTGCTTCTAACCTTAGCTACTACTGTAGATCACTTTTTATTCGCAAGAACTTTATTTTCGCGTAATTACTTGAGACAGCATGCTCGCAAAAATTTAATTCTCGCGTATATTTGTAGTATAAAAGATTATAATAGAACAATAATCTGAGTTTCGTGAAAATTATGTCTCGCTTGTGGATTTCTGGATAACACACCACGCATTTCTTAAAATTCCCTCTCATGGCACTGGAAATTTGTTGGACCAGTGAATACCGGTAACAGTGCTTGGTTGCTCTGAACAAAGAGTCAGAGAGATGCTTTAGTATCCTGTGAAATTAAAAAATATAGTGTGACTGGAGACAGACACCCTTGCATGGTACACTGTTACTCTAGCATTCTAGAAGTTCACGAGAGATACTTTTGATTTGGCGCAGAGGTATATAAGGAGTGTAGGGACGTTAACCAAGGCTCTAGGGACAATTTTTGTTCAAATTTTTTTGTTCCAAAAGCTAGTTGTGAAAGTTTGCTTGCAATAAGTAATAACACGACATGCTACTGTAAAAGACAAGATAGGCTAGGGCTCCTATTTGGCCCCTGGTTTTGGGTGTACATGTATCTTAGAACAATGTAATTATACATTTTATAGTCCATAATCAAAAGCCTGTTGTTATCCCTCTTACAAATTGAGTATTAAATCTAAATGATAGGATACACTGAGGTTACAGGAAGGTCACAAAATTTGTCAATTATATTTTTAATCCTTTTATTCAAATTTTGAATTCATAATTTATAAACTAATGCACAGTTTGTTTCAGAAAACATAGCACAAACTTGCCTATCTATCAAATTTATATATTTCATATTGCACAAGTATCAGATACATCAAGTGTATAAGAATCTCTTGAACTGATAAGTATTTTAAAGTTTACAAGTTTCAGTCAGAATTTATTAAATTTGGTTAAAAATTATTATACTTTGTCACCCTCTTGTAGCCTCTATGTAAAATTACAATCAAAATTAATGTTGGTTTTAAAACAAGCATCACTTGAAGGTTTTTATTGCTCTGTTGTGATTTTTAGGATTCTTCAATATGTAGAAGTTCGGGCTTTACAGACCGTGGATATCAGCCTGGAATGCCCTGGATAGCTCAGTGGTTAGAGCACCTGACTAGTAATACAGGGGTCCCAGGTTCGATTCCCAGTCCAGTTTTTCTCCATGCATTTCTCCTTTCCTATTACTTTTGGTGGCCAGTGTGGGGGGGGGGGGGACTTGTTCAGGTTACAGTGTATGTGTAAATTAGTAATTCCTGGCAGGGCCCTAGAACTTGTGTCTTTGAGGTCGAAGACTGTTTAAGGAGGGGGGAATGTAGAAGTTCGGGCTTTACGGACCGTGAATATCCACCTGGATAGCTCAGTGGTTAGAGCACCTGACTAGTATTAGTAATACAGGGGTCCCGGGTTCGATTCCCAGCCCAGCCATATGTTTTCTATCATGCATTTCTCCTTTCCTACTACAAATATCAATATGATTAACATGGCCTTGCAGTGATGGAGAAGACCAAATAAGGGGTCATACTGCACCTAAAGTTCCATACCATGTCCTTTGTAGATTTGAAATTTAGCAATATTTTCCTTTAATATTGATATTTTTGTCCATATTTTGTTCAATTATTTTAATGAGCAGTGTACAGTATTTTCACCTACACTCTAAACAGTATTTTCAAGGCTCCTGTACAATATATGATCTGAAACTTACCACATATACATGTAAGTAATTGCCAATTAAAACACCTAAAATTAAATGGGTTGATTAAGTTTGTCTAGATATCATGAAAAGATAACCTTTGGATGACTTAAACAATAAAGTTGATTATTAACAGTCTACTTTACATGAAAGAACTGTAAATAAATTAAAGTTTTTGAAAAAAAAAATTGAGAAGACAAAAAATTGATGTGCAGATTTCTTTCGCAACTTAAGAAATGAACAATTATCTTTTTTTAAAAAAGGACAAAATTCAACGTTTCTAACATCTATAAAGAAATGTTAGCAATTTAAATGTTATATGTTATCAACCAAAATGTTTTTGTGTACACAAACCAGGAACTAGAACTGACTGTGTTATCTTGACACAAAGAAATTGTTACTCACTTCAAAAAAAAAAGAAATCTTGGTTTCGACACTTTCAATGAAAAAAAAATTATGTAACAGATGGTAAACAGACAGTGACAAATATCAACAATTAAACTCAATAAAATAATAATTGTGTCATACCTTCGAATGAAATCATATATCACTCTCCGTTTGTTTATTTGGAAGTTCATTCATATATTATTCGTATCCAGTGTTGGAAACAAATCTCAATTACATCTTCTTGAAAAATCCTTGATGGTAAAGTAAATGTGTTATTCTTTTTCTTCATCTAATAAGTTTAATAATGTTGGAATCTATAAAAGCAATTCTCATTAAATACATGTATTGAGACACTTATCGACTTTTCAGAGGGCGAGTTAACAATTTACACATCCTAGATGGGAATACCTAATTGAAGACCTACAGGTAATTGAAGACCTACGGAAGACCTAGGGAAGACCTACAAAAATATGGGCTATATACAGCAAAACTGATGTGATATTCTTATTAATCATGTCTTAAATATATAAAGTACACAAAAAAGTTTTATAAAAAGAAGTTTTAAAGTGTATTTTTAAAGCTCGATATGGGGAACTATTTCTTCTCTCAGACGACCTACCGCAAGAACGATAACTCGCGTTAATAACAAATCAGCTGTTCACCAAAACACATCAGAAAAATGTAAATAAATCAATAGTTAAATGAAGAAAAACAGAAGCATTGAAGATATTTTGAAATAATTAAATCAAAGATGAAATAATAAAAGGGATTATTACATTTTCAACAGTGAAATACTGTGATTTATTTATTGAATAAAAGTGATATTCTCTCACAGTGTGAAAGAATACCAAAAATGATATTCTCTCACAGTGTGAAAGGATATCAAAGTAAGTAAAAAATAATTTCTGGCCTGTTATAAGATAGAGATAGTAACTAAGTATCTTGATAGAGCTAAAACTGCAAATTTCTTCCTAAATATGTTGCTAAAATTCATGCTATGTAATGTTTTCAGTCTGACACACAACTTCTAAGGTATGACGTCTCAACCGCTCAACTATGACGTCAAGCCTATGACACTGTGTTAAGAAAAGACAGAGGCAAAGGGAAAATCAAAGAAAATGTAATAAACAGAAAATTCAATGTTTTGTAGATGAATATGGAATTTATTTCACTCATGAGACAGGATTTTTTGATATTTTCACTCGTGCTTCGCACTCGTGAAAATATAAAAAAAATCCTGTCCCACTCGTGAAATAAATTCCATATTCATCTTCAAAACATTGAATATCCTCTATATATTCAATTAGATATTATTCTACTTTGTAAAAAAAAAAAAAAAAAAAAAAAAAAAAAACTTAACCAAAGCAGAGACATATACATATTATATAATACCATAATTTGATCAATCATAAAATATATGTATATTTTTTTAATGAATTATTAATAGCGATTCTCTGTAACCACTTAAACTTCTTTGCCACGCATGGTCACCGATTTTGATGAAACTTTGCCCATTATTACAACTTGACACCAGGAACATATATTAAATAAAATTTCGTTGCTATGTGTCTTGGTTGCCATGGTAACAGCCAGAAAAGTTGAAAAAATTGAGATTTTCAGCTACTTTGAATCTTTATTACGCCTTAATAAAGACTAAGAAAAACAAACAAACCATTCTCCCAAAAACATGACACCTTGTTGCCACTTATGCTATAAAGAAACTATTTAGAATTTATCTCTTAGTAAGTGGTTACCATGGGTACATTTGGAATACATTTTAGATGCTGAAAAATGCTGAAAAACGCTCAATATTCACCAATGATAGATGTTACATAATCAAACTCAATCAACAACCTAAGAAAAACAATAAAAAATATTTGACCTTATGTAATTAGGTATTGGCAATATTATTCTAAAAATAACTTTCATGGTTGTCATGGTAACACAGCGTAACCATGCAAAATCTGTTGCTATGATTGGGTTAATGCTACTATCTTGAGGAAAAACAATAAAATTCATGACTAACACATATGCATCCTTGGAACCTTGCAACACCGACAACATAAGAAAAATTGGGATTAAATGTTACTTTGCATTGTAACCATGGAAACAATGTATCAGTCGTTTAAAGTGATATTTTTTGCTCCTTTAGGAATTTATTTACCTTTTAATCAAGAAACATATTATTTAACTCACCTTGAATACTACTTAACTGGTAGAACTAAAGTTGAATATCATATATTGATAAAGTTTGTTGGAAAATACATCACTGTTGCTATGGTAACCAAGAAGGGAAAATGTTCAATTTTGTTAATTTTATATCAATATTAAACCCTATGTGCCAGCTTTTTGCATCCAGTTAGAGATTGGGTGGTAGTCAAAATTCAAAGTCAGGTTAGTTGTTCATATATATCAATCATAAAAGTTTTGGGAATCTACTTGCAAGGGTGCGTATCCAAGGAAACAGAATATTTTTCAGATTTTTATGCATATTTTTTCGGCTAATTTCCATAGCAACGCTCTATTTAAAGAATTGAGTTTGAATTTTTTGAAATGTGAAAATTAGGGTCACACCAATGCCTTTAAAAATTGATCATCAGTTACATAGAAATATGCTTTTTAAAAAGATAGGATAAGATTAAAACACTAAGAGAGTAAATTTAAAATCCTTTCGAGGTAAATAAACCATAGCAACCGTTGCCAACCTATAAGAAATATCATATTTCGTCCTTGGTATATGTTACAAGGATCTCTTGTCTATTATTTGCTTGCATTTCAACCTATAATTGTTTTTATTCTTAAGTATATGACTTTATAAAATTAAATGAACAAAATTATTACTTTTGAATACTTTGTTTCCATAGTAACGTATGTAATAGTTGATTTACCAAACATGTTTATCATGCATTTAAGACATCAGGCCTTCAACTTTCAGAAACAGTCATTGCCACTTGTTTGCTCTGCTGCAAACGTTAACTGGGGGACTCTGAACATGTTGAAAAATGCCATTTTTCAAACGTTAGGACATGTTGCTATGGTAACCATGACACGTAGCAACCAATTTTTGCCTGATTTGAGTTTACGGTATCAAAGACTTTTATCATAGAGAGTTTGGAGAAATTCTGAGACTATGCGTGCCACAGCTCCTATATAAAAGTTCAAGTCATTACAGAGAATGGCTCTTAAATTGTTATAAGAAGTTTCCATGATTCCTATGCATGGACTCTTTTTTTTCTTTTCTTTTTTTTAACCGAATTCCTTTCTTTCTTTTTAAAAATTTTAATTTATTTTCAAAATTATTTTCATTGGTATATCAATGTACAAATTAAATATTATAATAAATAATGTGTTATATACACATAAATAAATATGTTTATGCTTTGACAGAGTGTTAAAACGTTTAAAAAATCGGAAGTATTTTTTCTTAAAGATCAGAGCCACAATCACTTACAAAATTTTCTTGCATTCACTGAGCCTGAACAGCAAAAAAAGATTTTTTTTTTCTCAAAATATGCATTCATTTCATTAAAGTGATTACATGTTACTTATTTGATTTATAAAAAGAATTTGTGTACTTTGTATGTAAATAACAGACAGAATATATTAAACTATTTCTTGTTGCTATCCATAAATTCATTGATTAATTCTGTAGATTTTAAATTGTCGTGTTAATTTATATTTCATGGAATTCCACTTGAAAAGTCTTATTATATTCATATTTCTGAATCTGTTAATATTTATTTTCAGTTTATGACATATTATATTGATCTTATTTTAAGGAGAGGTCAAACAGTGTAAGTTATTTATTTAATCAAAATATGTTCAAGAACGATATACAGTATATTTTGGCTCTACGTGTTTAAAAAATATTCCTTATTTAATGTTATTCTTAATGTTTTAAGTAGTATTTCTGGGAGTACATGACGGGTTATTCTAAAATACATTTTTTTTAATTGTTTTTGCCACTGTAATATAAATATGTTTTTTATTAAGAGAAAAAAGTGACCATTTTGGAATTTTTTTTTCAAAATGCTATCATTTTAGTCACATGTAAAACTCATTGAGTTTTTTTATTTGCTTCACTTAATAGGTTTAAAAAGTTATTTTATATTAAGAAATCTTATTCTTTCATGAAGCACAGACAATGAGTGTCTCTGTAAGAATTAAGATAATATAATTAAAAGATTTTTAAAAATGTATATCTGCTTTGCTGACTGTAAATTAACTTCATCAGAGCAAGTGGGGTATGTTGATAATTGCAATCAAAACATGGATATATCCTCAGGGTGTGTATATAACACATTAGTGGTGAAGCCTTTAGGTCAGAGTGATATCTTACCTTACATGGTTTAAGACAAATCCACAGTATACATATCAATATTTTAGATTAAAATATTTAATATTTATCCCATAAAACATATTACATGTTTGAAGAATTGCAATAAACTATAATTAAATATTGACTATAGATAATATTGACAGTATACATCTAATGTGAAATATTAATTTATACATATCAATCTCATCAAAATTCACATTCCAGCTTATATCTTTATTATAAAAATGATTGGAAAACTCAAAAAATATCATTTGAATTTTTTTATTTGTGTATTCTCATTTTCCCTGTTCACTTCACCATAATATACATGTTGTTGTTTACAAGTTAACCAGAGTTACCGTTCTTGCGATAGGTCGTCTGAGAGAAGAAATAGTTCCCCATACCGAGCTTGAAAAATACACTTTAAAACCTCTTTTTATAAAACTTTTTTGTGTATTTTATATATTTAAGACATTTTTAATCAGAATATCACATCAGTTTTGCTGTATATAGCCCATATTTTTGTAGGTCTTCCCTAGGTCTTCCGTAGGTCTTCAATTACCTGTAGGTCTTCAATTAGGCAGGCCGTCCTAGATGGCGCTGTAACTCAAAACAGGTAGAAACAAATAACACAGGTGTGTAAAATATAAATTTTTGATTAAAAAACATAATAAATTTTCAGTTCTTAGCAAGTATAGCCAGATTATACGATTTAGAGTTGACACCTTTAGCAAGCTCACTGATGGTTCTGATTTTCTCTTGATATAAATTATTAAATATGTATTTTTAAATTCCCCAGTTATGCAGAAGACTGTACAATGGGTACAATGTTTTATACCTGATCTATTTTCTCCAGTCACAAGTATAAGTCCTTAATTTTTTTTATCCCTTCTGGTTATTCTCTTTAATTGTATATTTGAAAATTGACCTCTTATTTAATACTTTGCCCATAAGGCATATGTTAAATTGTTAATAAATAGCAGCACGCCAGATCGTTCTAGTTCCATCTAATTAGTTTTCAGGGACAAATAAAGTTAACCTTTGGTATTCAAACATTGATATTTTGAATATTATGGATATGTTGAAAATAGTTGAAAGTCCTTATTTGTATTTTAAGCTCAATTAATCTAGAATCCTTGGATAGCTCATATGTTTTTCTCGAGTTCAAGATGATAAGGTTTGTTTGTAGTTTATTCCAGTTGATGTTTTGCAGTAATAGAAAATGTGTTCTATCTATACAGAGAAAAATATATCTTAAGACCTTTTTGTCTATAGAGTGAACTCAGCCATTAATTCAGTCAAATTATTGAGAAAATGAAATGTGAAGATGATAGTGATTATACCCAAAAGTCCATTTAAACAAATTTTTAGCAGCACTATTATAGACATCTGAAAAAAAGAGGTGGGATCAGGTGTCATGGAAGAGTAATCATCCTCTTTTGACCAGTCACACCCATGTGCCCCTTGTCATAATTTGGTAAACAGAAAAATCTGTGGACAATAATGGCTTAACAACAGATTGTATTTGCAAACAAGGTATTTGTATCGACCACAGAATTTGCAAAATGTTGACCTTAAATGAGATTCTTGATATCCTTGTATCATCAACTTATTTGTCAGTGGTCGGCCTTGTTTTAGAAATTGTTCGAACATAGAACATGCTCTTGTGTAAAGAATCAACTGGGAGACATAAACTCCATATGGAAGTGATAATGGTATATTGGTACATAAAAAAGGGAAGTTGACAACAGAGGAATTGAAGTCATTACATTCATCATAAGGTTTAATTGTTAGTTTGCCTTCAATGTCTTTCTCAAATAAAATATCCAAATATGAAATGGATGTTCATATTCTGTGGCGTCTTTTATTACAAGTTCGGTGGGATATATTGAATCAATGTAGGAATGAAAATGAATATTGTTAATTGATTGTTTTCAATATATCTAAGGATCTAATGGAAGGCCACAGCAAAAGGCTTCTTCTTTTCATGTAGAAGTTTTTTTTTTTAATAAATTCTGCTCAATACATAAGAATACAAAAACAGGTCTGGTAATAATGGGGCACAGTTAAGTATCTATGGGAATTCCAGCAGATTGTTGGAGGACCTGATCTCCATATTGTCAATAAGAAACTTGAGCATAAATTATTTAAATATCAACCTTGGAGAACTTGACTCATTGATAAGTAGGGAATTATGTCATTTATTAATAAATTAATATATCTAGTTGGAGGGTGCTCAGTCTAGAAAAAGCAAAAACAGAAATCGGGCAAGGAAATTCAGGAAATGAATACATTGTATGAAAAAAACAAGGAATCTGTCATTCAGAAGTATATAATAAAACATTTAATTATAAAACTGGTATTTGTTACTTAATGTGGGTCTATTGAAAATCAGACGGTTCTGTGAATTGTCGTAGACCAGTTGTAGTTAGCGCCACACACTAAAGCAATTTAAAACTGTTCTGAGGTCCTATTCTTGTTTAACCACATGAGCATGCTCATCCCCATGCCACCTCCTAGTTGGACATAGACCAACAGTTTTAAATTACCCGTAAGTCTTTGTAACTCATCAGTACAAACTGAAATGTTTTGTTAACATGAAACGTTAAAGATACTATAGTAAACCCAAAGAAATCTATTTTTTCTTACAAAAAATTGCATTTTGGAAAAATACTTTTCTTTATACATGAGTGAAAAGAACTTATCCTTGTTGATCTGGCACCACCTTCATTGCAAACTGTATTAATTCCCACTGTTACTTCTGGGGTCAATTTAAATAATAGTAAGCACATTGTATTCCTCACTTTGTGATATATAAACAAGGTACCTGAAGTAAAGCTGTTCACACATTGGTTTTGTAGCCACCCTTTGATAGTCAAACACTATATAACCGATACTTGTAACATTCTGAAGAAAATTCAAATAATTTCAAATTCATTCAATCATTGACAGTCTATTTTGCACTCATTGTGCACACTTATTGTACCAAGAAAAAAAAAAGAATAAATGAATATTCAAAAAGTTCACTTTATTTTTGACACGAAAGAATAATTTTATATTTTTAATTACTACCAGTAATAAGATTTTAAAATGAATGTAACATAATTATACAAATATTATATAAATATATATATTTTTCCTGCTTATAATATAATCAAGAATATCTGTGTGAACCATATGATATTCCTTTTTACATGTACTGTAATGCTAAGCCTTTTGTTTAATCTGTAAATTTAACAATTACATGTATATAATAAGTATTAGATTGTGTATAATATGTAGGGAGACGGGCTACAGTATGTAGCACCCACAAAATTTGAAGTGTTTTACGACATGATCAAAAGTGTTGATAATTTTATATATAATATACATGTATATATTTGCATACAGATCACAGAAATGCCACTGTCATTATTTGGAAATAAGTTTTCTCCCAAGAAGACACCCCCAAGACGAGCACATTCTCTCTCCAACCTCCATCTCGATGCCACTCAAACTCGTGAAGAATTCGGTCCTGAAGTTGGACCAGTCAAGCTAAAATTAGGAGGAAGTGAGATTCAGTTTGAAAATGGAATGTGGATGGCAGGTACAATTTTTATGTATTCTTAAATTGAACTAGAAATGCTATATCACAGATTCACTGATTACTTTGATGTGTAAATTTAGAGGGTTGAGGAGTGGATCTGGGCAAACAATATCCCGGTAATTATCGATTTTTCATTGTTTAGTCAGTTAAATGAAATTATGCTGGTCAAATGACAGGTGTCAGTAATCCAGTTGACCACTGAAAAAAGATATTTTTGGACAAGTCTGTCCTAAAGAAATCTGCTCAATTAAATAATGTGAAAGTTGAATGTATTAAATGAATCAGTTTTTTTATTTTTTTATTTTTTGCAAATGACAGCTTGCTTTAAGCCAACTGTTGACTCATTATAGACTACAGTGTATATCAATGGAATACCATTTCACTATTCTCAGATTTTATATTTATGATAAAATTGTGAGTCAGTATAAATTTGTATAAATTTTGAAACAAACTTCTAATCCAACATGCACGAAAAGTTAATTTTGAATTTTTTACTTTTAATACTTTATTAAAGGTCCAACTGCAAAAGAGTCTAAAAATAATATATAAATTATGACAAGTGTTTGGACAGGTGAACAAGTGCTTTACTAAGTGCTGCCAGAATTTATAAGCCATGTTTTTGGATCACTAAAATTTCTAAGGTACAAAATTTTTGCCATTAGAATGAACATCACTCCATTATCCATTAACTACCCTTTTTGCAGAGAGCGGTCCAGGGGGAGCAAGCCATAAAGAGGTCATGAAACTGCGCAAACAAAACCAACTTCTGTCCGAGGAAAACAATCTACTTAAATTAAAAATAGATGTTCTCCTAGACATGGTAAGTCGCCCCAGAATAACACACTCATATCACAAATTTTATAACCATGCTTATATACTGTAAGAAATACAAAATAAAAAAACTGTACTTATAAGTTCACAGATACTAAAAGCATTTAAAATTCTAGTAAACTGCAAGATGAAACAAAATACGAAACACAAGTTTTAGAAAAAATGTGCTCCAGTCCATCTTTTCTTTGAATGAATTATTTTATGTTTTACAGTTAGCAGAAGCTACAGCAGTGTCACATTATCATGAGAACGAATTAAAGCAACTCAAAGGCCAAGTCAGTAGGAAGAAATAACCATTTCTGTCGCTGCGGTTAAATACTTCTGTGATAAGACATTGTCATTGTATGCATGTAGTCTCATCAGTCTCCCGGGTAAATGTGTTGTACTGTGAATGTGATGGACATATACATTAACTTTTAGATTTGTTTTATTATCAATTGCATTATTTTAGAATTTTACAATTAATAAAAAGTTTACCAATACCATTTTCCTTTTTTTTTCCTAATGCCGAAGTGAAGTATGACAAGGCAAGGAAACCAGAAAATTTATTAAAATCTATACGAGGGTTGTTCGAAAAGTTCGTGGACGATGTCAATTTTTGTTATACTACCTCCAAGAAATATAAAAATAAGCACAATATCATGTGTAAAAATATTTGTTTTGTTGATCTGTGAAATTTCATTCCATTCGATTTGATAGAAATTAATTTACTTCATTTTGAAATCAACATGTTTTGTAACCACGGCGCACACTTAAAAGCAATGTAACGTCAAAAACATAGCGTCAAGAGTTTCTTAAAAATTCAATCCCTATACATTCACACAGTATAGTCCAATACCCACGTATTAAAAACCTTTTTCAATCCTTGACATTTATTTTTCTAACAATTGTTCTTGTTTTATAATTTCCTTTGTTAATGTCTAATTTCTTTTACCGCTTAACTGTGCTTTCACAAGATCAGCAACTCTGAAGCGCCTACGTCTTTCCATGGTGTCTCAACTTTTAAAAGTTTTCGTTCAGATTTTTACAGTTAAACCATTTCTTCACAGATTGTCCTCGTCCGATACAGAGTCTGTGTCACTCAAATACCGCCTCTACCATTTACACACACATGCACTACTCACTTGTGGCATATTTTCTGATTCCTCCAACATTTTTTGCGTTTATTCAGGATTTTCCTCGAGTATAACACAAAACTGCACCGTTATCTGCTGCTCCGTGACGTTCTACAACGTCATCATTTTTGTCGTTTTCAATGAGGACTACCCATCTTCTCAAATTGATTTCTTTTTACCGAAGCAAAATATTAAGCCAAAATTTGGAATAAGAATCAATGTAACAGTTCTTAATTTAACCGTCTAGGATTTTTTTCGTTTTTTCTCCATTTTACAAAGAAGATGACTACAGACACTATTTAGTGTATTGTTTGTAATTTACTAAATTTTGACCTGCGCCGCGTTCCGATTTTTGCAGTTTTTAATTCTGGATAAGTTTTAAATAAATCATGATAATTTTGAAAAATTTAATAGAAATCATTTAAATTTATTGTTAAAATATTTCTACCAAATTTGGATTACATATGACGTTAAATAAAAAAGATATGACAGAAGTCCACGAACTTTCCGAACAACCCTCGTACAGTAATTTCAAAGCATCATTCTAGAGATGAAAGGACTGACCACATCTGTAATGCATAAGCTCTTCTGGTCTTCAATTAATGAAGAGAAACAAAAGTGTGCATGCAAATAATTTTCTATACATGTAAAAGATTCAACAAGATCAATAGGTGAAACCTTGGATACCATGCTTTTATATCGAGTGAAACCTGTTTTGGTTAGTAGTTATATGCTCCAGTTCAGCCAAATAAATGGTTAAACCTTGTTATCTCGAACTCGATGGGACCAAGAAAAAACTTCCGAGATATCCAAAGGTTCGAGATATCGAGGGTAAAATACTTGAAGAATAAGCGATTGGGACTTCCAAGTCAATTCGACTTATCCATGGTATTCGAGATATCAGTGTTCGAGATACCAAAGTTCAACTGTATTAACATCAGTTAGCGAGAATAAGAGGTAGAGCATGAAACAATACATTAAGTCTGGAATTGTACTTGAATCATACCAACAGACTGTCAGGAACAAGAAGCCAATGGGCAACAACACTCACCTGAGTCACTTCATGAAAAAAATTGACAGATTTCTAGCTCAAGGGGGTCATGATGAGATCAAAGTTGAATTCACATAGCATGGGGTTGCTTCATAATTCATTTAACAAACATGGGCTTGCTATTCTGGAGAAGTCTTTTTCCCTTGTATACATTTATTATGCAAAAATTGACTCCCAATTTTAGCTCCACCTTAACCTTAGGTCCATAATTTAAAAAAAAACAAGAGATGTTTGTGAAACACTTATGTCCCCCTCCCCAAATAATTGGAATTTTTCCAAGTCCAATGGGCATGACTCAGACAAAAATCGCTTGATCGTACAAAAACAGAACTTGACCTTGATATTTTTATGATAAATCTGTATACCAAATTTCATTTCAGTATGTGCAACCTCTGTGAAGAAAATGAATGGAAACTACAAACAATTTGAATTTTTCAAAGTCCAAGGGGCATAACTGTCAAAAATTGCTCAATCGTACCCAAAACAGAACTTGACCTAGATATTTTTATGGTAAATCTGTATACTAAATTTTATTTCAGTATGTGCAACCTCTGCAAAGAAAATGAATGGAAACTGCAAATAATTGGAATTTTTCAAATTCCAAGGGGCATAACTGTCAAAAATTGCTTGATCGTACAAAAACAGAACTTGACCTAGATATTTTTATAATAAATCTGTATACCAAATTTCATTTCAGTATGTGCAACCTCTACGAAGAAAATGAATGGAAACTACAAATAATTTGAATTTTTCAATATTTCAAAGTCCAAGGGGCATAACTGTCAAAAATTGCCCAATCGTACCCAAAACAGAACAAAAGGTTTTTACCATTTAAAATGGCTGATGGAAATTAAGAATATTTTACATGATTGTAATTTGGATCTAATGTGGAATGCTCAGTATGTTGAAAAATCATGCAAAATTGGTGTGTTGGTTAAGAATACATTAAGAGATAGTTTTATCCAAGACTGGAATGTAAATGTATTAAATTCTCCAAAATGCCTTAATTATAGGATGTACAAGTGTGATTTTGTTTTTTGAAAATTATCTAAACATGTTACCAAATGATCTTGGATTATATTTATGTAAATTTGTTGTGTCGGTCATAACTTGCCAATTGAAGCTGGTAGATTTTATAGTATTGATAGATCTGAGAGAGAGAAAGACATTGTATCCTCTGCAATAACAATGAACTTGGTGATGATTTTCATTATTTATTTAAGTGTCCTTTTTTTAAGAATGAAAGACAGAAATTTATACCTAGAATATTTACACAAATCCAAACACAATATCTTTTTATGATTTGATGAATACTTCTGATATATATGAACTAAAAGGTTTAGCTAAGTTTTGTAAAACTGTTCTTAAATAATTTCATGCCTGAACTTCCTACAATGTAAACATTAAACGATTTTTTTTTATACAACCATCAGTACTGTCCACATCAAAGATTTTTTTGTAGTTCATTATGTTAACTGTTCACATGTTGATTTGTTCTATTGTTGAACTCTTATTGTACTAATTAACATACCCCATGTGGGGCCTTTAGTGAAAATAAAAGTTTCAAAGTTTCAGAACTTGACCTAGATATTTTTATGATAAATCTGTATACCAAATTTCATTTCAGTATGTGCAACCCCTGCGAAGAAAATGAACGAAAACTGCAAATAATTGGAATTCTTTGAAGTCCAAGGGGCATAACTGTCAAAAAATGCTCGATCGTACCCAAAACAAACTTGACCTAGATATTCTTATGATAAATCTGTGTCCCAAATTTCATTTCAGTATATGCAACTTCTGCAAAGAAAATGAATGGAAACTGCAAATACTTGGAATTTTCCCAAGTCCAAGGGGCATAACGTTGTCAAAAATTGCTCAATCGCACAAAAACAGAACTTGACATAGATATTCTTATGATAAAACTGTATACCAAATTCATTTCAGTATGTGCAATCTCTGCTAAGAAAATGAAAGGAAACTGTTGGTAGACCGACAGATAGCAAGCAAAGCAATGTGCCCTCCCTTCTTCGAAGGGGGGCATAAAAATGTAAAAATGAATTCACACAACTTAGAAATGTTTGAGTATGATTTAATGTGGTCCTCCTTCTCTTAAAAATAATCTATATTGATTTCCTATACATTCTCATGTAAAATTGAATCCCTATTCTAGCCATACATACCCTTTCCTCTGTGGTCCATGATGTGAAGAATTTGCATTACATGAGGATGTTTCCATATTAATATGACGAATCATTGCCCTCCTGTTCTTGAATAGACTTTTTTCCTTTATACTTTGATTTTCTGTTCTGATCCATCCTATGCCCCGGGGCCATAATTTGAACAATTTTGAATCTACACTTTTGACTCAGTAGTTCTTCAAATTTTTAAAAGATGCTATTTCTTAATTATCTCCCTTTGAAAGGTTGTGACTTTCATTTGAACAAATCTGAGTTCTCTTCACCCAAGAATGCTTTGTGGCAAGATTGATTAAAATTGGCCCAGTGGTTATAGAGAAGAAGTAAACAAGAGGCCCATGAGCCACAGTGCTTACTTGAGTTACTTAAGCCTAAATTGCTGTTCTTCAGATTTTTAAAACATTGTGATCCCATATGACTGACATGGCCTTGCAGTTATGGAAAAGAAAATTCTTGCATTATGAAAAATTGGATCCTGATTTTATCCATTTCTAACCATGGTGTTTGCAAATTTATGGTTCCATTGTGTTTCTTTAGATTTTTGAAAACCAATTCTTATATAGTCCCTGCAAGAGAGCTTTTCCTATCACATTTTGCCTGTCATCCGTCTGAGTGTAAAATTTTAACATTTTTGACTTTTTCTTCAGAGGGGCCAATTTCAACCAAACTTGCCATGAAGCATCCTTGAGTGAAGGGGATTCAAATTTGTTCAAATTAAGGGCAATGCCTTCTTTCAAGGGGAGATAATTGAGAATTAGTGAAAATTTGGTGACATCTTTTAAAAATTGTTTTCTCAACAACCACCAGGCCAAAAAAAGTATAAACTTACAAAATGTTTAATCATGCTGATATAGAAGTATCTTGAGGTAGTGTAGGTTCAAGTTTGTTCAAATCATGACCCCGAGGGGTTGGGTGAGGTTACATCTAGGAAAATCATGACACCTTGGGGTAGGGATCACAATAGGGATCAAAGTTTTACATAGGAATAAATGAAAGAAAAAAATAAAGTGCCCCGCCACAGCATGATATGCCCGTCAAATATTGTTCAATTGTCATAAACAGTTTAGAGTGCAAGAAAATCATGTCAACCTTGATACAAGGATTTCAAGGATTTTCCCATTCCTTATAATATTTGTTTATATATCTCCTGTGGTGTACACATTAATTATAACAAATATTACATTATAGATCCTCAACTGGTTGTGTTAGAGCTTGACAAATGCCCACCTGCAGCCCCCCCCCCCCCCTCCCCCCAGTTTTCAGATTTGTGAGACATGATGCTCTGAATTAGTTGATATTTTAAAAAAAATTAAATAAAAATGTCATATTAAACAATATCAATTTAGTCATAACAACTTAATCTATATCAAATTAATATTAAAAATAAAAGGCTGGCCATCAAATGACATATGCTATAAACTGACAAGCAGTTTTTCTGTCTAATTCCCAAAGGATACAGATAAGAGCTGCTTGATTCGAGATCCTCTAACAGAAATGATTGAGACAGCTAGCCTCCCTACACTGAAATCATTAATTAATCTTTAACAGGATGCATATCCACTCATTACTCCCAACAGATGAATGGATCTATACATACTATCTGCTTTGTAGTGCAATAAAAATGCATCTTTATGTCATTCTGAAATTAAATTTGAAAACAAAGATTTTTTTTAAAATTTGTTACAAATATTTATAAAAAGAAACAAAAAACTTGTGTAATCTTGATGCAACATTTTTAATAATGGTTCCTGCATTTAACTCTTAGATTTGTAGGGACTATCTACCATAATTTAAACATTTTTTTTTAAATACTTGATTTTTTTTAGATTTAATGTCACACTGGTTTAAGCTGCAATTCATACGGACAACAGGCATGCTGATTCCAATATCACCCCCCCCCCTCCCGAGTATAATTAGTTTTAATTATATCATACAATATCAAATTAGTTTATTATACATATCAAATTAATTTATTATACAATATCAAATTTGTTTTAATTATTTTTCACCAAATTCATTTAAAAAGTTAGGCTAGCCAACTATTTAATCCAACAGACTGATTCTTTTTGCCCAGTTCCCAAGAGATATAGATAACACCTGCTTGATCAGAGATGCTCTACTAGTTAGCTCCACACACTAAACTCATTAATTTCTCTCTAATTTGACATGCAATTTTCTGTTATCAAATTCTCCTTGACCAGTGCTTGATAATTACACCCCTGGGAGAGGTGGAATTTCTCTTGTAACATTAAATTTGTTATAGATTGCTGTAAAGTATATAATGAAAAAAATAAGTATTTTCTTGATTTAACATTTTTTTAATAAGGATACTGCAACACTCTTGCATTTTTGGGGATTGTGTAATCTAATAGTAAAAAGATGTTGTTTTTTTTTTAAATTTCACTTAAATTAAAGGTCACAGTGACCTTGAAATAGGTCGCAACACACCTTCTACCTAAGATGCATAAATTGGCCAAGTTTGATTATTCTAAGTCCAACAGTTCTCTAGTTATGGGCCAGACAGGATTTTTCCATATTTGGCCATAGCATCTTAATTAAAGGTCAGAGCGACCTACTTTTAGTGCACGACACACCTTCTACCCAAGAAGTATCAGCTGACAAAGTTTGATAATCCTAGGCCTAATAGTATTAAAGTTATGAGCCAGACACGAGAAAAAGCTAACGGACGGACAGACGGACGGACATGAACGCCATAACATAATACGTCCCGTCTAAAGACGGGCGTATAAAAACTGGTGAAGAATAGCAAGGGCCATATTGACTCTGGTGAGCATTGTGGACTGTTGGCCTCTCGTTTCTTTTACAATCAATAGTTTAGGCTTATATCATTTTGTTGTTTAATGAGCAGACAATCTACACCTCTTTCTGTATGTTTAGGATAGCTCTGATGGTTTTACAACCTTTTAAGCCCTTATTTTCTCGAGAGTTTAGGAGTTTATCCCTATGTCATGGGTTCAAATCCCACTGCAGGGCATGAAGACCTTTGGATGAGACCATATGAACCCTGACAGATAAATGTTGGCAAGACAAAGATCCCTCACTGCTCAACAGCCACAAGTGCAAAGTATAGGTCCAACTCCTCACTCAAAAGGATGCAAAACAGCCAACCAACCAACAACTTACAAAATTACTTGTAGATAAAAAGGAAAAGAAAGTTTATTTTATTTTGTTTTAATCCTGTTAACCATCTCAGTTTTCACAACATGATGTATAAACATAAAATAACAAGAAAGAACACATTTTAACATAAAAAAGATATAACAAATGTTTACACACTTTATCACAGACATCTTTTTGTTCACTAAAACTCAGGCATTATTATTTATGAGGACATGTTCTTTTTGTATGACCTGAAAAGAAAACCAGATATTTTATAAAAATCAAGTTAAACGAGAAGTATCATTTCAGGTAATTGTTTACGCACAGACCGACAGATGAATGTAAAATTGATATATTGTTTATGTATATAAGAGTGAATATATGACTATAAAAAAACCTTCAAATTAGAAAACCAAGAGGTTATAACTTACAAGTGATTGGTATTATATATAAAGGGAGAGTACTCACCCTCCTCTCCACATAGGCCACACTTCCTGGCTGCCCTTTTTCTGTTTGGAGTGGTACCACTGCTGCCTAGTTCAGATGAGGTTCTCTTCTTCCCACCACTTCCAACATCTACATGTTCAGAATATTATGTTTTTATTATCATAATATACAACATGCAAGTACATGCACACACACCTTTACAAAGTTGAGTGAATTGCAAAGCATAGCAAAATTGACCAGATCTCTCAACAATCTTTTAACGGTCACCGAGCCATCTTCAGTAATCTCCCGCGCAGAAAAATCACCCGACAATCTCTTGGATCTTCCAGAAGTCTTACAAAGAATGCAAAATTTTTTATTGCCTAATGTAAGTCATGTCTGAGAGATCATTGAGAGATGGCAAAGACCAGTTGAGCTTTACTGGAAACTACATCCGAGATCTATGAAAGATCAATTCTGTTTGACTTTGAGAGATCATTGATAGATCTTGGAGACTGGTGTGAGATCTGGGAGAGAGTGCTGTACAATATACTCAATATTTCATCACATGTATCATTTTACACAGTTTTATGAATGAGAATTCAAGATGATTTTTTTTCGGGAAAGTGCGACTCCTCCCGGAACAGACATCATCATCAGAAGTTTTCATTCTGTGTCTGCTATCTGAAGTTTGACTTTAATGCAGATTTTTCCTTGCAATGCACAAAATTTAAGTGAATTTGCAGGAAACAATTACTCATCATTATATTCAAAGGACCCTAATATGATACTCTACTTTACACGATAGTTTGAGAATTATGCAAGAAGTAAGGTGCTAAAATTACTTCCCTAATTATCCTGTTTGTATCAGTCTTGACCATTTGGGATATAAATTCTTGAAAACTGTATGATGTAAAACTTGAACATAATGAACTTTAATTAATCTCATAGATCCAGTAAAGAATAGGAATTGTGAACATAATGACAATTTTCTATCACTCAATGTCCTTTTAAACCAAAAATGGTGAAAATCAGGAGATTTGGCATTTAAATTGTAGAGTGTAATTAGGGGGTCAAATATTGTAAAAAAAAAAAACAAACAAACAAACAAAAAAACCCAAAAATTACGGGTAAATCAGAAGAGTAAGCAGGTCGGATAGTTACATATACATATCAATGACTTACAGGAACCTGTGTTGATTCCCTCAGGATTTTCATCTCCCCATTGGAAGAATTTACAGCTCTGATCTCTGGGTTTGGCACAAGCATAAAATGTACGACCTTTATTAGGGCCATCTTTATTTACTGTCAACCTGCAGATAATGATAAACTCTTCAACTTGTGTAAATGTTGCTTTTTCACATGTATGAAATGAAAATCTTGACTCTGAGTATTCAATCATTAAAATTCAGAAATAAAAAATGGAAATATATTCACTGGATGTGAATACCATGTGCAACTAGAAAACTGACCAGTCAGCAAGGGCCCCGCCGAGGGGTGGAAATATAAGGGTGCAGCTTACAGAATGAGAATTTTAATTGATTACAAAAATTTAAAAATATATGAAGAAGAATATGCAATAACAACTGTATTTATAAGATTTCAAGATAATTCCTAAATATCCAACAACTTGTAAAGAATATCCCTGTATTTACATAAGGCAGTAAAAAACATCATATCTATAATAACTCAATTAAATATATATTTACACAAGAATAAAGCATGTGTTTTATAAAATGCCAGCCTTCAGTGAAAGCAAATTCACCCAGGCTTGACCTTAAGGTTAATTTATCTTAAAGTGACAAATAAAGATAAGCCTGGAAAATTTCTTCCCCAGACAAGATAATTAATCCCTGGGGATTAATTGTACTGCTCTCTTATCCTTTTCTTCCAAGTATACAATAAGAACTTTTTCAGTAATGATAGAATGAGTTTATTATTGGACTACCTGTTAAAAGTTAATAGTATTCTTGAATTTACATACGGCAGCAAAAAAAGTAGATAAATAAAATAAACTAGAAATCTGACCAGTCAGCAAGGGCCCCGCCGAGGGTTAGAAATATAAGGGTGCAGATTAGGGGATGAGAATTTTACTTGATTCCAAAAAATTTCAAAATATATAAAGAATAAGCAACAGCAACTGCTAAATATGCAACAATCTGTAAATAGTATCCTTGTATTTACATAAGGCAGTAAAAAACATCATATCTATAATAACTCAATTAAATGTATATTTAAAAATGAATGAAGCATGTGTTTTCTAAAATACCAGCCTTCAGTGAATGCAAATATCACTAGGGCTCGACATTAACTTTTTTGCCTACTTGTCCATTTGGACAAGTGACCAAGACATTTACTTGTCCGAACTTCAACTTCACTTGTCCGAAAAATTTTCAATAAAGATCTAATACTGTTAACTGAAAAACTAAAAATAAAGTACATTACATGTGCATGATGTTATTTTCAAATACAACGAACACATAAAACAATATTTTATCTAGACTTTCTGTCCTGACAACATAAATGCTGTCAACATAAAACAGAATCCGAACTCAGTTCCATGCCTTTGCAGTAGTATGCAATTAGTGAACTTCAATCCCGATCGAGTGTACTCAATTAGGGCGCGTCGATTTACCCAAAAGGACCTAAAAGAACCCAAAAGGACCCAAAAGGAACCCAAAAAGACTCAAAAGGAACCCAAAAGGACTCAAAATGAATATATTGTGATATACTGAAAATTAATAATTTGAATGAAATAATGAATATTACATTATAAATTTACATAAAAGTTGGCAAAAACATAAATTGATACTGTTGCAACTTTTCTTTGAGAAATAACATAATGCCTTATATAACACATCAAACACTAAATCTGTTTAGATATGCTTTGTTTTATTTGAGATGAAAATAACAAAATATTATTATATTTCCCCTTCTATTGTACCATATCTTACTATATGATATATAATGAAGCAATAAGTTTTATTTTATGACTTGTTCTAGGCATATGGTATCGGGGGTGGGGGAAGGGGAACCCCCCACCCTAAACACACACTCCCCCCCCCCCCCCCAAACTACTGTTTTATTTTCAATAAAGTATGAAAGTGTTCATTGAATATCCAGATATCCCCTTTACTTCATGTCCTTTTGGGTTGCTTATAATTTACTTCTGGATCCTTTAGGGTAAATCGATGCACCGCTCAATTACATAGCGATCTATGTCGGGATCAAAGTTCGGTTTTTATGTACTGTTTCCGTCTTAAAGTACCGGTAAACTTTTAACAGTCGTTCTTTTATATATTTAGAGTCTTCTTTACATAAAAATGCACTTGTCCTATCGGACAAGTGCACAGCAATATTCACTTGTCCATATTTTTTTTTCACTGGTGCCGGACAAGCGGACAAGCGTTAATGTCGAGCCCTGATCACCCAGGCTTGACCTTAACTTCAAAACAAATATCAGTTGCAGACAAAGGTGTTAATTAATCTTAAAGTGACAGAAAGATAACCCTCTAAAATATTCTGCAAACCAGCAAGATAATCAAACCCATGGGATTAATTATACTGCTCTCTCAACCCTTTCTTCTAAGCTAGTTTACAATAAGAACTTTTTCAGCAATGATAGAATGAGGTTATTATCTGAATACCTGTTAAAATAATTAGTATTCTTGAATTTACATAAGGCAGAAAAAAAAAGAAAAAAGAAAATAATAATAAAAACAATATCTTTATCTATATCTTGTTTTTAGATTTCGATAAAATCATAACTCATTGTGTATTTTACCAAAATAAAGTATGAACATTATTTAAATCCACATTTCAGAGAATGTAAACATCATTCAGAATTGACCTTAACTTCAAAACAAACTTCATTTGCAGACAGAGGTGTTAATTAATCTCAATGCGGCAGATATGCTTTGGATTTTCTTCAAGAGGAAAGTTAATTAATCCCAAGAGACTCATTGCAGCCTTTCATAGTTTACAATAGTAGCATTCTCTCTCTTTGCCCATTCACTCTTATATAAAGTTAAGGAATATACCCCACCACCCCAGCTCCAAACTGGATGACAAAGAGAACCAAACTTAGCATCAAAATATGTCTTACTGCCTATTCAACCAACATACCAAATTTGAACTAAATTGGTCAACCCTAAAAAAAGTTATTAGAAAAAAACAGAAAATTTGTGGAGGGAAGAATGACAGATGGACAGACAGACAGACAGATGGACAGCTAGACAGACAGAGTGATTACTATAGGGCACCCGCAAATCCTTGCGGGGCCCTAATAAAAAAAAAAATATAAAAAAACATATCTTTATGTATATCTTGTTTTTAGATTTCAATAAAATCATAACTCATTGTGTATTTTACCAAAATAAAGTATGAACATTATTTAAATCCACATTTCAGAGAATGTAAACATCATTCAGAATTGACCTTAACTTCAAAACAAACTTCATTTGCAGACAGAGGTGTTAATTAATCTCAATTTGACAGAAACAGATAATGCTTTGGATTTTCTTCAAGAGGAAAGTTAATTAATCCCATGGGACTAGTTGCAGCTTTCATAGTTTACAATAGGAACATTCTCAGCAGTTATCCCTTTTTGCCCTGGCATTCATTCTAATGTAAAGTTAAGGAATCTAAACACCAACCCAGCCCCAAACTGAATGACATAGAAAACCAAACTTAGCATCAAAATATGTCTTACTGCCTCTTCAACCAACATACCAAATTTGAACTTAATTGGTCAACTACACAGGGATTTTTTTACCCTTTGATTCCAGGGGCCGGGGCCGTCAAGATTGGGAAAAATAGTGATATTTGGTTGAAATTGGGAAAAATATCTTCATACAAATAAATAGGAAAAAACAAGCAAAAGTCAAATATTTAATCATTTTTCTTATTTTTTATAGTATAAAGCTGGCTTAAACCAACTTTAGTGATATGAAATAATAGCGGCTGTTGAAGTTCAGAAGCTTAGCAATGGCAAAGCCGCAGGGTATGATAACATCGTAAATGAACATATCTATACATTTTCATCTTTTTTACCTTTATGTAAGAAGTTCTTTAAAATAACATTTGATAGTGGGTTTGTTCCAGATGAGTGGATAATCGGTATTGTTTGACCAATTTATAAGAATAAGAGCGATTCAACCCAGCCTGAAAATTACTGTCTTAGGCAAACTGGAGAGACTGACATGATGCATGTTTATTTTTTAGATAACGATCCCGACTTTAATTTTTAAACATCGATCCCGCTTTAAAAAGTATGCATGCAAACATCCGTAGTATCCTGAATAACTTCTCGGAAGCCCTCAGATGGCTCGTACATCGCACATAGAGAACATAAACACCTTTTTGTCATTATTTTATTTCAATAATTTACAACTTAATACTTTTTTTCATATTGGGAATTTTTAGGTATGATTTTGGGAAAAACATGCACTTTTCAGCATTGGGAATGGGGCCGAATTTCGGCCCCAGAGAGACCCTAAAAAAATCCCTGCTACAATAAAAGTTATTAGAAAAAAACAGAAAATTTGTGGATGGAAGAATGACAGACGGACAGATAGACAGACAGTGATTACTATAGGGCACCTGCAAATCCTTGTGGGGCCCTAATTATACATTATTATTGCAATTGAACATTAAAAGAATATCCTATGAGCTATATCCACTGTATAAAGAAGTAAACATGTGATAAATATATATACACTTACATTTTGGCTGGATTTCCACAGTTACAACAGATATCTGAATTTCCACCAGTTTGAAATCTACAAATATGAGCAAAAAAAATTTTTAAAATAAAAGATACAAACCTAAAGAGCTGCTTATCATTAGTTTATAGAGCTTATTGCTCAAAAGAATCTCAATACATACCCACCACCAAAACCCCCACCATTGCTTCTGTTTTCATCTGTCAACAGAAAATTAGGAGTCACTCAAATGGTAAAACATTTCTTTTTCATCCCAGTTACACGCAGCTATTTTACATATTTTTAATAATTATCATTAAATTTCAATTCAGTATCAATGTATATGTACAGATTAATCAGTAGACTCTTCAATAAATGACATAAATACTCCAACATACTTGTAACATCTGACCACTGGAAGAAATCACAACCTTGACCTCTTGGTTTGGAACAAGAGTAAAACTCTCTGTCCTTGTTAGGACCATCTTTAACCACTCTTAGCCTGAAATTAGAGAGACTCAATCTAAACAAGCATTCTGAGAGTATTGCATTAGCAATACTAGTCCCCTACCGGCAAGTGTAATCTGGTTCTGTTCCCGTTTAGAATTGAAAATGCCATAATTCCGTCAAAAATTAATGAAGCGGGACGAAATGCAAACTTGATCTATAACTAATCAAGGTAAAGCCACATACCAAAAATCAGCTCAATATCTACAAGCCTTTAGAAGAAAATTGCGGAAAACCCCTAAAAATTGAAAAGGCCGTAATTCCGTCAAAAATCAATGAAGCGGAACGAAATGCAAACTTGATCTGTAACTCATCAAGATACACTCACATACCAAAAATCAGCTCAATATCTGCAAGCGTTTAGGAAAAAAGTGCGGAAAACCAAGTGGGACAGACTGACAGACAGACAGAGGGACAGACAGACAGACAGACGGACAGACAGACAGACAGACAGACGGACGGACAGACGGACGGACAGACTCAGAGGAAACCTATAGTCCCCTCCGGTTTCACCGGTAGGGGACTAATAACCATCACAGTTTGCCATTCTTTAATACAATTAATTTCTTCTGGGTACTTCCATCATCATCTTCCAAATAATGCATGTAAGTTACACATCATTTTGCCTTTCCAAGTGAAATGTTGGTAATAATCAAAATAAAAGAAACGTTGACAGCAAAATGAATCTGAAATACTGTACCTATAAATTATCCAAAGTAAGGTAAAAAAAAAATGTACATGTAACTAGAAATATGTCCATAGGACATAAATGACCGCCCAAGGTACATTTGAATTGCAACATGAAAACACACTTAAAATTATCTCACAAAAATCGCTTTAGTATACACATTTCAAAACATCTTTTTTTGGAAACTCAGGTAACTGTAAAATGGACAGGGTTCGACATGTTAGTCTGTTGGTCTTAAACTAATACACTTTTATTCGGACTAATAAAATTTGTGGCTAATAAGTCTGAACAGACCAATTAAAATTTCTGGAAAACAATATGAATATGAATAAATTACCAATGTCCAATTCTCAACAACTTTTACTGGAAAACCTTGCATGTATTTTAGCTTTCTAGCTTCTTGGCGGGTAGTTAGGCAATTCAGAGTCAATTTCATTATGACTGATTAATATGAAGTAAAACATTCTAGCAATCATGATTTACTGAAAAAGCAGAAATATTCGTTGGGGATTAAATTTCGTTGATAACAATTATCAATGAAATTAAATCGGTTTTTATTCTAAACTGCTCTAAATGCAAAATAATTAATACCAAGGTAAAGGTCAGACGATTTTGACACAGTTTAATAGCCTTTATCAATTGGTATCATAGTATTAAGTTCAATGAAAATAAACAGTCTCTCTGAAGTTAAGGTAAAAGCAAAATGAGGAAAAGTGGGATCAAGGTCAGAAAATTATGAAACATTTTAAAAGCTCCCACCAATGTGTTTCAGTGTAAGCTAAAGGCAAAGTATGATGCACCGACAGAAGGACAAAACATAGACATGACAAACACTATGTGCTCCAGCCATATTCATGACGGGGCATAAAAGAATATTTTACCAAAAGGTGAGGTGAACCATAGAGAACAGGTGTATTACACAAAAGTGAACAATTCTGCTACAGATGACTTACAGCCTAGCTGGAGTTCCACAATTACAATTCAATTCCATGTCTGAACTTTGATTATTGAACCTACAACACAATGAAAATCTTCATAAGCATATAAAAGTCCTACAAAGAGTAACTCAGTATCCAGAAACTTCAAATAATTAATGATCCTTGTCTTACCCGCCTCCTCCCCCTCCTGGGGGCCTCCTGTTGTTATCTGTTGATTGGTTCTGAGATTGATCTGCCCACAGGAAGAAGTTACAATTGGATCCCCCACATTTGTAGAACTGTCTCCCTAGAAAACATATTTAACTGTGAAATTCATGGTACAGATAATTGTCTTCTATAGACTTCTTAACCCCAGGGAAACTGAATGAGATTCAAATTATAAAAGAACATTGTATTTTGTTTTATAGTATCTCAAGGTTTTCCATGATAAGCTGAAAAAAATTCTAATTCTAATAGAATTCTCATATTAAATTATATTTCATATGTGAATGAATTCTTTAAAGCAATTACACATAAATCAACAATAAACATGCATCTAAAATCCTTTTTTTAATGTGTAAAATGAACAGTTCAACATAGTGTACAACAAATATTATTTACATTTGCAAATATTTTTCTTAGATGAAACTATTGAAGAGAAAATATGTTCAATTCTGTATGAACTTATTAGTGGGTCAGAGGTCATGGCGTGACCGAATCACACAGCGAGTCGATATCTTGTCTACATATTTCTGTCACGGTGACACTGGTTTCGGAACTTCGAAGCCGTTAAAGCGATGAAAAAGATAAAATTATTGAAACATATATTTTTTTTCATTCAACAAATGATCATTAGATCTTTCTTTGGTGTGAAGAATGTTTTAATTAGCCTAAAATCATGCTTACCTTTTTAACCCGAAATTCCTTTGAAGGTATGTAAACTGAAGTCGATAGCACCGCTTTTGACTTCATATATAAAGACTCATACAATAATAGTAAGATTATTCCCAGTAGCGATCATTTTTTCTTTCATTATGAACATATATTTCCTGAACTGGACTGCTGAACATCAATGTAAATATTCAAATGCTGGAGCGAGGCAAATTCTCACGATCAAACAGCTTCTAGGTCATTTCGCGTCACAACATAGCAATACGGCGGGCCGTTTGTGTAATAAATACAGTTCTATTCAGAATATTCGTCTCAAATGTAAATAAAAGTAATAAACAACAATGATAAAAAGTTCACTGGGAAATGAACTTGGTTGGTACGTGATCAAATCTTCTGAGAAGCCCTTTGGGTTTCACAGGATTTGGTCACGTGACCAACCAAATTCATTTCCCAGAGAACTTTTTAATATTGTTGTTTATTTCTTAAGTAAAAGTCTCATGGGTATAAATACATGCATTTATATAAAAAACTAAAACCTGTAATTCTATGCTGAAAACATTATCAAGTAGCATTACATTGCTTATCCAGTAACATAGCCTTGATCATCAAGAATCTATTTTACTAAGCCAGTAGGACAGCTTTATCAAGTAGTGCATGTATTATACTAAAAACAAATAGTATTACCTCAATTATCCATAAGATATCTTGAATATCCAAAAGGTTACTTTGATTATTTCTTATCCTGACCAGTAGGATACCTTAATGATCCAGCAGTTTTATTTTGATTATTCAGCAACAAATACTTACCTTGATTGGGTCCCTCCTTTCTGACAGTTAAGAGGATTGCACTAGTCCCACAGTTACATACAATGTCCTGTCCGTCATCTTCATCATTTGTCTGTCTATTGAATGGCTGAACTGTCACCAAGGGAACTCGCTGAGAGCTCTGAGTGTCTGACCTGAAGGGTGGAGCTAAATGTAAGAGAATAATTGAATGAGTTTTTATTTTGTTGTTCTAACTAAACAAATCTGAATCATTATGCTATTAATGATAGGAAATGTAATAGAAATTGAATAAAAGTTGTCCAACACATTAAAATAGTAGTTTATCTTTGTCAAAATATTAGATTTTTGTTTTTTAATGTAAAGAAATATCTTAAATTCTAATACAAAAAAAATATAATATTTTGAGGATGATTAATGCTGCAATTGTTGTTAAGAAACAAAATTTGACACTAAGTTACAAAAATATGATTCACCTTTACTGTTATTGCTACCCTCTGAGATTTCATCTCCCCACTGGAAAAAGTTACAGCTTTGATCTCTGGGATTGGCACAGGCATAAAATGTACGACCTTTATTAGGGCCATCTTTATTTACCGTTAACCTACATGTATAAACACCAAAACAAAATTCTACGTGGAAAATTTTGCAGAGAACAACTGAAGAATTCATAAAGAAGAAAAAAAGTCACACATACGTTTTAGCAGGTTTTCCACAATTGCAATTGACATTGGAGTTTCTCTCAAATTCCAATCTACAGTGATAAACGTGACAGAGTTTGTGGAATCTTACAGATGTGTTTTATCAATAGCGTCTATAAGAATTAACTTGTTGTTCTACACAACACTTACCCTCCCCCTCCACCCTCTCCTGATGAACTATTTCCTCCTCTAGTTTCACCTGTCAAAATATTTTTTATGCATAATTTTATTTCTGTCGATAAAAAGCTTAAATGAACCCAGGAAAAAATGTAAAATACCCCCCGGTACATGTACATGTATACTGTATTTGTCATATTAGATATTAAAGACATTGTATATTGAGGCACTAAACTAAAAATATGAATCAAAGGGAATCAAATCAAAGATTTCACATACAGCAATAAGTGAGTAGAAAGTCAAGGATAAATCAAACAATATTTTACATTCTTATTCATACAAATAGTCTATTAAATAACATTACTGAAGTTGTCTGTATTGTCGTCAGATAAATCAGGTCAATGACAAATTTATTTAGTTTTTTAAATTTATTTACAATACTTTATCATTATGGATACAAAACTCATTGACATCATTCCTCTTCTTTACTAATCTGCCTAGAACAACACAGATTCTATCATCAGTCCTATTCATAAGAACTATTATCCATTCAAATATTGCAGTGAATGATGGATGCTCGGAGTGCATAAACTGTAAACTTGTAGAGATTCTGAGTAACTTATATTGTGAATACGTAGAGATTCTGAATTACTTATATTGTTAATTTGTACAGATTCTGAATTACTTATATTGTGAATTTGTAGAGATTCTGAGTAAATTATATTGTTAATTTGTAGAGATTCTGAATTACTTATATTGTGAATTTGTAGAGATTCTGAGTAACTTACTTATATTGTTAATTTGTAGAGATTCTGAGTAAGTTACTTTTATTGTTAATTTGTAGAGATTCTGAGAAACTTTTTCATATTGTGAATTTGTAGAGATTCTGAGTAACTTACTTATATTGTTGATTTGTAGAGATTCTGAGAGTAAGTTGTCACAACCAGCAACACATCCAGTGTATCTGAAAAACATAAAACATGCAAAAATAAATTCCCTACAATATCTGATATACCTCAGCAAATTTGTGCGAGGATAATCTGGAAGTCAATGATCAATACATTTCACCTGATAGCTTTTAAGAACCAAATATTAATTTGTAATTTTGACTCAACTATCTGGAAATCTGTGTTCTGCTAGGGAGTAGCTGCAGAACTGTACCTCTCCTTTACAAAAAATATTGACAGACTGGAGAGCTACAGTGCCACCAATAAAAAAAATTGTACATTTATTGCGCACAAGAAGCTGCGCTTGGTTCTGGATTTATTTCTTCAAATCCTTACCTCAACTGCACAAAAGCTTGATTTCAAACAATTCCTCAGACCTCTTTCAACTACTTATGTACTTGACATCAGCACAAAATGTGTTGGACTAAATTATCTTAACGCCAAAAATGGCAGTATAAATAGGCGAAATTTTTTATGGTCTTAATTTCAGGCCCAGGAGGGCCATTTACAACAGTTATGGTGGATGTTTTGTTGTGAATATAGTAAAAGAATGTTAGGAACACAGGGTTAGTAATATTTTGAGATGGCAGCTTAAAATATGGAGAAATAAATCGAGAAACAACACATTTTTGTGCACAATAAATATATACTTTTTCCAACAGGTGGCTCTGTAGCTCTCTGGTCATCTATCCCAATTTTATCAGACCAGCGACCTACAGATCTGCAGTTAGCCAGAGAGCAGTGGCAAATCAATCTTGGTCCTTCATCACATCAAACAGAAGGTGAGCTGAACCTATTGCCAGTTTCCCTGATATGTTGTAGTCTTTGTGTTTACTTTATTTTTTTAGTATATTTTATACAAGAATTTTTTTTACACTTCAATATATAACATTTTAAAGATTCTTGCTTTACGAAATCAATCTACTGATATTAAAAACAAAGCTTCATTTATTCAGATGCTTCCCTTTTTGATTTTTTTCTTGGGATTATAAAGGTATCTCTGTATTAAACAAAATATACTTGTATTTTCTACATATTTTGGCACATTTAGTCTTATCCTGAGTTTATTTGTTAAATCATAAATTTAATTTATATATTATATGATAAACATGTAGATACCTACATGTAATACTTAGAAATACTGAGTGTTATCTCATGATTGCACCAAATAGTTCCTGATATACAGTTGGGCTACATTCTTAATACATGGATATAAGTACTTTACTACATTTACAATTTAAAACTCTTTTAATTAGTTAATGCAATAAAGTTGATCATTTAATAAAATACTTGTGATAAACTCACTGTAGTGGTAGCATTGGAGGCACAGAACCCATCTTGAATTTGAAGTTCATCAGCTGGGCTTGACACTGAAATTTATTGAATAGACATGGATAAAAGGGAGAGCACTGTAAAAAAATGAAAACAATGTAACACAGTGTGCTTAAAAGTTAATAACAAGAGAAATGTTTACAGAAAACATGGACTCACATTTTCACATTTCACATCACTAACACTGGCATCTAGAACAAAGTTAGGTAACCAAATGGCTGAGCGACATGATGGAAATCCCATACAGCCAATGTAAAATCTGTAATGGGAAAATCATTGTTACAGTACATACTTGTCTTTGTGAATAAACTGTAAGACCAATGAATACAGAATAACTGATTTTCTCTGAACTGAATATGAGTAAATTACCCTCCAGTTTTTCTGGTCTTTAACGTCATATCCATTCCACAGCTGGGACATTTTTTAACAGGGACTGATGCAAATATGTCAAGTGCTAAAATTGACAAACAAGATGTATCATAATCTCAAGCTTTTTATTTGGGGCTATTTTTAAAAAATGTTTGATAATATCTTGTGAACAAGCTCTTTGGAACCATTTTAGAATCTCTGTGTATTACTGACCTTCCTCCACAGGGAGGTCCCGGGCCTCCCCCAGGTACTGAGCCAGAGCCTGGTCAATCTTCAGAGCCTGCTCACAGGCCACCTTAAACACCTCCTTATACTTGGACACCTGCTGGCTCAACACCACTGGTCAATAATAAAACAGAACAACTACAGAATGCAGGATTCAACAACACTGGTCAATAATAAAACAGAACAGCTACACAATACATGTATTACTGTGGAATCATTACTGTTCGTGGGGGATCAATGCTCATGAATTTCATGGGTCACTCCATGAATTTACAGTGCTACCTTGGTATATTGCCCTCCGTTATATTGCCACCCTCGCTTAATGCCAGGAATTCTTGAAAAACGGATTTCCCCCCTTGTTAATACACCCGTTATATTGCCATCCCCACTTATTGCCATCTGCCACAGGTTTTGGGATACAAAAGTCAAACTACGTAAGGAAAACCCTCGGTAACAATGCCAATTTTCTAGTGCGTGTCGGTAATTTGGACATCACACCTGTGCTTTGACAGTGATTGAGGTGAAGCGTGACTGGCTGGATAAGGAACTCAGCTAAATTAAAGATAATCATTGCATAAAACTCAAAATTAGCAATGTCTTTGGCGTGTGTTCATAAGATAGAAGAAATTATTTCATCACAATAATGGAAACTTCAGGCGAGATAAAGCGTACAAATTTAGATTACGAAAAAAAAAGATTGATCAACATTCGATCTATTTGATTGTAAATTGCAGATCATTTCTTATCATGGATAATGCACAAAACCATAATAAATGGGAAAATTCATTTGTGTCCCCTAAGATTAAGAAGCTATTCTATCGATCAAAAAGGAAACCCCATATCTATTTTTAGACAACTATAATTCCGCACGTGAAAAGATTAGGGATTCCGTTAGCCCTGAAGTTTTCCTTAATTGTCGGGCATACATTGGTTTGATTGGTCAATATCAAAAGAGAATCGGAAGGTACACAGGTACTAGCAAACATGAGAATACATGTTTAATATATTTGACTGAATATAATACGCACTTTTTTCCTAAAATAATTTTCTGTGAGAAAAGGGTGCGTATTTTACACCACAATGGGATTTTGTTAGGTTTTTCTTTCAGGTGAAACACGGTTATCATACGCACATACCATAATATTACCTAGAGACTTATGCAATTTCTTGTTGTTTATCGCTGTATTTAAAACTTCGGAAAGTTATTGTCGGAACGTAGGCTTGTTAAAAATGTGATATTTATAACCTTTTGATAGTTAAATTAAATTAAAAAGCAAGTTAGAATTAATTTGAGCTACATGTTCATTGTCTCCGTGTAGGCCGCCATTAACGATGTTATTTATAGATGTTCACACATTCCTTTGCCACGTGCTTCCGTAATCATAGTACATATGTACCTAATCAGTCAGACACTCGGTCAAAAAAGTAATAAGTCATTTTTTTTAATGAAATACAATAAAATAAAATTTATTTTAGGTTTTAAAAAACTCAGTGAAAATTCATTTCAACATAAACACCCCTCTATACATCCCAATGAATGGAAGCCAATGTTGTGAACACATGCGCTTGTCACTTGATAATTATCTCTCAACACCCCTCCAGGCAATTAAATTGTTTACCGACTCCAAAGCATTGTTTTTACAGTTAGAGCACTGATTATTTACTGCCCTTATTAATGGCTTTGATTATTTTCTTTGTTAAAAATCTTTGTTAAAATTGGGGGTTGGTTTATGATCTTTCGTATGTATAAGCGTGTGTTGATTACGACACATTAAACAGTTAAACGCTTGTTAAATGTAATTTTACTTTATCTTATATCGGCCTCGTGTTTAAATGATTGAGAATTAGATAAGGTAATATGAAGTATGTTGAAACTTAAGTGTTATCATTTACTCGTGCTCTGTAGAAAATAAGATAGATATCCACGAAGATTACCTCGATGTATGAAGACATCAGCTATTTATTTAATTAATTAATTTCAAGTTCAAAAGAGGAAATTCGTAGTCTATGAATACTTTGATGTTGCAATATTCTTGCCCTGTTAAATTTACATAATTTTCAACATGATTACCTTAAACTAAAAATAAACATGACAACTGTTAAACTTGCAACAATATCTCGTGCTTTGTTGAAATAAAATCATTTCCACAAAGAATAGTTAGAATACGGCGATGTATAATTTCAATATCACCGTATGCTAAAAAAAATAATAATGAACTCTGTTAATTTTTTTTTAGATAATTTCCTCCAGATTGTCGCGATATGTAAAAGTCAAATTAAGAAATAAAAACGCATTTGAATAAAATATCGTGTTCTGTAAATTTTCGGCACTTTATCTCTGCGCCGATTTTCATAGCAAATTACCGCGATTTTCAAAAGTTCAGAACACTGCTTGGTAAAATCTTCTGCTGCGTATAATACAACCGAACAGCGTTTTTTTCCCCAGTTTCAGGCTCAAAAAGGGGGGTGCGTATTTTACACCAATGCGTATTATATTCGGCCAAATACGGTATATAACGGGTTGATGTATTCTGACATGTGACTTACCACTCGTCAGTCACGACGCTTTACCAACCAAACTTTTTAACTGATTCAGAAATTTTTGAGACGGTGAAATAATCTACTTTGATTCAGATAAAATTAATGATAATTCTCAAAAACTTTTTTATACTTAGAGGCTATAACGACCACTGATATTGTTGTCATCAGCTTATTAAATTCTTGAAGTATGACGAAAGGAAATTGATGTGTTCAATATTCTGATATTTTATTTCTTTTCAGTAAAAATATGGTAAACAAAAACAAGAGGCCCATGGGCCACAATGCTCACCTGAGAAACTTTGGCCCTGCTGTTCTTCACCTGATTTCCTACGTTGTTATACCTTTTGTGCCCCCCCCCCCCTTGATATGAACAATTTAGGATCTACACTACCCCCAGGAAGCTTCCACATGTTTCAGCTTTTCTGACCCAGCGGTTCTTGAGAAGAAGATTTTTCCTATATATTTCAATGTAAATCTTAGATTCCCTATTGTGGCCCTGCCCTACCCCCGGGGGTCATAATTTGAACAATTTAGAATCTACATTACCCCAGGATGCTTCCACATAAGTTTCAGCTTTTCTGGCCCAGTGGTTCTTGAGAAGAAGATTTTTAAAGATTTTTACTATATATTTCAATGTAAAACTTGGATTCCCTATTGTGGCCCCGCCCTACCTCCGGGGGACAAGATTTGAACAATTTAGAATCTACACTACACCAGGATGCTTCCACACAAGTTTCAGCTTTTCTGGCCCAGTGGTTCTTGAGAAGAAGATTTTTCAATGACACCACCCAATTTTTGTCTTTTCTTGATTATCTCCCCTTTGAAGGGGGCTTGGCCCTTCATTTTAACAATTTAAACTCCCCTTCACCCAAGGATGTTTTGTACTAAGTTTGGTTTAAATTGGCCCAGTGGTTCTTGAGAAGAAGTTGAAAATGTGAAAAGTTTACAGATGGACGGACAGATGGATGGACAGGGTGATCAGAAAAGCTCACTTGAGCTTTCAGCTCAGGTGAGCTAAAAATAATAATGATTTTTTTTTTTCCAAAAAGAAATGAAAGCTGCCCTTATACACATGTGACATAAATAGCTTGTGACTGAAATAAATTACGTAATCTATTCATTTTGTTTTGATTACCCACTGAATTGTAATTTATGGCAGAATTCGTTATATTGCCACCCTCGCTTTAATGCCAAAATCTGTCTTGGACAAAAGTTGGTATTATACCGAGGTAGCACTGTATATCCTCATCAACTGTAATTTTTCAACAAATTGTTTCAACGTATTTTCTGTAAATACAAGTTACTATCAAAATAGCGTCCCCAGAAACCAGCAACTTTGATTGCCTACGATCATTGACCCTCATGAATTAAAATGATTCCACAGTATTCTTTAATAAGATTAACAAATCTATGAAGGGTGATTTCAATTGTTTTTGAAATATCAAATCTAACACACATGTATTTACCATTTTTGTCCTTCTTTCCCTCACAAATTCTGAAAAAAAATGCAAATTATCTATCAGCATTTTAATATAAGAGGAGATGTAAATAAGCTAAGGATGGCAATTTGTAACCAGTTAACCGATTACTCGGTCGGAACAATGGGAATCGGTTAGAAAATCTGTAATCGGTTAGTCAGAAAAAATAAAAAAAATATGTAAGTTTTACCCTAATTTTGTTAAAATTCATGTTTAAAAAAAAGAGATCTTTGCATAAACGTTGATAATTCAGCGTTTTCACATATCCAAGCTGACTTGGCTGGCTGTAATTATGGTTCACCGGATTGAGAGTGTAGGGTAATTGGTCATTTTGTGTTTGAAGTGTTAATTACTGTTAAAACACCATGTCGTTACCCTGACCGTCCTTTTATTTCTTTAATGATAATTAAATCACCGTTGAGAACTACGAATTAGTATGTTTGTTTATTGCAGTTATCTCTCGAATAAATATACTACACAAACTTTGTAAATTAAGTGATGTATTTCAGATTTAATTTTAATTATGGTGACAATGCTGAATGAACGTATGTGAAATCTGCTTTGGAAAAATATCAATGATTTTTCAGTCATGATTAGTGTTTTCTTAATTTTTTCCAGTCTACATTGAAACTAAAACAAAATATAGAAGCATGTGTTTTTTTAAAATCAAGAATCAAGACAAATAAAATGATTTAACATCTAGACTCTATCAGTCTTCTTGTATATATGAAAAGAGCTACTTAGGAAAAAAAGTATGTACATCAAGAAAATGCGTATTTTGATACGGTTAACCGGTTAATCGGTCGGAACGTCTTGCGGTTAACCAATTAGCAATTCTGTATTCGATTGCCATCCCTAAAATAAGCACATACTTTTACATTCTCCTTTTTTTTTTTATTCACTCTAGTATAACAAGAGATGTCTGTGAAACACTTATGCCCCCCCCCCCCCCCCCCAATAATTGGAATTTTTGAAAGTGCAAGGGGCATAACCCTGTCAAAAATTGCTCGATCGTACCCAAAAAAACCTGACCTAAATATTTTTATGATTAACCTGTGTACCAAATTTCATTTCAGTATGTGTAACCTCTGCAAGGAAAATGAACGGAAACTGCAAATTACTGGAATTTTTCCAAGTCCAAAGGGCATAACTCTGTCAAAAATTGCTTGATTGTACCCAAAACAGATCTTGACTTAGATATTCTTATAATAAATCTGTATATCAAATTTCATATCAGTATGTGTAATCTCTGCGAAGAAAATGAATGGAAACTGTTGGTGGAACGACAGACAGACCGACAGACCGACAGACACTAGCAAAGCAATATGCCCTCACCCTGAAAGGGGGCATAATAAATGTATTTTCGATATGTAAATGTATATGAAAACATGCTAAAACTCCCAGAAAAAGCTGAAAAACCATTATCATTTAAATAAACATAATGCATTTCACACTTAGATATGAACCCAGCAGTTACCTTACTTTATTGTTTCTACTACCTTTTAAGGTCTGCCTCTAGTTCAGAACGTAGATGAGGTTTGGACATTTCATACCCCATGGCATCATAGCCTGCAATACAACCAGGTTGCTTTATAAGGAAAATGGTTGGCATTTTTTACATGGTCATTTCCTCATGTAAGATGTTTGGCTTTTCTTACAACATAGTATGACTTCCACAAGTATTGTATTAATAAATGGCGGAATGTTTTTATAACCTTACCCTCTACTAAACCCATCCCAAGCTGGCCAGGAACAAAGCGACTGTCTTGGTTCAATCCCACGTACATTCTGGTTTTGATTGTCTCTATGTGCTCAGCGTGAGTTGCATCAGTTCCTAATAATTCAGTACAAGAAAAAAATCTTTGCAGCAAAAAATACATATAGAAGTCTTTTTTCACATTCATTATTATAAAAAGGCCCATGGGCAACAGGGGCTGACAAATCCCGTTGCCTGACGCCCGGGGCTAATGAATTTTAGAGGCGGGCAATAGACACTTGCCCATGGGCAAGTAACTTACAAAAATCAATCAATAAATATTTTTAAAAATGTCGTAGTTGTACACGAAATCAAAACTGTTTTGTCGTAAGAGTTATCTTCCTTTGCTCGTCACACTTCGTAAGTGACTATTCAACTAATTCAAGTCTTACTGAAAGTTTAAGTGAACTGACAGTGACAAATTGGCATAGGAGAAATGGAGAAAGTCTTAACAAATATGAGGCAGAAAAACGATCATCAGCTGATGAAAAGTACATTGTTAACACGGGTCAGTAGCAACGTTAGCGAAAGAACCACAAAATCTCCTAAGCATACTGAGTATGAGAAAGAAAAACAACGGAAACAATTATTCCTACCAAATGGCAAAAATTATGTGTGAGCTGAATTACAATAGCGATACGAATTTATGGTACTTAAATTCGTACTTTTTGGCGGTAGTTTTCAACTGTCATCAATATTTAGAACAACACAATCAAGGTTGCAAAATTTTCTGATTTGTTGACAATTTATCCATTACGATATGAAATGCTGGATAGTAGACAACAATAGATGAATTCCACATTTTTAAGAGTTATCTCCCGTTGACGGCGACGCGTAAAGCTCATTTTTCTCACTTTGTCTTTTGTAACTTACCTGTAAATATTTTCAACCTTCAAACGCTATCTGACAATTTTGATTCGTTCCTGTATAGCCATAGTATGGGGCAACATAAAAAACATAATGAACATATTCAAGCAGATTTCATTTATAAAACATTGCCCCATTAAGTTGGTAATGTTATAAAGGGAAAACAGTGTCTTACGCCAGTTGACCCCAGATTGACCCCGCAAAGGGAAATAACTTTTGTAAATGCGAGAGTCGTCTATGAAAGAATGAAAGAAAATGTTTCGTTGTTTTCGATTGAAATTGAAACTATTTTGTCATACGAATTATCTTTAATTTATAGTTTATGGTGGGGCAAGTAAAAATTGAAGTAGGGCAAGTGAATTATGACCATGCACTTGCCCGTGGGCAAGTGCTTGAAAAATCTATCTGTCAGCCCCTGGGCAACAACATTCACCCGAGTCACTATGGTCCTGCTGTTTTTCATCCACAGACTCCTAGTAAATTTTGATTTCCTGTTGTAGCCCCACTCTACCCCTGGGGATCATGATTTGAACAAACTTTAATCTACACTACCTGAGGATGCTTCCTTATCAATATGATTAATCATGGCTTTGCTGTTCTTCTTCAGATTTTTTTATGATCAATTCCTACATATTCCTGAAATTTTGATTGCCCATTGTTGCCCAACCTTAGCCATATGGGTCATGATTTAAACAAAATTGAATCTACACTACTTGAAGATGCCTTCAAATAAATATGACTAATCATTAGCTTTGCTGTTTGAGAAACTAAGATATTTTCATATATATTCATACACGTACATAAAACTTTGATCTCTTATTTTGGCCCCTCCCTACCCCCAGGAATCATGGTTTGAAAATAAATGAATCTACATTATCTTAAGATGCTTTCATATTCTAAAATATGACTTATCAGGACTTAAGTGTTTTTGAGAAAAAGATTTATAAAGATTATTTCCTATATACTCCTTTGTAAAACTTTCACAGCCTACTGTGGCCCCACACTACCCTCGTGATTTATGATTTGAATAAATTTGAATCTACAGTATGTGAGGATGCTTCCATATAAATATGACTCATCAGGGTTTTACTGTTCTTAAGAAGATTTTCAAAGACTTATTCCTATATATTCCAATTTTAAACTTTGATTGCCTGCTGTTGCCCTACCCAATCTATGGGGTCATGATTTGAACAATCTTAAATCAACACTTTGTAAGGAAGCTTTCATATATGTTTCATCTTTTCTGGTGCAGGGGTTCTTGAGAAGAATGTTTTTAAAAGATGACATTAAATTTTCACTAATTCTTAATTATCTCTCCTTGAAAGAGAGCTTGCTTTGTGGAGAGTTTGGTTGAAATTGACCCAGTGGTTCTTTAGAAGTGGAAAATGTAAAAGATTTACGATGACAACAATGCTGACACCAATGACAACGATGAAAACAACACACACATTTTGGTCAGAAAATCTTACTTGAGCCTTTGGCTCAGGTGAGCTAAAATCTGTAGATATAGTATTTTTCTAAAGAGAATATGAATTATTCAGTGTAAATACGAACCTATTCCGTGTTTTTCCATTAATGCAATGAGATCTGCTTCTGTCAGCAGTGGAGGTGGCGAGGTCTCACTGAATAACATCTGTCAATGAAAATTAAATATTTCTCATCCTCAGTACAAAGACTTTTTGCAAAATTGACCATGCTTCACAAGAAGCAAAACTAGAGCTGTCCTATTGTAACTAAGATCCTGGCAGGCCTCACTCAAAGCTGCTAGGGAGGAAAACTCAAACTGACTGTACACAAAAAACTGTACAATTTTCAAGAAATTTAGAAGAAATTTAGAATACTACTGCCACAGCAAGGGACCATCAATGTTAATCATGTCGTATTGTTTCAGGATATGACACATTCTCTGGTCAGAAAGCAATACATGTATCTGTGATATGTATGAGGTTTTTCAATGTGCACTCTTCAAATTTACACCCCAGGCAAGAATTTTACACCTTTGATTCCTTAATCTTGTCCAAATGAATTTTAAGGGTCAAGGCACTGACATTCTACTATCTTGTCATCATTAAGTTATGGCCCATTTTACACACTTTCAATTCCTGTGACCTTGACCTTGATTAAAAAGATCTTGGTTTTGAGACCTGAACAATCTCATTTCATAAACATTTTCCACCTTTCCGTCACATGAGCTTCTAATTTTTTTTTTCTGTTTAAAAATGATCCTGACATACATTAGTGTTAAATCTAAAGCAAACTAGCATGGCGCGGCGCCATGCCCTTCTCCCTTGGCGCCATGCCCTTTTTTCCAACGCCATGCCCTTTTTTCCTTGCAAAAATAAATAAATATGCCTAGCAGAGGCAAGATGGACTAGCGGCTTTGTTTATTCAGTGCATGCTGATTAGCCCCTTTGTTTATTTAATGCACGCAAAGGTGTGAATTCAGGACAGGAAATCACTTCTCGCTTGAACGCACACAGCCACCTGGCCAGGTAACATGCCTCAGGCTGTCAGGGTATAAGAGATAACACGAGAAAATATCATTTGATTGCATTGATTATGCAAGAATTAGCCCAATGTCACAGATAGATTAATTTGTAAATTAAAATGTTACACATTTTAAATCAGGATCGTTTTTTTTTAAATTGAAAGTAGAAAAAACATAGTTGATGAAGAAATGTGAAAAATAAAACTGCTGATGAATTAAGACAACTTACAATGTACAGTACCAAAAAAAACTGAATATTATATGTGTAAAATGGGTTAGGAAACAACAAAGTATGAAGTTAGTTTCTTTCAACATGTTCAATGATTCTGTGTTCTAACTTTTTGAGTTGACACCCAGAGGCTCAATGTTTCTAGGCCAGAAAAAAAAGTTTTAACCAAATTTTATATTATTTCAAGTTTAATGTTTTGGTATGATCAGTTTTCAGTTGATTTTGTTGGTAGATTATTTTAAAAATAAAGAGAATGCCCTCTACATTTATTATCCAAGTAGCCCCCCCCCCCCTTGCAATTTTGTTCTGTTATTTACCTCATACATAAATAACAATATTAAAGTAAGGGAAAAAAAATTCATACCCCAAACTAAAATGATTTTTGAGCAAGTGACAAAAAGATTCACACCTATTACTTTTTAAGCATAACCTTGATAACCATACTAATTTCCTGATTAAAAAATTTGAATTTAAATTTGGCAATAATTGCCCTCTCAGTGTGTATTAAATGAATTAAGCTGACAGATTTATAAATTTTTCCTTTAGATACTTGTATAACTAAAGATTTCAGTATTAAATAATAATTTAAGTACATAAACATGATAAAGAAAATATTAATAATTTCAAAAACGTTAAAAAAGTGCCCTCATGAAAACTTGTCGCGGCATAAAGTGCCCTTTTGATAATTGGATTACCATGCCCTTTTTAGGGTCTGGATTTAACACTACATACATGTATATTGGGACAGAGACATATGGACAGACAGAGTTGATAATTCATACATAACCCCCCCCCCCCATCCCTCCTCAGAACTTTGTTTGAAAGGGGTATAAAACAACTACAATATCAGGTTCAGACTTACATCAATAGCACTAGGGTCGAAAACTTCACCCTCCTGGTACACTGGTATTGTCTGAAATTTACAGAAAGACAATTTCAAATACATGTACATGAAAATTAACACAAAATCCAGAACATCTGTTCAGCTGACAAAGTCTGAACTTATTCACAAGATTATTCTTTTGCCTCTAAATCCAGATGTTTGGTAGGAAAATTCTCATTTTCAGCTTCAATTTCATTCCATATAAATAATATCCCAATAATGTCCAAATAAATATGAAAGAAATCTGGCAAATAATGTATAAAATGTACATGGAATTTGTACACAAGCTGATCAGACAAAATTAAGGAAAAACTCATGGGTTTTCACCTATCTTGAGTTTTTCATACTATGAGTCAGTCCTCAAAAGGTGTACTGTATACAGAGAATTTTTTGCCCCCATGTTATTTTCCCCCTTTCACCCTCATTGCAAGCAGGCAAATTTAAAATGGGCCGAATTCAAAGAAGATAGCATAATTATGTTTTGACAAATTTTAAATGGGGAAAATTGTTTGCAAGTATGAAAGGGCAAAAATAAGCCTGTATACAGTAATTACTGTAAACACTTTTTTCCACAGCATCAAAATTCCATGAAATCACAATTTCTGTTCAAACTGTGAGTAAAAAAATTTCATGGATTTCTTAGATTGCCTCTATATACATGTATATGCCTTAAATGTATTTCAAGTATGCTGGGACAAATTTCAACAGAAAAATTGTGACAGCTTACATAGTGTAAATTAACGCCACATGGAAATAAGTACTTCTACAGTATTCTACATGTATGTTCATTATCACATTGCAAAATGCTTGTCTCCTAAGTGCTCAAAAGTAAAGAATAGTTTTTAAAATAAAATGCATTTTAAATACATATGATCAGCTTAGCCCCACCCAACATGAATTTCAAAATTTTTGTTCCCCTTTATCCAAAGATGCATGTTATACACAAAATTTTGGTTGAAACTGACCCAGCCATTTCATAAAAAAAGCTGAAAATGTTAAATATTTTACTGACAAGTAGATATACAGAAAGGAACAGATAGCAATAAGTCACCCAAGTGAAAATGAATCTGCTGACCTTAAAAAGATGGAGGAACTAGCAAAGCAAATGCTCAAGGCTCCATTCATTTATGGTAGGGCACAAAAAACACAAATTGAATAGGTAAGTTTAACTACATTTCAAAGTATAAGAAGAGATGTATACTGTACCAATGGGGTTGTTTTTTACCTTGGCATTCCATTTGTCATAAGGATAAACATCCAGATAATTCCTGGCCGTTATCATCAAACCCTGGGCTGAAAACTGAAAAATAACTGAGAATAAATCTCTGATGTGTAAAAGTCTTCCATATCAAAACCTACTTCTCAGCTAAACAAATACAATATATTTAACCGTTATTTCAAATATGTTTTACCAGTATGCAGTGTAAACGTGTATGTATAGAAATTGCATTACATGTGTCCATACCAGTTTAGAAAAACAACACAATTATTCATTTTATTCTAGACTCACAAAGAACACCGACACTTTAAGTAGCACAATACTGCATTACCTTCTCCTCTGCGATATCAATGGAAACAGTAGTCTCCTGTCCCTGGGCATCTTTGGAGCAGGTGGCTAAGAAATGGCGGACAATAAACTCGTACAATCTGGCATCATTGCCCTGAAATATTGTTCATTACTGTTAAAACATACATACAATGTATGTGTACATATACATGTATGTACCAATAAGACATTTTATTCATAATGTAAAAACACTTATTTTCATTGGGGTTCAATTTTCACGGATTTCTAGGTGTGAAGAGACCCACGAACTCATGTCCCCCACAAAATGTAAAATTTCAAATACAAAACTACTCAACACTTCAGTAACCACACAATCAAATCCCCCCAAACCAAATTTTTTTTTCAAACTCGAAAATTTGACCCCACGAAAATATGTGATTTCACAGTATTCATAAATATATCAAAGCAACTAAATAAAAATTTAAGAAGCTAAGCTCAACCCCTCTTTCTAAAAAAATTATAGTAATTTATGAGGCCCCTTACTGTGTGCCCAATCTACGTCTTGGTCAACTAGCTGTGTATTTGCTTGTAGCATTGAAAAGAACAATGATCAGCTGTCAAAGGCTTGTAACCTACAAGAGTTCTTTTAATTGGGTGATGGTGATCAGCAGCTTATATTGATATTAGCCAGTATTGACTGTAATTGACAGGAAGTACAGGGGGGTGAGATGATTTTATGTTTTACTGTTAGCCTGTCTGTCAACTTGAAAGGGTATATTGGGGAGTGATTTTGATCAGTAGGTAATCAACTGTAAAGTTTCTGCATATTGATGGGGTGTATGTAGAGTAAGTCTGTAGGTCATCATTATCCTATTTACATACTTTATGGGGAGTATATGAGGATACACCTGGTCTCTAGGTTATACTATAGAAGGGTTTATGAGGATACACCTGGTCTCTAGGTTATACTATAGAAGGGTTTATGAGGATACACCTGGTCTCTAGGTTATACTATAGGGGAGTATATGAGGATACACCTGGTCTCTAGGTTATACTATAGGGGAGTATAAGATTTATTGATCCCAATTTGGGGCCCCTCAGGGCATACAAGTAAAGAATTATATACACAAGAAGAAATTCAAAATTGATAGTAACAACATGTCGATATTAAGAGAAAAGAAAAGAAACTAACTAAAGAAGATGATGATGATTATAGCAGATGGGGATTACCAATAATAAATGCTTTAAAAAATATATATATATATACATATATATAATTAGCAAACGTACAAAGATTTGTAACATGTACATTTGTACTAGAGTATTAATAATTTAATATTATTACTCTTTTGCATTTATTTGGTTCTTTTTAACATTATATAATTCACTATTTCTTATTTTAAAAATATTGATTAGAAAATTACCCAACTTGATAAGCAATATATCATTATCATTAGACATAATCCACAAAAATTTTTCTTTATTTGTTAAACAATAAAAATTTTTATTATTTTTAGCAATATTTTCAAAAAATTCATGTCTATCATGTTTATATAATGGACATTCAATCAGTGAGTGAATCTCATCTTCCACACAATTCATGTCGCACATTCTACAAATCCTTTCATTTCTTGCAAGGGTGGTTTGCTGTCCTTTTGTGTTTACATTTTTTTCATATCTTCCACTTTCAATTCTGAGATTATGTGCACTTATTCTAAATTTACATATAATTTTTCTTTGTTCAAAATTTTTTAAAAATAAATACTTTTCAATTTCAAAACTTCTTTTTACAAAGAAATATGTTGTAAGTTTACCCGACAGACAGCCCTCTTCTCTTTTTATAAACCAGTATTGAAGGAAATCCTTTCTAATAATTTTTTTCAGTTGTTTCTTTAAAGTTATTAGTTTCATTGATTTACATTTTGACCAAAGTATGCCCATTTTCTTACATAGATATGTTACATTTGAAAACCAACTATTTATATTACAACTGTCCAAGATCATACTTTCTTTGTAAGCATTGTATAACAAAGAATTCTCCGGCATGTTCTCAAGTCTATGCCAGTAAGAGATAATTGCTATAATAATAGAATAAAAAATTGGTTGTCTACCCAGCTCTGATAGAACTGCAATATTGGTACTTTTTTTCCCTGATCCAATATGAGGATACACCTGGTCTCTAGGTTATACTATAGGGGGGTTTATGAGGATACACCTGGTCTCTAGGTTATACTATAGGGGGGTTTATGAGGATACACCTGGTCTCTAGGTTATACTACAGGGGAGTTTATGAGGATACACCTGGTCTCTAGGTTTACTATAGGGGTGTTTATGAGGATACACCTGGTCTCTAAGTTATACTACAGGGGGGGTTTATGAGGATACACCTGGTCTCTAGGTTATACTATAGGGGTGTTTATGAGGATACACCTGGTCTCTAGGTTATACTACAGGGGGGTTTATGAGGATACACCTGGTCTCTAGGTTATACTATAGGGGAGTATATGAAGATATACCTGGTCTCTAGGTTATACTATAGGGGGGTTTATGAGGATCCACCTGGTCTATAGGTTATACTATAGGGGAGTATATGAGGATCCACCTGGTCTCTAGGTTATACTATAGGGGAGTATATGAGGATCCACCTGGTCTCTAGGTTATACTATAGGGGAGTATATGAGGATCCACCTGGTCTCTAGGTTATACTATAGGGGAGTATTATTAGTTACATAGTTTTTTAGTGACAGGGTACGGGATGATACCTGGTTAGTAAATTTCATACCTGGCGAGGCGAAGCCGAGCCAGGTATGAAATTTACTAACCAGGTATCATCCCGTACCCTGTCACTAAAAAACTATGTTACGAATTTACCCCACCGATAAAATATTTATGCATTGTCTGTGGTTTGTAAAATTGTTTTTCTCACTATATATATGTTTCATCACTCATACAATGCCTATTATGACGTCACGTTGTGTGACGTAATGTTGTTTTGCGAGTGTTTCGTGCTGTAATAACGTACTGACAGTTTTGAAGACTTTCAGTAAAGGGAGAAAAAGGTTCCATCTTCGTTACTCACATTAGTTAACTGTAACATTGTCAACAGACACTCCGTAAATCGCGTGAACTCGAGTTGTTCGAACGTTACAAAAGAACGATAACTCCGTATCGACCATGTATTGATTTTCAAGCGACTAGGTATAAGTAATACACCCCCTTCACGTGACAGACTTCAACCAATCGTAAGCCAGGATTTCATCGAAAAATCAACAGAGGTGGGGTAAATGAGGATCCACCTGGTCTCTAGGTTATACTATAGGGGAGTATATGAGAATACACCTGGTCTCTAGGTTATACTATAGGGGAGTATATGAGGAAAACACCTGGTCTCTAGGTTATACTATAGGGGAGTATATGAGGATACACCTAGTCTCTAGGTTTACCTGTAGAGTGTCTGTATACTTGATGGGATGTATGGGAGGGTGAGCCTGGTCCGTCTTGTTTCCATTTCTGGGGTTTGGTCTATCTTGCAAAATCCCACTGGCAAATCCTAGAATATAATCTCACAACTGAGAGGTTTTCAAACATCTACATACATGTATCTGAGTCTATGCATATGTTCAAATGAATCAACATCCTAACCTTTATTCATTTATTCTACTTGCCATTGTCAAAAACTCTATCATAAAATCAATTTTTAAGGTGTATTCCACCCTAGATACTAATCATTTAATATGTGCATTACACATATTTTTCCTTCCTACAAATAAAGCTATACCTCCCCAGTTTGGATCTCGGGTCTGTTCCTGTACTAGTGCTGCAAGGTCTAGGTCTTTGGGGAACATGTTGGTTTCTGTTCGTGGATAGCTAATAAAGCCTTTTGTATAGAGGTTCTCTGCTATCCTCATGGTCTCTTTGGCACTTAACCTTAATTTTCTAGAGGCCAACTTCTCCATTTCCTATAATAATTCATGAGCTAACTATCAGTTACATGTATCTAGAAAACTTGGTCACCAAGACTGCTACAGAAAAAAAAAAGTGGTCATTACAAAACTGCAACAACTAATTCTGTTTCATGTACATGTATAAAATTGATTCTTAAAGAAATAACTCAATGCCAGCCACGGCTATATAAGGAATGAACTAAAATTAAAATATAAAATTGATTACCCTCTTGTCCATCAAGAACAATCCTAAATTTAAATACTGTACAGAGAAGCAATACATTCACATACCACAGTATCTAGTGGAACTGGTCTCCATTTACTTTTTGGTTTACATTTCACCTCAGTTACTTTTGCTTCAGGATTCTTCATTCAACAAAAAGAGAGGAGAAGATTTTTACATGTCTGATGAGAAAAGAGATTCAAATCATGGATCTTGTGTTGTTTTTTTTTTACCTCAATACATTGCTCGTAAAGGACCAGGCAGGCATTGTGATCAAATAAACGATTTCTGCAAGCAGAACAAAATTGATTTACTGTACAATCTACTGAAAACTTCCTTCATTCAAACAGTTAACACATTTTTTCCTTATCTGTAAACCTGTATTACCTTTTCCATGAAAATTCACACTTTGTGGCATCATCGATGATGTGTGTTACTGAAATCAGAACATTTACTTTATTTTTTTAAAAATCATGTCAATTTTCATTTATACATGTAAATGTTAGGTCAAAAAGTGTAATTACCAGATTGAAATACAGCCATTAAACCTCGTTATTTTGAACTCAATGGGATGGAGAAATAACTTCCGAGATATTCGAAGGCTATAGATATTTAGGTTACAATACAATAAGATAATGGTGGGTGGGACTTTCAAATCACTTGGACATATCCATGGAATTCAAGATAATGGAGTTCACGATACCAAAGTTCAAATGTAAAAACTAAATTCTCAGATACTGAATTCATTGAAAAAAATGCTTTTTCTCTATCTTAAATTCAAACACATTACACCTTTAATTTTCCAGAAAGGTTCTGGTATAAATGCCTGGACTTGTTTATATCGCTCCACCACAAAGCCAAGGGTAGGAAACTGACAGCTTCCGTAACTGATCAACTTTTCAGCTAGAGCCTCAGGGAAAATCTTCTGTAACCTCATTGTCTGAAACCTAGTGAAGGCAGCACCTACATAAAGTGTATCTGGTATCAATATTTCTGACTACTGTTATTTTATACCACTGAAAAGTCATCAATTTATACCCTCATGTAAATAAGGTGATGGTTTTCAAACAACCAAGGACAATATTCTCTATGTCATATTCATGTACATGTATAAGCTAAAGAAAGGTGGTGGGCAAAATGGGAAAAACAATACAAGAATTTTGTATGACTGATGGTTGCACTCCAGTATTAAATGTAATCATTCAAACAAGTATGAACTTTTCAAGCTTAATGTGATGGTAAAGAATGACATTTCTCTGCCTTTTTGTTGATGCCAGTTGAAAATCATTTTTGATATTGCTCATTTTAAATTGTGAATATAACAAACATATTTTTGCTGTCCTCAGCAATTCATTCTATTGTGTTTTACTGCACATTCCATCAGCCTATCCTTCTAACAATTATGTTTTTATAGAACATATTTGTTTATCTTATGGTTTGTCTATTTCTCAGCTTATCTACATGTATTTATCAGTCTGTCAAAAACTTTTGTCTAGGCTATAACACAAATTCAAAAGGATTGTCAAGGTCTTATCACAAGGTCATATCCTTAAGGTCAAGGTCACCAGCCAATGAATATGGGGAGAGATTCCTGTTTGTCAAAAACAACATCTAGTTAGACTCCATAACTCCCTTAATCTATATTTTAAATGACATCCTACCTATCCGTAGATCTAGTTCTTGTCGGACATCCACTGCATCACTTGTTCTTTTGTCTGGAGCAACAAGGTTACTGCAGGCTCTAGCTACTGCCCTAAAATGGATAACAAATGGAAAGTTCAATAGTAATCTGTTCTACTAAAGAAGTGAACTCATCCTTTTCATAAACTTGAGTCTTAGAAAGGTCAAATTGTTACAAAGAGTGACCCCAATAGTTCTGAGGAAAAAAATTATGGTACACTTACTTCTGTGTAGTCATATTGAATTATACACTTACTGTGGAAATTTAGACTGTACACATACTATTGTTTAGTCAGACTGTAAAGTTCCTGTTGTGTATTTGGATTTTACACTTACTGTAGTGTAATTGGATTATACTCTTACTGTGGTATGATTGATTTATACACTAACTGTTGTATAATTGGATTATACACTTACTATTGTATAATTGCATTATACACTTATTGTTGTTTAATTGGATTATACACTTACTGTGGTGTGATTGGATTATACACTTATTGTTGCATAATTGGATTACACACTTACTGTGATGTAATTGGATTATACACTTACTGTGGTGTGATTAGATTATACACTTATTGTTGTTTAATTGGATTATACACTTTCTGTGGTGTAATTGAATTATACACTTACTGTGGTGTAATTGGATTATACACTTACTGTGGTGTAATTAAATTATACACTTACTGTGGTGTAATTGGATTATACACTTACTGTGGTGTAATTAGATTATATACTTACTGTGGTGTAATTAGATTATACACTTACTGTTGTATAATTAAATTATACACTTACTGTGGTGTAATTGTATTATACACTTACTGTGGTGTAATTGGATTATACACTAAATTTTGTATAATTGTATTATACACTTACTGTTGTATAATTGTATTATACACTTACTGTTGTATAATTGTATTATACACTTACTTTGGTGTAATTGGATTATACACTTACTGTTGTGTACTTGGATTATGCACTTTCTGTTGTGTAATTAGACTGTACACGTACTGTTGAATAATCGGATTGTAAACCTATTGTTGTGTAATTGGATTTTAAACTTACTGTGGTGTTATCTCAGAAAACCTTGCTCTGTAAACAGGTAGATTTGGATTCACTGAAATATTGAAACATCAGAAACTTGTGAGGAATATCAGATCTCAATACATTCTAAACATGATTGAAGAAATTTATAATACACCAAACTGACAAAATGATACACAATTATCATTTTTACATGAAAATAATGATATATCACAGTTTCTTTTTACATGAAAACAGCAAAAACAGAACTACACTGAAAATAAAGCTACATGAACATACAAGACTGATTAATCTGTTACCTGCTTTACAAACTTGAATGGCCTCAAACCCTATATTTTCTCCCTCTCTGTCACAATCTGTCCAGATAATCAAATACTGACTACTCCCGGCCTCTCTCTCCAGAGTTCTCTAGCAATGACAAGGAATAACTTTACTTTTATGAAAAAATTTCTTGAAGCTTTTTTTTTCCAAAGTACTTGCAGATTTTTTTACCTTGATATCATTAAATTTTTCTGGACATTTTTTCTCCACTGGAATGTCAAACAAGGATAAAGGATTGCAGGAGTTCCTGTGGAATCAAAATGTAAAGAAATCTGAACTGAAGAATAAACGCTTTGATCAACTGATTTTCAAAGGAAGTTAAATAGTTTAAACAGTATAAATTCAGATCCAAATAAGTTTTATTAAATTTTTCTTTAGAACTTTTGACCTGTCAAGAAGCATGTATCAAAATCTGAAATATCTCACAACCTTCATAAAGTATACCACCAGGATGAAGGTGTGGGCAGACAGATGAACAGAAATATACAGATGAACAAACAGACCTAAATCTACAATGAACTTGGGAAGTTCCAAAAATTCAGCAGGGATTCCCAATAAATTATCTTTAATGTTGATCAATTTTATGTCTTATTGTCTTTCATTGAAATTTGGAATAAGGGGTGTAAAATAAACAAAAGCAAGTATCACAAGGGATAATTGTATATTGGTTACAATTCTGAACGAAATTGAATGCAATTTCTCAACTAGATATTTCCCATTTTTAAAACAAAAAATTTAAATGGAGCCATTTTTATGCAAATTATGTTCTACGTTCCTCTTATCATTTCAATCATAACAAAGTGACACAGTTTAGAATGATGGGAGCATTTGCTACTGAAATACTTGAAATTATTGTTTATGTTTTATTTTAAACCAAGTACAAAAAAAATTACATACAAAAAAAATTCCTGATTACAACTGTTATCAATTCCTTAACACTGAAATTTCTTTATGTTCTTCTTTGGAAGTTCCGGAGTTTATTTTTTATTGTAAGAAATGATCAGACCCAACAAAAAAACATAGGTAATCAGAAATTACAGAGCTCACCTTAAAAAAGGTTGACTTTAAGTAAGGCAAAGTCCCACACTAAACTAATAATCTAGTAATGTGCATCCCTAGATGCAACATTTATGCAATTTTGGTCTGATAGGGCTTGCAGTTACTTGGAATGGACTTATCAAAAAACTTTAAACTAGTCAGTAGTCACTCATCCAGAAAATGTAAGTCAAATCCAGCATCTGAAGCAAGTTTGAGAGTGTTCATCAACTTGATGCATCATCCATGCAAGTTTGGTTCAGATAGGCCTTATAGTTACTTGGATATGAGATCTGCTCCAAAAACTTTAACCTGATCACTCATCTGGAAAATGTAGGTCAGATCCAGCATCCGAAGCAAGTTCAGTAGTGTGCATCCTCAGATGTATCATTCATGCAAGTTTGGTCAATATAGGGCTTAAAGTTACTTGGAAATGAGACCTGCTTCAAAAACTTTAACCTGCACCAAAAACTTTAACCTGCTCCAGAAACATTAACCTGGTCATTCTTTAGCTGAAATTGCAGCATCTGAAACCTTGACTGTTACAATGAAACACACTAGAAGCATCCTCCATGCATCTCTGATTGATATAGAGCATAGAAGTACTTGAAAAGAAATCTGCTCCAAAAACTTTAACCTGGGACGCTGATGCCGATGGTATTACATTAGCTCCCCCAACTTCGTTGAGATGAGCTAAAAATGATTTGTAACATACTATGACCAACCCGTCAAATCCACGATGACACCCCTACCTGATTATTTTTTCAGTACTTTAAACATTATTTTTGGGGGGAGGGGGGTCACAGGTAAAACAAATTTTTGGTATTATTTTTAAAGTTAAGGATTTTACTTCTCAAAGACGCTTTTAAGACTGTAAGTATTTATAGCAATAAATATTAAATCTGTTCAGCAGTTCTGTGTATACATTGTTCATCAATTTCTAAGTCTGTGATTTTAATGATAATTATGAAAATAATAAAATAAAACAACTATCCCCCTCCCAAAATGTGAGTTAGAGTACATCAATCAAACAATTTTTTAATGACAGCCTCCAGCAAATGTTTTGAGAGTATTCACAAGTAATTGTATACTCTCTTCATAATAATTTTTTTTCATATAAAAACGAGCATATGTGTTTCCATATCAAAGTTCCTGTCATAAAATTAAGATTGGAAGGTAACTATTGTTACCTCCTTCTTATCGAGATTTGTATATACAAGTGTGTTCTGTAAAAACCAACCTTTTCTGCAAATATTGACAAAATAAGAAATTTAAATAAATTCTTACAAGCAGAAATTCCTCATATTACTGTAGTACATGTATTTAATTCATATTTGATAATCCTGTTATTACCATTTGCGGTATTGTCCAACAAAGTCCAGCTCCAACAGATGTCCACTTACAGATGTCATCATCATTAAACAGTTCTTGTTTAAAATGTTGTAATTAAACTCATATATCTTGTTGAACTTGGAAAACCCTTCCCTCTGAAAATTTAAAAAAAAAAAAAAGTAAGTCCATTATTGTTTACATAATTAGCAGGGGTGCAGTTTTATTTCCTAAAATTGATTAATATGTTGGCCTGTCCCTTGATCCCTAATCAGCATTTTTTTAACATAAAAAAAACAAGAGGCCCATGGGCCACATCGCTCACCTGAGTACTTTGGTTAGGAAAAAACAGAAATTAGTTCAGTATTAAAAAACTTAGATATAAAAGAGGTCAGGGGGGATTGGAACAAACTTGAATCTACACCACCTGAGGAGTCTTCAAAATTAGTATGACTACTAATGGCTATGCTGTTCTTAAGAAGAAAATTTTTATTGATATATCCTTTAAATTACTTTGCTTAAGGTCAAGAAATAGTAAATAACTTATGACTATCTTTTTGGTGCTAGGTCCATTATGACGTCAAAATCAATTTAAACTTTCTTTTTCATGTACATTACGTCTCTTATAGAAATTGTAGAAAATAAAGCATTTTCATGGAATTCAATCTGAATTCATGTGAAAAGTAATTTCGATACCTATATCCAATTTATTATTATTTTAAAGAAGGGGCTAAGAACATATAAATTACCATTTTCTGACAGACTGTAGGCAATCTGGATAATTTCCTTTGTCTGATATGGAAAAAACTCCCATATTCGTAACTGGTTTTTTTAATTTTTCATTGAAAATGACAATTTAAAATATGATTTTTCTTCTTGTTTGCCTACAAATTATGTCCCTAAACACCTTATTTGACCAAGCTTAAGTTATAAAGCATCATAAAAGGAATTTATTTCTCAAGTTTGAGAACTCTGTAGGCACCTTTCATTTACTAGATCTTGACTTTAACTAAGATCACCTTTTATGACCCCTCTATACTCCTGGGGGGTCATGATTTGAATAAACTTGAATCTACACACCAGAGGATGCTTCCATACAAATATGACCAATCATAACTTTCCTTGTTCCTGAAAACAAGATTTTCCCTATGTATTCCTAAGTAAAACTTTAATCGCCCATTGTGGCCCCACCCTACCCCCAGGGGTCATGATTTGAAAATCTGAATCTACACTATGTAAAGAAGGTTTCCTTTAAGTTTCAACTTCTTTGGCCCAATGGTTTTTGAGAAGAAGATTTTTTAAAAATACAACCAAATTTTCACTATTTCTCAATTATCTCCCCTTCAAAAGGGTTTGGCCCTTCATTTGAACAAACATGAATTCCCTTTACCCAAGGATGCTTTGTGGCAAGTTTGGTTGAAATTGGCAGAGTGATTCTTGAGAAGAAGTTGAAAATGTGAAAAGTTTACAGACAGACAGACGGACCACAGACAAAATGTGACTTGTGCTTTCAGCTCAGGTAATCTAAAAATGGTGCTTTTGGTTTAGAAAGAGCCATACCAGTCTGGCCGAACCCCCAAATGGGGTAAACAGAAATGGGAAAACCATACCCCCAATCGGGGGTACGAGCATGCACAGATGCTTAAAAATGTGCTTATTTCACGCAAAAAACAGAGGTTTACAAAAAATGCCGGTGCAAAGTAACGGATCATTTTGCATATGTAAAACCACTCGAAAATGGTAGATTAAAGGTGTTTTAAGAGTTTGTATTTTACAAAAATACAACTTTATTATACAAATCGGGATTTATTCACTGGCAAAGTTGACAATCTATTGCTCCTTGACATCCAGGTATTTAGGATAAAATATTTGATAAACAGACAAAAATAACTAATATTCCATTTAAATTATAAAAGAAATATATTATTTTACCTTATATCTTTTATTTTCATAATAAAATACTCGAAAATGTGGTGTTAACATTGATTCATTTATGATCGTGGGTTTCAGTCTGTGTTTCCTCTGACTAGCATAGACGGTCTTTATTATCGATAATCATGCTCAGGAAGTATAACAAAAATACAGTTAAAAATAAAATTTTAAATCCAATTTATCATATATATTGTCTTTTTTTAAATATCTAATAAGAATTAAATAAAATGTTTGCCCCTTTTTTTAATAAATACGTTTGTTTGGGGGGGGGGGGGGGGCACAACTATATTTTACTTAAATCTAGATTTTAAATTCAGATTTTCCTCGTTCTTAAAATATTTTTCCGCGTGTTTTACATTCCATAATTTAAAAAAAAAATCAAAATTATTATTTCTTGAAATGACGGCATAAATTCAAATTATGGAAAACTTAACTGTTAATTTTTTTCTATTGACATTATACCAAGTTCATAGCAGAAATAACAATATTATCAATCTTTTTTCCTAAGATAGATGATGTAAGCAAGTTTGTTTATACTGGATACGGCAAGAGTTACTGTTCTTGCGCATTGCATGATGGGACGGAAAACCCTCGTTTGAAGGTATACCCCCGTTTGAGGGTTCGACCAGACTGCATACTGAGGTTAATTTCTGAAGGAATTTTTTTTCAAACTTAAGACATTAACTAACCCACATAAAAAAAAATTTATATGGGGGAAAAGCCTTACTCAGGTCCAGCACAATCTCTTGATTTAGCTATATAGCTTGATTAAGCTATTCAAAATAGCTTGATAAAGCTATTTATGTGCAGTTTTTCAGAAAAATGTTTTTCGTAAGAAAAAGACAAAAAGTCGCAAGTATTAGACTATTCATATATGTACTATGGGCTATCAAAACAACAACCGAAATCACAGATAATTCTAACATTGCAGCATTTGATTACTTTTAAGCAAAAGATGAATTTCCATTGTTTGAGTAATAGTACACTACCTTGTGTGCGTTGAGGCGTTGATAAGTATGATTGCTTCTCATTGTACTGAATTATTACCAATCATCTTGTTGACCACAATTGGCCTCTTTTATAATTTCAATGAAGAAATAACTGTATCAATTACTTTACATAGCCCAAAAACTTTTAGAACTTTGAGTACAAAGTCTACTAAGGAGATGCAATTTGATGAGTGATTTTTACATGCATTATTTCCAGAAGAGTTCAAGGTTGAATATTATCACTGCACCAAGGTGCGACTTTTTGTGCATGCTGAGAAAATAACTCATTTAAGAAAAAAGTGTGATAAAATAGCTAAATTAAGCTATTCTGAATAGCTTAATAAAACTATATAGCTAAATCAAGCTATATAGCTAAATCAAGAGATTGTGCTGGACCTGTTAATTGTCATCGCAGTATTTTTTTTCAGCAGTTTTACTTAAAGTTGGGGGTACAGACCAACCCTGCTGTGGCAAAATCATCTTAAGATAAATAATAAATATAAAAAAAAAAAAAGAATTTCAAAATGGTCCCACCATTTTATGTTTTTTTTTTTTTTTAATTTTTTACCTTCAGAGGCACTGTAATTTACAGTGATTTTTCTACATCCTCTTTAAGTCCGAATATCGGCCCTTTCCCCTCTCAAAAATTACCAATTTTTCCCCAATTTTTATTGCTTTTTTCCCAAAACAAAACCGATGTTGTTTTTGTTATATTGGATTTTTTACGTACGACTTATCTAAAATGGAACGCTATTGTTCTCGGTCATTCAGACTCTTAAAATAATAGTAAGAAACAGCAGATTACATCGTGCATTTACAAGACTTAGAAAAACACATGGTCATGTCAAACCTGTTGTATAAATACATCGTAAGAAAGTGTAATGTGCATGTGAACCGGCAAAACATAGCTGTAACAATCACTATTACACTTGTACATATTATTTGTATTTCCCGCGTTTTGTCCCTATGCCCCATCTACCCATAAGCCCTTGCAAAATAGCTTGGCCGACCAGAACAATTGAGGCCTGGTCATTCCCGGCAGAGAAGCGTAGCTGCAGACACGTTTCTAAGTGTACATGCAAATAGCTGCCATACAATCAGTATCTTGACTTTGGCACGGAGACAGGTCCGTGGTAAGTATTTACTTATAATATTATTAATATTCGTTATGTATATAGTTTTTTTAAGTAAATTTATTACTGAATACGTATTCGTTCTTATTTCTGAACTTGGCCAGCTCTCACAATTTTACCTGTTGTTCAGTCAGGTGTGACGGTTAGCGAGAGTGTTCGAATGGCTTTTGTATTATATAGATAGAGTTTAAAGGTGCTATTGTACGCAATTTTCTTGTATTCAGATTTGTTACATTATGTGAAATATTTTGTCATTTAAATTTTGGTTTAAATGTCTGGGCGGAAGTGAATGACCGGAAGTCGAAAGTAAGGTGCGCCATGTTGGCAATAATTTGTTTTGACTTATGTTAACTGGTAACCATTATAATTTATACCTATTGATTGATTGATTTATTTATGAGAATGAATTGCCAAACATAGTAGTGTTGCCAAACATTATTTAGTGAAACATGTGACTTAAAAATATTCGTCATTGTAGCGTCAAGGACACTGGTATGACATGTGCTAGATACATGCACTAAGCTGAGGGGATCGTCGAGACACAGCGAAAGGTTCCAGGACTAAGGCCCGGAAGGATGCTGTGTGTGGAACAAGATTCACTGGGGGTGGACAGATACAGATAAGTCAATCCACGTAACATTGTATTAGCTCGTTATACGAACACTGACGAAATGGCAAACCTAATGATTTCATTCCTGCATCGAGGATGAGGATGATGATGTTGACGAAGATGATGTTGATGATTATGACAAGGATAATCATTGATCTGTGAACATGTTTGGCAATGATACTTTGAGTGAAATCTATACCCGGGGTTAATTGGTTAATTGTCTGATTATTGGTTACCAATTGCTATTTTTTTTTTTTTTTTTTTTTTTGGTTTAATAGTGTGGAAGAGTGTGTGGATCAGAGTGTGGTTGTCTGTTTGAAATCTTCTTTATTATTATTATTATTCTTTTTTTTTTTTGTAAATAAATTTATTAAAACTTAGTTGAATTTGTGTGATTTTTGGAGATAGCCAGCTTGACCACGTGACAATAGCTCTATTTGTAAATCCAAGTACTAGTAACTCTACAGTAAGCATCCCTGATTCCATAAAAATCAAACTGTTTCTACATCCGGCAGATGCAACTAGTATTGCAGAGAAATGGCAGCAATATGATTAGCTAGGGTCATAAAAAAAGCTTTAATAATTAGTTTGAAAAAAAATGATTTGTCATTTATCATGTCAGATTAGTCTATCTTCAATGGCTATTACGAGAAAGATTTTCTCTTATGTCTACCATTATGGCCAAAAAAAAAAATGGAAATATAGGTTGGTCACAATTAATGACAACTTTCAAAGATTAAAAAAAAGGTTAAGAATTTAGAACTGTGTCTAATTTGTTATTTTTTAGCAAATAAATTGAATAAATGATGTTACATTTACTTATATACCAGTATTTCATTTTACCTGCAATTAAGGTTAAATTTCAATATTTTTTATTTTTCCCAATTTGATACAAATGTCGATGATTTTTCCCAATTGTAAAGGCCCAGGCCCCTTTTTAAAAAATGTAGAAAAATCACTGATTTAGATTATAAATTCAATAGGATCATTTTTAAAATTTTATCACCTTTCTGGCACTCCCTCGTGACATGACATTTGCAAGAGTTTTTGCTGCATCATTTTTCTCAGCGATATTTAGCACCTTAACCATATCAGCACTTGAAGGGGAACAGTATTTCCTAAATAGTAACAACCTAAACTTTATCAACATAGCGCGCTTTCTGGGGCCTAAGAGATTTTTGCTAACTTGTTCTGTATTATTTCGATTTATTCGAGTTAAATTGTATGATATCATATTTGCTGTCCATCAAAGTTGAGGTTTTATCTATCATTGATATTTTTATTGATATTAGAATTTGATTTCGATCGTATGTTAATGATAAGCGTTATATTAAATTAAAAAAAAGTCATTTTATGTACGCCGTAATACGAGGCCTCGTTAAACTGGTCCTCTACCATCTTGCGTAATAAACTTTCACTTTGGCTGTAACGAAAAGTCATCATGTGCTCCTTAGCTGTTCGTTCTTCACGAGCGGTTCTTCGAGGGGATCTTAAAAGGCAAGTAGTTTCTTGTCGACTTTAGGAGCTTATATTCATATATAACTTTTTAGAAATGTAAACATCTGGACTAAAAGAAATGACACTGTTCTGGTGCTTACGTAAAAAGTAACCTTTGTTGTACTTGGATACTGAGTTTCTCTAAAACATTTGATATTTTTCAAATATTAAAACAGAGTTTCCGAAAAACAACTAATTCTATCAGTCATTTGGCTTAATGAGTTCTATCAGTCCGAAGTAAATTAAATTCTAGTATAATTCATGATATAATTCAAAAGAATATGATATTGGTTGGGATTGGTCCATTTCACCTGAAAGTATACATCAAATTGCTGCAGAATATCAATGCCAACCTAACTGGACCTTGAAAGTATTCAGATTGAGCATATAAATGATTCTGTGGATCGTAACAACACCAATTGTGAGACAATGCAATAGATCAGAGTACAATTAATTAGAATAATCTAACTGTGACTCAGGACAAGCCCTAACCACAGTTAGAATATGTCCCATATATGGATAGTTGCAATGTAGCAAATAGGAAAGGATCTGCTCCAAAGCGAGAATGAAGAATACAACTTAACATGAGTTGCACTGGAAATAACTACTTAATTAATCAATTAATAAACCTTTTTGGGCTTGTGTATAAATTCCATATTCATCTACAAAACATTAAATTTTCTGTTTATTACATTTTCTTTGATTTTCCCTTTTTCTTTTCATAACATGGTGTCATGGGTGTGACGTCATAGTTGAGCGGTTCAGATGTCATAGCTAAGCGATTGCGAGATTGAAAAACGTTGTAAACATGGATTTTTAATGACACATTTGGAAAAACTTTGGCAGTATAACAATTAGTCTCCGTCATGATGGCTCATTAACTCTATCTTATAACAGGCCGGGGATTTTTTTAAAAACACTCTTCAGGAAGGGAAGGAAAATCGTAAGTTTTGCCGCACTTCTGATATTCTCACACTGTGAGAATACCATTTTGATATCCTTTCACACTATGTCAGAATATCACTTTTATTCAGTAAATAAATAACAGTATTTCACTGTTGAAAATGTAATAAATGTCTTTTATCCTGTAAAAATAACCCATATATGACAAAAATTCAACTCATTTTCTCAACTTTTTTTCTCGCTTCAAATTTACATCCATGTTGACATTTGGGACTCTCTAGATTATTCATAGTAGTGTGGATTAGAATTATCTGCCCCTGTTTATTTTGCTGCATTGCCAGAAAGTAACTCGCCAATCTAATTAAAATTAGATGTTCTGAATCCGCTACCGCTTCTCAAACATCTAACAACATCCCATTCGGGGTCACGTCAGAGCGACCTTATGATTACCCAATGAAATCGCCGTCTCTGAAATCTTGGCTTATAGTTCGGATGCGTTTCTTTTTTTTACTGCCAAACCTAAATGCCTGAGGGGTTTCGTAGTAAACAAAATATGCATGGTAAAGACCGTGCTAAATATGAATGTGACGTGCGGGATATATAAACGTATACATGTAGTTTGTGCATTTTCGTTTGCATTATTTAGGCAGGGACCTATAGTTAGTATATAGGTCCCTGATTTAGGTAAGAATGCCAGACTGGCGGACTATACGTTCAATTTATACCAAAATTACTTTAATTCAACGTAAGACAGTCTACTGAGCATCAATAATGTTAAGATGTAGCCGTGGAACTAATTTTAGAATCGTATACAGAAGGTTGAATATGATTGGCCAAAATTTTTATGTTTATTCATAATCGAAAGGTCGTTCTGACGTGACCCCTAATGGGATGTTGTTAGATGTTTGAGAAGGGGTAGTGGATTCGGAACATCTAATTTTAATTAGATAGGTAACTTGCTAAAGGCTTTTTGAGATTACGATAAAAAGACAAACTTTACGGGTACAACGAAAACTCCAAAAAGAAATGGATTGTTCACGCAGAAATTAATTGGTCATGCGAACTGGTGATATAGCGAATTGAATCAGACATTTCAATTTTCTATCAGTTTTGCCGGTAGAACCGATGGTTTTCGGTAACTCTGTTAAAATGTTTGTTGCCTCATTTTATTTCATTTTTTACATGCCATCTTATTCTTTTAATACATCTGCCCAGATCAAGATATCATAAAATGCTGAAATAATATATTATCTCTTTCAGACTATTTCAGAGATCTTTATCTACTACCAGTATGAATTTATTCAAGAAAAGTGAGACATCTACAGATAAAGGAGGATATTCTGCTAGAACAGGTGAAATTCGTAAGAAAGAATTTGAGGAAATCAGATCAGAGATGGACTCGACCTCCGGCTATGCATTTATTTCCTTTATGTCATGTGTGCTGGTTTATTTCCTCTACATGTCCTTTAAAACTGAAAATGATAGTGACATTAAATCAAATTTGCGACTGTTAAAACTTGATGAAAAAATGTGTATAAAAGCTATAGCTCACATTCTTCAAACTGGAACTCACCAAGACACTTTGTTTTATCAGAAGAAATTGGTGGATATACAAAAAGAAATCAAGGAAAATGAAGACAAATTGGAAGGATTGGAATGACCTTTTGTTTGAAGAAGTAAAGTTTATAATGAATATAATTCAGTAGTTTTTGCATAATTCAGTTTCTGATGTATATTTGTTGTCCTATAATTTCATGAACAATTTGAAGTTAATGTCATCTTTGTACAGAATTGAATAAGTTCGTTCTGGAAAATAGTATAGAGAGCCAAGGATAAAAAACATATAGATTCCTTGTCACATACACAGCATGCATGTTATAGCAAGTTTTAAGATCAGTGAGGAACTGAGAAATAATTGAATGTGTGCATATGTACAGTATGTAAATGATATATGTATAAAATGATTATGTAAATGACGCTTTGTTGACTGATAATCAATAGTTTTGTTTCATTGACAACTGTTCAAAATCAGTCAACTTATGAAAATTTGAATAAAGAGTTTGTAATTTTTATCATTCTTTCAAGACATGATTCAAAGATACATTGGGAACCAAAACCACAACAAAGCTATTGTACTTAGGACATGAATGACCCACCTATGATACATTTGTACTGTAACATGACATGAAATCTACTTTGCTTTTTTCAGTCTGAGCAAATAGTAATATAATGAAAGAAGAAACAATTGTCTTTTTTTTTATTTGCAGAAATGATACTTTTAATCAAATTGTTTTGTAGCATGGTATGGTGCAGGGGCTGACAAATAGATTTTACTTGCCCCACACAGAACACAAATAGATCATGACAAGCCCCTGTGTCCAGATGTAAAACTAAGACATTTTTAGGTTGAAAAAATCACTTGCCCTCATGCAAGGGGTCAATAGAAATTCATTTGCCCAACCATAAAATTCATTAGCTCGGGTGTCTGGCAATGGGATTTGTCCGGCTCTGCTGATGTGTTGTTTTATTATAGTATGTAGTCTTTCCTTTAATATTAAGTTGTTTTTCAAGACTGCTTGGCCAAAACTTTAAAGAATTTGAAAAAAAAAATGAGCATTTAACTAAGAAGAAATAAAAGACTTCTCTGGGTTTTTTTTTTTTAATTAATCTTTGGGTTTTTTTTTTAGTACTTTATGTATCAGCTTTTGTTTTACCCTTATTTACCATTTAAATGGCTGATCATGATGTTGCATGCCCAACTCTGACTACTGAAATGTAGCTATAAATGCATGATATGCATTTATTAACACTAAGAAATTTATAATTCTTTGTAGAAGCCGTAAATACTGCATGTATACAAAATGCGGTTTGATTATTTCCTGAATTTTAACCCACAGTAGACAACCCATCGGATTAGTCACGCTTCATTGCACATGACATCTGTGAACTTGATATCAAATTGTGTCATACACCTCTTTGGACAACCTATTTTAGAGTTGTTATTTTTATGCAACAAATAATGTTAGTACTAGCTTAATAAACATGAAAGTTATGGAGTCAGATCAATAAATATTTCAAAATATATTTTTTGAAGAGATCAGGATTAACACATTGTTAAGGAGGGATTCTTCTCATATTTCTTGTATTTAAAAATCAATGAAATTTTCCTAGATTCAGGAAGACATTATCATTAAGGGATGGTATCAATTAGATTAAATTTGACCCGTTTTATTTTAAAAACCAAGGTCAGTTCAAGGTCATTATCTTTTTCCTTGACCTTAAGAATAAGAAAATGCCATTGCCAATCATGCGATGCCGACTTCTACAATCTAATTAAAATTAGATGTTCCGAATCCACATTAATGAAAAATATTAAACTATAATCCAGAAAATAAAGAGTAGAAATGTGAGAAAGCAAAACTAACTCACCAGTTGTCAGTCCATGCTCAGTGATGTGTGCAGAGTCTAACAAATTGAACACACCCGTGAAACATAAACTGTTTTTGTAAACAGGGCACAAGCTCTGTTATTGTTAATGTTTCACCAGTTGTGTTCAATTTGTTAAACTCTGTACACATCACTGAGCACGGACTGACAATACTGGTGAGTTGGTTTTGCTCTCTTACATTTCTACTCTGAATTTTCTGGATTATAGTTTGAATATATTTCATTAATACACAACAAAAATTTTACTTTTCTAAAGTATTAAGGATAAAGTTTGCTTTATGAAAGTGCTAGGATGTATCAATCAAACGCATCCCGAAATTTGTAGTTTCAATAATTTCCAGATAAAATACGTTTTTTGTTTTATTTCCGTTTGAAATACTATAGCAACATATAAGTCATGATATTATACCGAAAACTTGAGAAAATACTAACTTCAAATCTTTAAGGGTTTTTGGTGTTAGGGTGGGGTGAAAATGCATTTATATTCTTTGAAAATCTTCTCTGCTTCTGGGTATTTAACAGACAAACTAAGTGTGTGGTTATGATGAACAAGGGTGCCTCTTCCAAAATTGTGAAATTCATGGCCGCAGGGTCGGAGGTTCTGGTGTTGGGGTGGGGTTCTTTAAATTGTATAGTGAATGAAAAAGGTTAAGATAATGAACAGTGATCGATCTCAACAAATCCACAAACAATTTAATTCTGTGAACAGGGCATAAAACACGAACCCCCTGAAATTCCAGAGGTAGAATCAGGTGTCTAAGAGGAGTAAGCATCCCCTGTCGACAGTCACACCCGCCGTGAGCCCTAAGTATTGATTAGGCCGATGGAATATTCCATAGCCAAATTAAGTATAAAAACAATGGCCTAACAATTGGTATGTAATGAAAAACGTCAGCCAAAAACGACCCAATGAGAGGTTATATTTGCTAACAAGTTCATTACAACGACCTTAGAATTTACGGAATGCTGACTTTAAACGAGGTTGTTGAAATCCCTGTAACATCAACTTATCTGTCAGTTAAAAAATGATCATACCCGGAGCATGGTCTTGAGTATCGAATAAGTTGGGAGACGCAGATGAAAGTGGATTATTACTACATAAGTAAGGAAAGTCATCTCGTTTGTCATACATTTTACGTAGTTGTTATAGTTTGCCCTTTTCGTCTGTAGTCAGTAAAACATCCAGGTAAGAAACAGATGTGAAAATAGACAACAAATTACAAATTTTAATGAGGAAGGGTGTATTTACATTTTTCTTTTTAAATTCTTCACAACTGAATCGGGGGTTCTGATTTGTGTTACTACATCAGTTATGATAAAAAAAAATGTGAACAGTTTCACTTTCTTTGACAGAAGGTAAACTAAAATGAGAATTGGGAAGGTGACGGTCAGAAAATTATTACAGTCTAAGCATTTCTTCAGATATTTAGTTAGTCAAATACACTGTTTATGCAACTTTTTCATTCTTTTTATTCAATCCCCTTTCCTCCTTGAAGATTAATCAACTGAAATAAAGGACTTTCTGTGTTTCAGATCATCAACAAAGTAATAACCTATGACGTTATCTGTTAATCCTCTTTTGAGACCTCGTCCTTTTCCCGGGGGGGGGGGGGGGTTAACAAATTCATATCTGCAAGAAGGGGTAGGTAAATGTAAATTTTGCATAGTATACGAGTTAATAAAAAATCCTTTGTCACTTCCAAATGAAGCTCGAGAAATATTGTTAAGGTTTGTACTACATGCATTTTAAAGTGCTCGTAGAATGAAAAATGGCTTATATAATGATTATATGATTATGATATGATGATAAAAATCTCCAATCAGTGAGTTCTAGAAAGGAAAATACCATGCAACATTTCCTCGATACTGAAGGCTTCTGTACTCTACAAGTAGTATTACCTACCCCACGCTTCTAGATGGGCTGATGTTAAATTAGGTATTGTGTTATATGTATGTGCAGGCGCGGATCGAGGGAAGGAGGGGTCGGGACCCCCCCCCCCCACACACACACACACACGTGATATTCAGAGCTATAAATCTATATGTTAAAGTAAGCAAGGAATGGATTTGAACCCCCTAGAAAAATACGGACCCCTGGTAAAAACTGAAGGAGAGACAAGGGTGTGAAGGAAAAGTAACCCCCAGCCCAGGGTTCGGAGAAGAAGTTGATTAGATTTTTTTGTTTGTTTGTTTGTTTTAATTTAATTTTTTTTTTAATTGAATTGAATTGAATTTTTATTATTTTTGATTTAATTTGCTTGTCCAAAAAATGTGTGTAGGATTTTTTTTTTTTGAGTGGACGTAGACTGACCCCCCCCCAAAGAATTCCGGATCCACGCATGATGTGACATTGATTTTACCTTTTCTCGGGAAGTGGGGCGCTGGTTTTACTATAGTAGGAGATGCGCTGGGGAGACATATCCATTCCAAAATACTAGTAACGCAAGTCATAATATAAACTCATATTGTATAAATTGTCTGCTAAGAAACAGGAAAACAAATAAGGAATAAATTTCTTATTGGAAACACGGTAAACTTCGTCATTTCTTTGAAATAGAGAAAAAAGAACCTCTATTGATGACTTTCTTAAAGAGGTTTATAGGAACTCGTATCTGACACTGGAAGAGAAGAAACCATGTACTGACCCTGTATACCTTGTCGTGCATGTTACATGCATGAAAAGAGCGCTTAACAAAATGTAAATTTTGGAAATCAAAACAGCAACAACAAAAAAACAAAAAACAAATAACAAATAAATAAATAAATAAATAAATAAATACATAAATAAATAAATAAATAAATAAATAAAAAAAAAAAAAAAAAAAAAAAAAAAAAACTAAACTAAAAATTTAAAATTAAATAAATATTCAAAATAAATGAATAAAGCGTAAGAATGTAATTTTGCTGCTCTAAATAAGTTTAAATGCTTTACTTGAGAGGGGCGGATCCAATGGTGAAAAAATAAAATCCACAGCATTTTACCCAGATTTACCCAAATTTATGTAAATCATAGTAAATTAGTACTGTAATTATTGATTATTTGTTGGTATGTAAGTTACAGTTAAATATTTCATAGGATTTTTTTTCAGATTCGACACTGTCACGTCTCGGTATTTCAGTTATTCCCTAATTAATCGTTCAGCTTAAAAATAAGTCAATTCATTTTTTTTTTCAATTGTGATTCTTAAACATGAGCCACAATTTCAATATTACAATTAGGCATGACATTATAGTATGAAAATAGCAAACTACAGCGTAATCTTTTTTTTTTTCATATTTCAGTGGAATAGATACAATATCAAATATGGAACTCGTATCAAAATCAAATTTGACTGAACTTGAACTTTTGGTTGTAAGTTCCATGTTAAGTTTCCTTTTCGCTTTGAACAAAACATTTAAATTCAATTTTATGTCCATATTTTTGCTTGCTTGTGCAAAACAAAACGTTTTTATTTCTAAAAGTATCCCCCCTTTTTTTTTTGAAGTGTAAATTTCTGAACACACTAGGTGGATTGAAATATGTTCTCGCTTCAGCCAATCAAAGCTCTTCAAATTGAACCAATAATTTTTGAGGTCATCGTAAAGGTCGCCCAATGAGTTATTTTCAAATTTGACCAATCGAAGTTGAGGTTGGAGGTTAGCGCCAACTAATGACGTTTTAGATAACATACGAAGTAGTTCGTTAGAAATAATTTATTCATCGTTGTGAGTCGGAAGTTTTTAGTAAGCGTTGAGAAGTAGACAGTTTTGACAGGTAAGGGAGGAATTCGAAGTTTTTACATAAATATTTTTTTCAAAGAAAGTACAAATTATCAAAATGTCAAACATTTGTTTCGTGTACTTGTTTGAAAGCCATAAAATAAGCTAAGAAGTCCAGAACAAAGAAAAGTGAAGCCATGTATGATTTGACCGCCATTTTTCGGAGCTATAAATAAACAATGTGTGAGGTATCATAAAGACATCCCCATAAATTCATAACATTTACTATTGAGTGACCTCGTACTTATTCCCAAGTGCAATGAGTTCATTTGAAAAGTTCCAATTTCACGAAATTTCGTACAAAGTTTTAGGGAATCCCCCTAGTCATAAATAGAAATTCTTGCACAACAGCGAACGAGTGCATCAGTTCAGCATTTTCGCAAGTAATTTCTGATTATTGATGTTTTTCAGAATGGCTCGTACAAAGCAAACAGCTCGTAAAAGTACAGGAGGTAAGGCTCCTCGTAAACAATTGGCTACAAAGGCTGCCCGTAAAAGTGCCCCCTCAACTGGTGGAGTGAAAAAACCACATAGGTACAGGCCCGGAACAGTCGCTCTCAGAGAAATCAGGAGGTACCAGAAATCCACCGAGTTGCTCATCAGGAAATTGCCTTTCCAGCGTCTTGTAAGAGAAATCGCCCAAGACTTCAAAACTGACTTGAGATTCCAGAGTGCAGCTATTGGAGCTCTTCAAGTAAGTGATCATCTTGAATTTTGTAGATGAAAATTGACTATTGCTATAAAATTTAAGAGCTCGTGATTACTCTATGTATTATAACGTGTGTAAAATCGAGAAATGCAATAATTTAAATATATAATTAAAAAAAAAAATTGATTCAACGAATTAGTTATTTAGGATATATTTCAGCAGGGCTGTTCAGTTTTCTGATATTTGTTTTCAGGAGGCCAGTGAAGCTTATCTTGTCGGATTATTTGAAGACACTAACTTGTGCGCCATCCATGCAAAGAGAGTCACAATCATGCCGAAAGACATTCAGTTGGCAAGGAGGATTCGGGGAGAACGTGCATGATCTCACCTCTGTGTAATCATAAAAACTTATTTTCATATAGACATTGAAATTTTTATCATGAATGCAGCAGACATTTTCAGGACATTATGGCATGGTATTTTGTAATTTTCATTCCAAAAAATTCTCATTGTGTGTTTCTGTTATATATCACAATTTGATTCATACTTGAATTGTTGACCACTGGGCACTTTTCGAGAAAGATATTCTATGACAGGTGTGTCTTTTGGGTGAAAATTACCAAAGTTGTTGCATGATGCATATTTCAAAGACGTTCATAAAGCAATTCTGATTTAAATTTGAAGGGGTGAAAAAAGAAACTTAGTGATTCAAAAAAAAAAGATTAATCAAGATTTCTGTTTGTTTCTTGCATCAAGCCATGCTGATCATCATTGAATCATGAACAGTCAGGGAAATTTTGTGTTTTTATGTGCAGCAGTGTTTTTATAAGTATTTCTTGACTGTCTTCTTTCTCTCTATATTCTTTTGAGAAAATTAAAAAACTGAGCACAAGTTTTTTTTATACTGATGTCTTCTCGTGTTGTCTTTGTAATATTTTAAAATTGTGCTAATACCTTCATTTTAACAATAAACGTAGTAACTAAAAAGTATTCTTTCTTCTGTTATTTAAGAAGCTTTAAACACTTGTGGAGAATGATTTTTTTGTCTTGGATTTTTGACGAGCGAGTCATATGATATAAATGTGTGTACAGAGTTTATCTAGTTCATTTTAAGCATAGCCTTGGTAACTAATTTTCCAGGAAAAAATGTTCAAGGAAGATGTATTGGTCAGGTTAAAAGAATGAACAGTCACTGTTATGTTTGGAACTATTAATAGCGATTCTCTGTAACCACTTAAACTTCTTTGCCACGCATGGTCACCAATTTTGATGAAACTTTGCCCATTTTTTGCTCTATTGGTCAGAGAGCAGTCCCCAGGATCGTGAAACAGACTTGGACTTAAGTCCAATTTTCAATCGCCTGTAAAATGTATAATAATTATTGAGTTAATTTCTAAATTTACGGATAACAACACTTTTGGAGCAATTTGAAATATAGTTTAATTTTGGTTTGCTTGATTTCTATAACACTAGATGAAATCCCGCACAAGGGCGGGGAATTGAATTCAAACCACTACCGACAGAAAACATATTGTAGTTACTACTGACAGCCTACAGGCTTATAGCAGGAAGAAAAACTTCAAAATCCCGCAAGAAGTAGATGAACGTTTCCTCCCCCCCCCCAAACTTTTTTTGTAAAAACTTGAAAAAATAACAATGTCATAAATTGACGTTTATTGTGAAACCTGTTATACTACATTATGGATATTGTACATCAGATGCCTTTATTTCATTTCCGTCAGGGATAAAAGCAGCGAATATGCACATTTTACTGATAAATTGATTTGGGGGGGGGGGGGGGGGTTTAAAAGTTCCCAGGTACGTGGGTCTTAGTTTATAAATAAAGATGTACCTTATTGATATGTAAAAAATGTACTTTACTTTTTTTTTTTTTTTTTACATATTAATAAGGTACATACATATTTATAAACCAAGACCTAAGTACTTGTGCAAAAATTAACTTTTAACGCCCTATGCATAGGCCAAGTATTTGATAAAAAAGACTATTCAGAAGAAAAAAAAAACTGAATATATTGAATAAAGCACAAAATTTTACACCTTTGATTGTATTTGAACAATACCTTATTCATCAATTTTTTTCTCTTTTTATGTAAGCAAGTTTATTACGAAGTACAAATTGTACTTCGGGGCTCTCAGTAAGGAATATTTACAAATTTTACCGATAAATTTATTAGGAAAACCTTCTATATATGTAATAGTCTTTCGATATATAAACATATTTACAACTTATAGTGTTATCAATGATTTACCATTATTTGAATTTTCAATGACATTCACACGAAAGCTTTTTTTTTTATGTTCATTCAGCTATTATCGCCTCGTTTTTCTATTAACATCGGGCTCGATACTATATGTTGTTCTAGAAGTTTCCGTCAATATTAAGATTGGTGAATGACGAAAATAATTTGCACATTTCCCTTTTTAATCGGTTATCACAACTTATTTCTTTTATATCATTTAAATCAAGTTTTGATTGAATAATTCATTGATGACGTTTTATGAAATAAATAAACGATTGCTTGTTGTCAGTTTCACTAAATATTTACAGTAACTTAGATCCGCCAACCGGAAACGCCACCGTACTCATGTTTTAGCTATTTCATGGCAGGTTATAAAAAATTAAAGTAGACTTTTAATTTAATGTATGATACTAACTATGCGAGTGAAATCTAAATATAGTTTACGGACATCATCTTGTATATAGTGTATTGTTAGAGTACGATCTCTGGTGCACCTGTTTCAGAGTTTATTTGCAAAATTTATTAATTTATAAGTATAGATTTTAGTACAACATAAAAACTTTGACTTAAGCTTAAGACGTTTCATGATCCCGGGGCCAGAAGAGCTTATGCGATAGTAAGGTGTCCGTCCGTCTGTCTGTAAACAATTTTTCAAAACGCTACTCCTCCTACAGTTTTGGTCTGATTTCAATATAACTTGGCACACAAGTAGACTACACTAAGATACATGATTTAGTGCATCAGTTTTTAATATCAATGAACGGTGTTGCCATGGTTACTAAAAATAGAAATTTCTGTGAAATTCCTTTTAAACGTTACTCCTCCTACAGTTTTGGTCTGATTTCAATATAACTTGGCACACAAGTAGACTACACTAAGATACATAATTTAATGCATCGGTTTTTGATTTCAATGAATGGTGTTGCCATGGTTACTAAAAATAGAAATTTCTGTGAAGTTCCTTTAAAACGCTACTCCTCCGACAGTTTTCGTCTGATTTCAATATAACTTGGCACACAAGTAGGATACACAAGTAGTGCATCGGTTTTTGATATCAATGAACGGTGTTGCCATGTTACTAAAAATAGATTAAAACGCTACTCCTCCTACAGTTTTGGTCTGATTTTAATATAACTTGGCAGAGAAGTAGACTACACTAAGATACATAATTTAGTGGATCGGTTTTTGATTTCAATGAACGGTGTTGCCATGGTTACTAAAAATAAAATTTCTGTAAAAATCCTTTAAAACGCTACTCCTCCTACAGTTTTGGTCTGATTTCGATATAACTTGGCACACAAGTAGGATACACTAAGATACATAATTAAGTGCATCGGTTTTTTGATTTCGATGAACGGTGTTGCCATGGTTACTGAAAATAGAAATTTCTGTGAAATTCCTTTAAAATGCTACTCCTCCTACAGTTTTGGTCTGATTTCAATATAACTTGGCACACAAGTAGGATACACTAAGATACATAATTAAGTGCATCGGTTTTTTGATTTCGATGAATGGTGTTGCCATGGTTACTGAAAATAGAAATTTCTGTGAAATTCCTTTAAAACTCTACTCCATCTACAGTTTTAGTCTGATTTCAAAATAACTTGGCTCACAAGTAGACTGCACTATCATTCATAATTTAGTGCATCGGTTTTTTGATTTCGATGAACGGTGTTGCCATGGTTACTAAAAATAGAATTTTCTGTGAAGTTCCTTTAAAATGCTACTCCCCCTACAGTTTTGGTCTGATTTTAATATAACTTGGCACACAAGTGGACTTCAATTAGATACTTATTTTAGTGCATTGTTTTTTATTTCGATGAACGGTGTTGCCATGGTTACTAAAATAGAAATTTCTGTGAAATTCCTTAAAAACACTTCTCCTCCTACAGTTTTGGTCTGATTTTAATATAACTTGGCAGAGAAGTAGACTACACTAAGATACATTACGTAGTGCATCAGTTTTTGATTTCAATGAATGGTGTTGCCCTGGTTACTAAAAATAGTAATTTCTGTGAAATTACTTTAAAATGCTACTCCTGCTACAGTTTTAGTCTGCTTTTAATATAATCTGGCACACAAGAAGACTATACTAAAATACATAATTTTATGCATCGGTTTTTGATTTCGATGAACGGTGTTGCCATGGTTACTAAAAATAGAAATTTCTGTGAAATTCCTTTAAAACGTTACTCCTCCTACAGTTTTCGTCTGATTTCAATCTAATTTGGCACACAATTAGAATACACTACGATACATAATATGTATTTCGGTTTTTGATTTCAGTGAATGGTGTTGTCATGGTTACTAAAAATAGAAATTTCAGTGAAATACTTTCAAAACGCTACTCCTCCTAGAGTTTTCCTTTGATTTCAAAATAACTTGGCACAGAAGTAGACTACATTAAGATACATAATTCTATTTATTGTTGCATGTTGCAAAGTTTCAAATCCAAGTGCTACTTTGTTATACGTACAGACCAGTAGAGCTACAGTCTTATCTTCAGTAATTCTGGTTACAACTTGACACCAGAAACATATGTCAAATAAAATTTCGTTACTATGTGTCTTGATTGCCATGGTAACAGCCAGAAAAGTTGAAAAAATTGTGATTTTCAGCTATTTTGAATTTTTCTTGAGCCTTAATAAAGACTAAAAAAAACAAACATCCATTTAGAGATTGGGTGGTAGTCAAAATTGAGTCAGATAAGTTGTTCATATATATCAATCATTAAAGTTTTGGGAATCTACATACAAGGGTACGTATTCAAGGAAACAGAGTATTTTTCAGATTTTTATGCATGTTTTTTCGCCTTATTTCCATAGCAACGCTCAATTTAAAGAATTGAATTTGAATTTTTTGAAATGTGAAAATTAGGGTCACACCAACGCCTTTAAAAATTGATCATCGCTTATATAGAAATATGCTTTTTAAAAAGATAGGATAAGATTAAAACACTAAGAGAGTAAATTTAAAATCCCTTCGTGATATTTAAAACCATGGCAACCATTGCCAACCTATAGGAAATATCATATTTCGTCCTTGGTATATGTTACAAGGATCTCTTGTCTATTATTTGCTTGCATTTCAACCTATAATTGTTTTTATTCTTAAAGGATTTATCGCATGATTTTTCAAAAATCGTAATTTTATGAAAAATATTATGTACCACCTTGTTTATTAAAATACTGAATACAATAAACGGTGTTGAAAGCATGTTTTAAGAGATACTGAGAGTTGAAATTCAATTACGGCAATATGCATATTTCAGTCGGATTTCGGCGAAATACAGCTCTGACGTCATAGACGACAATTCAGTGATAGAGAGATGAGAATATGCACACTATAATAACGGAATTATCAACGACAAATGCAGCTTAATTACAAAAAATGCTGAAAGAATTAATTGCTGTAGTGTGCTTTTTAATTACTATAGAAACATTAACTAGTTCTAAGGTATAAGGCTTTTGGGATATTTTCGTTTTTTATTCGAAACATTTTGAATCTGTACAGCTCCGATTACGGCAATGTTTCGTGATCGGAAAATTATTTTTCAAGACCGCCATCCTTTACAAAACATAAGTAAATCAATGTTATGCTAAAAACGAAGAATAACAAAGTTATACAATATTAAATTTATGAATCAAATAAGTTAATACATGTGATAAGATGACAAATCAAATTGTGATGGCGAGTATCTTCGTTTTTGCCGCGTCTCCTTCGATA